CCTATTTTTTTATTTTCTCATTTTAATTTTTTTTTTTTTTTTTTTTTTTTTTTTTTTTTGAATTGTCACATTGTATATTTGTTATGTGAAAAAAAAAAAAAAAAACAATAAATAAATAAATAAAATAAATAAAAGATGACCAATTTGGTTCATGTGTTACAAGTGATATTTTGCAAATTTTACACTCATTTGAAGTTTTTTGTGAAAGTGTAAAAAGTTAACTACAGGGAGTGCATAGGGAGAAAGTTAATACACGACATATGGATAACCATGAGACTAACAATAAGGATGTTATTTGCATTGGCCATTGCTATGACATTGACGAGCCCCAATGTTTGTACATTTTAAACCGAACCAGATAAATATATATATATGTACATTTATATATGTACATTTATATATGTACATTTATATATGCACATTTATATATGTACATTTTTCTTCTTGCCAGTAGGCACATTTTTGACACCTTTTGTAGCATATGAAAAACTAGATCAATCTGATCAACTTCAAGCTGCATAACCAACTCTTCTATATATTTTGGCCGAATTTTTTTTTTTTTTTTTTTTTTTTCCTCCCGTTGAATGGTACCAGTTCTTTAGAACTGTTAATTATTTGTGAATAGTTACCAAGCAGTGTGTTACACACGTGTATGTTCATACGTTCGCATGTGTGTAGTTTGAGCTACTTCATGGTGTTGCTCCTCTCCTGCACTGGATTATAAGAACAAGCACAGGAGGCACGCCTGCACATTTTTTACGCTTTTATCGAAAAATCATTTTGTGAATGCACACGTCTCGCCATTTGCATTCCTCCACGTACATCACTCTAGGAGTTACAAAGTAGGGACGGAAAAGCAAGGTCGACAAAGTAGGGACGACAAAGTAGGGACGACAAAGTAGGGACGACAAAGTAGGGACAACAGAGTAGGGACGACAAAGTAGGGACGACAGAGTAGGGACAACAGAGTAGGGACGACATAGAGGGACGACAGAGTAGGGACAACAAAGTTGGGACGATAGAGTAGGTAAGTGCACCGCACCAGAGGGAGAAACATTCCAAATGAAAAATAAGATGAACGAATCCGAGGGAACCTTGAATGGACAAGAAGAAGGAATTTTTCAATCGAATGAATCGAGCAGTAAGAAGTTAAAGATGCATTACATGAAAGATTCAGGAAATATACATTTTGAGACACAGGAAACTGAACAATTTGATGAAGAAGGAGAAGAAGAAGAAGAAGAAGAAGAAGAGGGAAGAAAAAAAAAAAAAAAAAAAAAAAAAAAAAAAAAAAAAAAAAAAAAAAAAAAAAAAAAAAAAAAAAAAAAAAAAAAAAAAAAAAAAAAAAAAAAAAAAAAAAAAAAAAAAAAAAAAAAAAAAAAAAGACATGATGAGAGAAAAACAAACAAGTGGTATCACTCAAGAAATAATGAACCATCGAATGTCCAAAACAAATCAAGATATGGAAAACTTGGAAAGTAAAACAACGTTAAAGGAAGATATATTCGATAAGAAACCACCAATTGATGAACCAAATTGGAAAATCGGGGAAGGTATTCCTAAAATGACTTTGGAAAAAGAGGAGAGATTGAACAATACCAAACTTATTGATAAAGAGAAAAGTAAATCTGGAAAAATAACGAAACTAACCCACGAAGAACTCATGATGGAATCACCAAATGGAATAAGAAAAAGTATGATTGATCAGGACAAGGTGTCAACAAGTGTTCTATGGAATCCCGTGACTGTGAAGAACGGATCAGTGATCAAGAGTTATAATTCTATCAAGAGAAATGATACTTCCTTGAGGGGTAGCCGTGGTGCCCTTAGAGGAACAGCGAGTGGTACAGTGAATAGTGCAACAAGTGGCACAAGAGGTAATTCCATGAGTGGGACAAGGACCAATTCGATGAGTGGCACAAGGACCAATTCGATGAGTGGCACAAGGACCAATTCGATGAGTGGGACAAGGACCAATTCGATGAGTGGCACAAGGACCAATTCGATGAGTGGCACAAGGACCAATTCGATGAGTGGGACAAGGACCAATTCGATGAGTGGCACAAGGACCAATTCGATGAGTGGCACAAGGACCAATTCGATGAGTGGCACAAGAAGTAATTGGATGAGTGGCACAAGAAGTAATTGGATGAGTGTACCCCGAAAGGGCCACGCAAATTTACCCACGAGCAACTCCAGTAAGGACCATCACAAGCATAACATAAAAAATGACATCACAGGAGAGAAGCGCGTGAAATATTCTGGGCAAAAGAAAGGAACTGCATCTCTTAGAGACAAAAGGAAAGTGAACACACCCTTGGCACTTTCGTGTTCAGAAAAAGAAAGTAATACGAATCAAAGGTTTATTGAAGAAAAAAAAAGGAAAAGGAATAACCCCTATGAGACATCACGGGAAAGAAAATTGCACATTTTAGCAAAAAGGGTTAGATGCTTAACATCTTTTGAAACTGACAATGATAACAACAGTGAACGTAGAGATGCAATAAACACAATTTCTAATCTCCCTGAGGAGGGAATTGGTTCTGTCAATCCAAGTTCTAACATGTCTGAGGGGGTAAAAGATGTAGAAATTTTAAATCCGAATCATCAGCCAAGCGTAGAAAATGAAGAGTCGAATATTCTACTGCTGCTGACGAGAGATTTTCGTGTAAATGATAATTGGACATTAATATATGCACACGAAATGGGGATGAAAAAAAAATGTAACCTCATAGCATGTACATATATAGATAGAAAAGAAAAAGTAACAAACAGGTATATTAATACAAAGTTAAAAATTTTAAAAAATTTAGAAAATGGATTAAAAAAATTAAACATTCCATTTTATGTATTGCCAATATATATGATAGATGAATTTATAGAATTTTTAAAATCCCACAAAATAAAAATAATAATATGTGATTTTCACGTATTAGAAGAACAAAGAACATTTATTAAATCACTTTCCCATTTGTGTAATAAAAAAAAAATCAAAATATTTCAAATCGATTCACATAATATTATTCCTACATGGATTACATCCAAGGTTGAAGAATGTTCAGCCAGAACCATAAGACCAAAAATACAATCTCTTTTACCAACGTTTTTAATTGAATATATTATATTAGAACCATATCAACAAAATTTTAAATTTCCAGAACCCTTTGATATCAATGATATGATAAAAAAACTTACTTTTCAGAACACATGTCCACCTATAACTAATTTTGTATGTACAGAAAAAAAAGCCCACGAAATTCTCACTGATTTCTGCAAAAACACTTTGGACAAGTATAACGTCAAGAGGAGTGATCCAAACAGTGATGTAAGCAATTTGCTTCTTCCCTACGTAAACTTAGGAGTAATATCTGCTCAGAGGTAAGACAAAAGAAGGGGTTAGTGTTGTTGAACCCATCAATAAAGTGGTCGATGCAGAGAAAGAGGGATCTGACGAATAATTTCTCATCTCCGCATGTTGATTGCGGTGCGTTTTTGCATAATGGGACTTGCGTGATCAAAAGTAGAAAAAATGTAGAAAAAATGTAGAAAAGATGTAGAAAAGATGTAGAAAAAATGCAGAAAAAATGTAGAAAAAATGCAGAAAAAATGTAGAAAAAATGTAGAAAAAATGCAGAAAAAATGTAGAAAAAATGTAGAAAAAATGCAGAAAAAATGTAGAAAAAATGTAGAAAAAATGTAGAAAAAATGTAAAAAAAATTACCCACAACACAATGAAAAATATCCATTCGTCAGATCTCCATTGGGGGGGAAAAAATTTTATCCATTGGATAGACAAATCTTTGTGTTTCATATGTATTTTTTTATGCACTTCATCACTCCGTTTATCACCCCTCCACAGGTGCGTGTTGGAGGTTAACAAACACGCAAACAGTTTCCCCTCGATAAACACTGTACGAGGAAAAGAATCATTCAATGACGATTTGATAATGAAAAAAGAATTGGCTGAAAATTATTGTTATTATAACAAGAATTATGATAATTTTAATGGAGGAAAAGAATGGGCAAAGGAAAGCTTAAAAAAGCATGATGCAGACAAGAGAGAACATTTATATGATTACGAAGATTTTAAGAATGCCAAGACCCATAATGATATATGGAACTGTTGTCAATTGCAACTAATTAATGAAGGTGTAATACATGAATATTTAAAAATATATTGGGCGAAAAAAATTTTAAACTGGTCAGAAAATTCCAAAACTGCTTTAAAATATGCCATGGAATTAAATAATGAATTTTCTTTAGATGGAAAAACATCTTCTGGATATGTCACCATTATGTGGTCTATCATGGGAGTGCATGATCAAAGTTTGAATGAGAGGAACATTTTTGGAAAAATTCGTTATATGAATTACAATGGATGTAAAAGAAGCTTCGACATGAACATGTACATATCCAAATATCCAAAGGGTAGGGAAAATGCCCAAATTGTGCAGAAAATACCAACCATGACATTTGCAAGTTATTTAAAGAAACGAAAAAACTGTACCCTCGCACAAAACCCTGAGTTAAAAAAGGAGAAGCGGTAGGACATACTCCCACTCGTCCAAGTGGTAAGGAAAAGGTGGATATTACTATCAACAATCCAATGCTTGTCTGTTAAAAATGGGGAAAAAATAAAAAGCTAGTTTTTTTTTTTTTTTTTTTTGTTCTTATCGAGTTAAAACATTTAATTTTAAAGAGTTGTTTAAAAAAAAAAAAAAAAAGGGAATTAAAATAGGAGAAGAGTATAACTGATATGCTGTGCTTTTTTTTTTAAAGATCAAATATGTCACTATTCAATCTAAGGCTGTGCGCATAGAGTACAATGGGAAGGTAGTAACAGAGGCATACATGAAAAAGAGAAAAAAAAAAAAAAGATAATAAATAAATAAGTAAATAAACAAATAAAAAAATAATAGGTGCACATAATAGGGGAACCAACAAGCTGATATGTAATAAATACATAACACACAAATTTGTTATAAGAATCGATATTTACAATGGAAATAAAATAAAAGAAGAAAAAAAAAAAAAAAAAGAAAGACATCCAGAAACATACAAATATCACTATTTGGAGCTTGCATCCCTTATATATATATATATATATCCATTCTGCACGTCCCATTCCAAATGTCGATGTCGTTTTCCATCGTTCTTTCGCTCTTTCGCTCTTTCTTTGTGTGTGTAGCCTTTTTTTGAGTAGTTATGGTATAAACAATGTACACACATGTGGCTACTACATTAGTACAAATGATTTATGCAACACAATGTCAGCTAGCTCTTTTTTTTTTTTTTTTTTTTTTTTTTTTTTATTCCCCTTAAAAAAAAAAAAAAAAAATTAAAAAAAAAAAAAAAAAGAGGAAAAAGGAAAAAAGAAAAAAAAAAAGAAAAAAAAAAAAAGAAAAATTAAATTTGGAAAAAAAAAAAAAAAAGGATTAAAAAAAAAAAAAAAAAAAAAAAAAAAAAGGACAGGACAGGAAAGGTATACAAACATGTTGTATATATTTATATTTACATATGCATAAAATACATATGCAAACCTGCGGAGGAGCAAAAAAAAAAAAAAAAAAAAAAAAAAAGGGAAAGCAAACCAAACCAAAGTGAAAAAAAGCAAACCAAACCAAAGTGAAAAAAAGCAAACCAAACCAAAGTGAAAAAAAGCAAACCAAACCAAGGTGAAAAAAAGCAAACCAAACCAAAGTGAAGAAAAGAAAAAAAAAAGTAATGCAAAACTGCTCGAATGGTAAAAATAAAATAGCGTAAATAATAATAAACTGTAATCTTTTGGACAGCAAAAAAAAAAAATAAAATAAATGTGGGTCTTAAAAAGCGTATTACACCGGCATGTACTAATATATATTCCAACGTACAGCAGTACATATGCAGGTGTGAACATGTGACTCGTGTGCACTGGGAAACCCGTATCGTGGCACTTAGGAAATCACTGCAACTTTAGGTTTTGCAACAAAACATCCTTGGCAATTTCTGCCTTTTTCTGAATATAAATAGAACCATTATATGGTCCACTTTTTTGATTTAATTTGTTCAGAATCATATGTCTATTATTTATTTCTTCCCTTAAGGCTGTTAATTCATCTTTCGTTAATTTTTTATATATTTTATTTTTATCAACATTGAGGATATTTAACGCCTCTTCAACGTTCATGCAAGTATTATACTTTTCTTTTATAAAATTCGTATTCTTGTTTTTTATAATTTCTTTGTATGCCTGTGATTCGAATAGGGGAAAAAATGGGGAAAAAACAAAAAAAAAAAAAAAAAAAAAAAAGGAAATGATATGAAATGATACACAAAAATTAAGAATGAAAACGGGAGAGGGCAAAAATGCTAAACTAAAGGTGGTGCGCATATATCTCCCACCTTGTCACACGTTTACGCATGTCCACCTAGGTGGGGAACGCAAAAAAAAAAAAAAAAATTAGTCTCTGTTAGACGTAAACAAAATGAACGGTTGGGGGGGGGGGGGGTAATAAATATATGCGTAATCATGAACAGGGTCCAATAGGAACAAAAAAAAAAAAGTTGAATATTCTCAAATTTTGTAAACCTTGGTGAATGTATATAAACGCAGCTCGAGCCAACGTGTTATTTCCTTTTAATGCATGTCTTACTTGTATAAATGCCTTTCCCAAGGCTGTGGATGTTATGATTAAAAACTGAAAAATGAATTGACTTAACGGTCTAAAGGGTAACATTTTTAAATTTTCCGTTAAAAAAAAAAGAAAAGGTCAAAAAATGAGAAGAAAGAAAAGGGAATAAATATATAACCCTAATAAATGTGCTTTTTCTCCCTTCCCCTTTGTTTTTTCAAAAAAAAAAAAAAAAAAAAAAAAAAAAAAAAAATCATGTCCTCTTAAACTTGTAACAGTATGATCTTGCCATTATTAAAAACATTTGCTTTAAAAAGAAGCATGCGCAAATAGGGGAATAATGTGTTTAACTCATTTAAAACTAAATTTATATATACAAAATGGTGGGATCTATATTTTTTGAAATTTTGGGGTTTAATTATTATATGATGTTCCTTGTTATTTTCTTAAGCTCAAAAAATTCATAAGGGTAGTATAATAGACCAATCTTGTTATCTCTAATGTTTTTTTGTTTTTTTCTTCTACCATTCGCCCTTTTTTTTTTTTTTCCCTATGTTTTTTCATTAAAGTGTTATTTTTTTATGTGGTTTATATATATGTATAAGTTTTATATAGGCATAAAAATAATAAGGAGAGGGTTTTTATATCATGTAAAATTAGCAATTAAAATATCAAACAACTCAAATAATATACTGTTAATCCCAAACTTTCTTTTATAGCCTAAAATATTCTTTGAAATTCGTTAATTTATGTTTCTCTCCCCTGGCAAATTTATCATGGCTTCATTTTTACTCCCCTTGTGTTACATTATATAAAGTCATGTCGTTTTTTTTTTTTTTTTTTTTTTTTTTTTTTTTTTTTTTTAATTTTTTTTCATTTTTTTTTTTTTTTTTTTTTTCTTTTTTTTTTTTTTTTTTTTTTTTTTTTTTTTTTTTTTTTTTTTTTTTTTTTTTTTTTTTTTCATTAAAAGCAAGGTGAAAATAAAGCAAATAATTTGAGGGGGAAAAAAAAAAAAAAAAAAAATTCAACATTGCTATTTTTCATTTAACAAGTTACATATATATGCCATTTATAAATACACACACATAGCTTAAATATTTTGTCAATTTTTAACAATGTTATGTGTTTTTTCATTTTTTCTCCAGGATTTTTAAATTTTTTAGTAATGTTCTTCCATGGTATATTTTGTGCTTTAAGTGTATTTCCTGCCTTTTTTTTTTTTTTTTTTTTTTTTTTTTTTTTTTTTTTTTTTTTTTTTCCCAATGTTGTTGTTAATCTTGTTCCTGAGTTTTGTCCAAAATACTTCTTTTTTTTTTTTTTTTTATCACATTAAATATAATATTCTCAAAGATGGAATACGAATGTTGATAAAATGATAACGAAGGTCTCAAGGTTACTGTTTAAGGAAGAGACATGTACGTAGAAAAGTTATATAAAAAGGAGGAGAGTTCTAAGCGAATTTGTGAAATTATGTTAATATGAACCTGTGCATGTAGAAACATATTTATATGTAATGTTGAACATTGTATGAAAGTACACATGTAGGCACACCTTACATGTAACGTATCGTATAAAAACCCTTGTTTCGCCTAAAAAATGAAATGTTTGAAATTCACCTGAGTTTGGAATCGTATTCTTCCCCCCTGAAAATTTACGTGACAGAACATATAATTGTGTATATACGTATGCATAGTGTTATGTATGGTACTTATGGTCTTATGTTATTTTATGCTTTCATATAAAAGTTATTCACATGGTTACGATACTTTTTTCACTTGGTACATGGCCCCATTTCTCTCTCTTGGTAGCATCAGGAAAAAAGCCCTACCTGGCGAAACCATTCCTTAATATCAATTTTTTAAACACGGAAGAAACTCCATTTTGGCTAACCGATGAACAACATGTAATGTGTGTGCATACACCCAAATGTATATATAAATGTAAACGTGTGATATATGCTACTTGCGCGTGAATGGTATACACATATGCACCTTTCGAATTTTAACGGTGAAGCTGAGAAAAAAACAAAACATTATTTTTATTGTCTCTTTTTTTTTTTTTTTTTTTTAAATAAGACAATTTATGCTTATCTGAAAATATGTATAAATCACAATTTACTATTTACTATTTACTTTTTTTTTTTTTTTTTTTATGTTTTTATTTAATTATTATTACATTTTTTAATTTTATTATTATTTTATTTTATTTTTTTTTTTTTTATGTATTTAAACGGCGTACCCGTATGTATGCCCTAGTTTGATATGCAAATCGGTAATATTTGTCACCATGCAGCTGCATAATTCTGTGAAGTGTGTGAACCTATATGAGCTGTTCATAAAAAAAAAACGAAAAATAGAGAAATATCTGAATATGTGTCGAACATGTAAAAGCATAATGATCACGTATGCAAATAATCCAATGCCACATCTGTACACATGAACCAAACATTTGTTTACTCTACGTAATACTTCCCAAATGCAGATTAAAAAGTGTAATTCAATATTTAGTTCAAAAATAATTGCCTACCCAGTTTATGTAGCCCAAACTATTCATAAATACAAGCCCTCCAATGTTCCACAAGTAGCGAAAAAAAGAAAAAAAAATTATGAACACATAAAAAAAATTGTGTAAAAGAAAAAAAATATTATGACCATGCATAAACAATAGTGTAAAAAAAAAAAAAAAAAAAAAAAAAAAAAAAAAAAAATCCTCAATGTGTATGTGCAACCACATATAAAACTTTTTCAATAAAATAAAATTGTATAGATAGCCATATTCGGAAGGTCTAATGTTGGTAAATCGAGTTTAATCAATTCCCTGTTGAATAATAGGGAAGTCGCTCAGGCATCAAAGACACCGGTAAATTTTGAAGCAAAAAAAAAGAGCACCATATTTTTTCATATTTAACAAAATGACATCATCACTCCAATCTATAACGTTTCTCTTATGGTGTATTCGTGTAAACTACTTCCAATACACTTGTTATAATATATATCTTAGGAAAATCCTCATCCTTTTTTGTGCTTCTCTTTTCTCTTTTTTCTTTTCCCCCCCCCCCCTTTCCACATGCAGGGACGTACAAGGCATTTATTCATTTTCAATTTATTAAATTATATATCCATTGTGGATTTACCTGGTTACGGGTTCGCAAAGGTTTCAAAAGATATGCGAGATAAGTGGTCAATCCTTATTGAGGAATATTTAAATAGAGCTGTAAATTTGAAGCGCGCTCTGTGCTTAATTGAATGTACTGAATTTTTAACACCACATGATTTTGTATTGTTTGATATGTTAATTACTAAGGGAATACCCTTTCAAATTGTTGTTACAAAAGTAGATAAACTTCGGGTAAGTTGGGTTGCGCACCAAGTAATTTTGCAATACACTTTTATTACCATATTATATACCATATATTAATACTATACTGCATTTTTTTTTTTTTTTTTTTTGGCCAAATTCCCCATCCAATGGGTTAGAAAATTATCTCACGTTAACTTATTGATGAATCGTATGTACACACAACAATATTACACATGGCACCTTGTTTTCACTAACACAGGCACAGGAATTGCACAATCTCATGATTAAAATTCTCTCTATAGTTGAAAATTACAAAAAGAAAATTAAGTTACTCAATGAGCGTACAAGCAAGAAAAACTTGAGCTTCACCAAGGATAGGGCATACGACATGAAAATAAACGAATATTTATTTAACGTTTCCAGTTTGAAATATTTCGGGATTCAGGAATTAAGAGCTCATTTAGGGTTGATAGCACTTGATACCATGATTTCGAAGAAGTGATATGTAAATACCATGGGGGGCGTGAAAAACCTGAGTGATGCGGATGATTTGGAGTGGTGCGGACAAATACGTATACTATAGGACGTTGAGCACCCGTAACGGGGTAGATATATAATGTGTATACACAATATATCTCCAAAAAGAGTTATTAACACTATTTCCATTTTAGATATGACTCAACGAGCTCTCTTAAGCAAACACACCATTTTTTCCTTCACTGTATGCGTGATACCGTAGAAATATGAAGAATTATATATACATATATTATATATGAATATTATTCATGTGAAGATATAAAAACGTTGTAGATGGAAATATTTTATACCCATCATGTGCAAACATTTTAGTCATTTTTGCATGTGTAGTGGATAGAGGGGTTATAAATACTTTAATTTTTTTTTTTTTTTTTTTTTTTTTTTGCCAATAAGCCAAATCCACATACTAATTTTTGTACCATACACATAGGAACTTTTTATACAAGCTGTGAGAATGTGAATTATATATATGTGTATTCCCTTTGTACATTTTTGTGAGTTTGCATTCCCCACATGCCTTGTGATTTTGTTTTATTTTATTTTTTTAAAATAAACAACATAATACCCCCCACGCCCTTTCTACAAACTTTTAACCACTTTGACATTCTACATGAAAATGTAAAATACAAGCAACATTCATGTTTGAAAAATGTCAATGCAATAACAAGGAGGTATATATATATATATATATATATATATATATATATTTATATGCACATGCAGCAAAACGAGCATCCTTCGCGTTTCGCGCTTGAACGTATGTGTGTTGCACTTGCATAGTGCTTATTTTTGGGGTCTCGCTCCAGGCATTGCATAGATATAGTAAATATATGTAAACATATATATGTAAATGCATGTGCGTATGTATGTAAACGCATGTACGTGTGTAAATAAATGCATGTGCATATGCAATATGTGCACCTTAGTCAACCGGGGGGTTTAGATGCATCGACGTTCAAGAGTTATTTTATTTTTTATTTTTTTTCCGGTTGCAAGCGAGCTTCTACATTTGAGCAAATGTAGGTCATCGTAAATTGTGTCAAAAATTATGTCGCCAGTTACGTCCCAAATTATATGGCAGAAATATTTTATTTTTTTTCAAATCAAACTTCATGTCATGAGCGCATACATTCACATTCTGCAGAACAGCATCATACAAAAAAACAAACAAAAAATTTCCAAGAATTTTCAAACACATTCAAAAAAAAGCTGCATTTTATGCGTTATGCAAATGTCCATATATTTCCATAACAGATTTACTGCGTAACCAGCTTTTTCACCAACCCGAATTTCCTTCCAGGAGAAAAATTTTCATCGTGCGCAACATTCATATATTTTTATTTATTTTTTTTTTCACCTCTTCACGAGTTTACCACTTCACTGGTTTACCTCTTCAAGCTTTGAGCGCATCTATTTTTCCACCCAACGTTCACCAAACCCTGAACATTTTTGTAAACAATGGAAGAAGTGCAAAGGCATATCAAACTAAGCAAAAAACAAACAACCCCAGTTGTGTTGGTCGTAGGGGACCCTGGTAGAGTAGACAAAGTTAAGGTATTATGTGATTCATATGTAGATTTAGCATATAACAGAGAATATAAAAGTGTAGAATGTACATATAAAGGTCAAAAGTTTTTATGTGTTAGTCACGGAGTTGGATCAGCTGGGTGTGCTATATGTTTTGAAGAATTAATGAATAATGGAGCCAAGGTCATTATTCGTGTAGGCTCATGTGGTTCTTTACAACCAGATGCAATAAAAAGAGGAGATATCTGCATATGTAATGCAGCTGTAAGAGAAGACAGAGTATCACATTTACTAATTTATCCAGATTTCCCAGCTGTTGCAGATTTTGAGGTTTATGACACATTAAACAAAGTAGCACAAGAATTAAATGTCCCTGTTTCGAATGGAATTACTTTATCATCCGATTTATATTATCCCCATAATATAATTCCAACCAAGTTACAGGACTATTCAAAAGCAAATGTAGCTGTAGTTGAAATGGAAGCGGCCACTTTGTTTGTTATGGGAACTCTTCGAAAAGTTAAAACCGGTGGAATTTTCATTGTTGATGGTTGTCCATTAAAGTGGGATGAAGGAGATTTTGATAATAATCTTGTACCCGACAGACTTGAAAATATGATTAAAATATCTTTAGAAACTTGTGCCCGTATGGCAAAGAAGTATTAGGATTATATCACCCTAAAGACCCTTTTGTTTTCTTAATTTTCTTTTCATCCATATCTATGTAGATATATATATATATATATATTCACACGTAAATGGTGGTTTAAATGCATATATACTAGATTTATTTAAAGTTATTAACAGAAGGAAAAAAAACAAACACAATATAGTCTTTTTTTTTTTTTTTTTTTTTTTTTTTTTTTTTTCTTTTTCACATGCTCCTCAGTTCTCATGGATGAGAGAAGAGGAGGAGAAAGAGGAAAGAATCTACATATCATATCTCCCCATATATATATATCTTATTAATATAATTCTCCAAAGTGTTTTATATATTACGTACAAAAAATAACACAGTTATAATTATTATTCATCATGAGAGTTTTTATTACTTTAAAATCCTTGCTTCTTATTTTTTTTAAACTTTATGAAAATGTCGGCACAATTAAGGTTTTAAAAAGTAGTTCACTGTTTCATAGAAGTGTGTTGGTATTCCTACTTTATGAGTTAAGGTGAAAAAAAAAAAAAAAAAAGAAAGGACACCAATTGTGGCACCGCAAAGAACGAAAAACACAATTAAGAAAATGTAGACAAAAAAATATACAATTTTGTTAATAATATTTTTCCCTAAAACTACAACTTCACAAGGTTTTAATTTCAAATTTTTGGGAATCTTCAAACAATCGTATGGAAAAAAAAAAAAAAGAAAAAAAAAAAAGTGGTCTTTTTACTTTATATTCAATAAACTTAGTTCATTCAAGAGTTCTCCCTAAAAAAAGAAGAAAAAAAAAAAAATCATGTCAAAGGTGCAGTTTCCATGGAAAATGAAAATGGGTATAGATCCCCAAAAAAAATGTATGAATCAGTGGTAGACATAAAAATTTCCTAAACGTCTTGGAACTAGGACTTTATTTTATTTTGTTTAATTACTATAGTTATATGTTGCAGCAAATTGGTCTTTTTACAAAAGAGTTCATACAAAACTTCGGTGGTGTAAAAGGGCAGTTGTCTGTATGTGAATGGTGGAAAATGTGTAAACTACTTTTGTGGTCTTGTCGCGAGCGGTGTGGCATGGGGGTCCATTCGCTATATACGCATGTACGTGCGTACTTATGTATATATGTATGTACATGTGTGTTTTTTTTTTTTTTTCTTAGCTAGCTATTATTTCTTTTCCTAGCTAGCTATTATTTCTTTTTCTAGCTAGCTATTTTTTTTTTTTTTTTTACCTTAACATGTCATAAAACAAAATATTCTTGATCAAGAAGCTGTCTGTTTTTTTGTACAGATTGAGTAAAACCGATTGTGTGAAAATATCGGGTTTCAAATGGATGTGTACGTTAAGAGCCAAATGGGGGAAAATATAAGTGTTTACAATGTTGCATATTTCTCTTGTGAATAGAAACAGCTTATTGTTAAGGGGACGAAAGAGGTGTATACTTCCATCATTCGATATGGAGAGAGCAGAATTTGATTTTTGATTTTTATGCAGAACATTTATAAATTTAATTATTCTTGTGCCAAAATTGAAATAATTGAAAATGTACATGTTGTCAATATCTTGATAATTTTTATAAGAAAATACAAAGAAATTGTTGTATACATCCATAGCAATAATAGATATGTAGGAGTCGAAAATGATATAGTGACAGCATAAAATATTTAAATTGCTACTAAAGAAATTTTTTGATATGGGTATTATGCTTCGACTATCATATTGCTGTTCATAATTATACATATTGATAAAAATTCCTTTATACAAATCAGCAATGATGATTAAATTTCTTACTATCTTAATGTCACTAATGTAAAAGTTATTATCAATAAATGCTCCTTTTGTGAAATCGTTATCATTTACTTCATGAATAAATAACTTCGAATTAATACAATGCAAGATATTGCAATGTGCATTAAAGTTAAAGTTTTTACATTTCGTTGCGTTCATCCTGTTAATAGCACCAATTCTGCTGCTTCGATTATTGTATTCTTCTTCTTCTTCCCCTGTAAACATTTCTGCTTGTTCTTTTCTCCTACTGTTCTTGTTGTAATTTTTGCCATATCCACCACCACTACAAACACCACTGTGCAAAATCATGTTATGAATATGGCTTCCCAAACCTCCATTCGGGGAACTATCATTGTATACATAGAAAGGATGAATTTGCGTGATCGAACTATTGTATGTTTTTTTCATGTACAGTACTAGTTTACCATTCTTTTTATCTTTCCTAGATGAATTTTCATTAATCACATCTGCATCGGGATTTTGAATTTCCTCATCCAATTTAGATTTTTCATTTGAGTCCTTGGTTGGCTCTTTCTCAACGCGCTGCTCCTGCTTCTGCTGCTGCTCCTCCTCTGTGTCATAGAAATTTCCATTACTTATGACATCCATCCCTAACCTCATGAATAGGTTTTCCAAATCGAATATGTATATATTTCCCTGTGTTTCAACCCTTTCGTTAATATTCAAACTAGTACTTATGTAAATATATTCCTTTCCATGTAGAAATCCAAAATTAATGCAGTGTACTTCTTCACTATGCTCAAATGTATAATAACCATATACATATTTGCTACACTCATGAAATAGGATTAGTTTGTAATATTTTGCATATGTTTTAATAGAAGAAATAAGTGTGTTATTTTTTCTTAACTTTGCTTCATACTTTCTTGCTGTGGTATCATCTGCATTATCATTTATATCTATGAATCCCTTTAATTTGTGTGTGTATTGATTATTAATACTGTCTTGTAGGTACACATTTGGAAAACATTGCACATCTTCCTCATTTGCATACATGATATTATTTTTCAACTCATCTTTTTGTAAATTTATTCTTTTTTTCAATAATTTTTTTAAGCAATAATATTCATCATACTTTATTCGAACAATTGCGCAAATTATTTTTCCGTAGTTAATTTTGTGGATCAATTTTTCTCTTTCTTCGCTTTCGTTCGTGCAATTTGCTGTTTCATTTGTGCCTTTTATAGATCCTCCAAATCCATTTGCAGAATTTCTTTCTTCATGTAGTGGTTCCTCCCTCTTTCCTGTTGGTTTGGTGTGGAGTGATTCATCTGCTGAGTACGCATCACTTGGGTTGATAACATTTGTTGGTTTTTTTTTTTTTTTTTTTTCTTTTCCCTTCTGAGTTCTGTTAGATCTCTTGTTCTTGTTCTTCTTCAACAAGTACTGAAATTGTGAAACTCCAATTTTGCATAAATACGGATATGATAAAAACTGTTCAGAAATAAAATCATCATTAAAGGATAATTTTATGGGTTTACATTTCTTTTTTAAAAATAGCATATTGTCTTGAGCGTGAAGCAAATATGCATTACTGTAGTGGCAATTTACCTCAAGAGGGGACGAGTGGAGGAGGGATGAATCACCTAAGATGTTAGAGATATCTCGATTTAATTCTGATTCATGTGCACAATTGTCCACTTTGCTTGAATACATTATCACCTTTTCTTCATCCTTTATACTTATTATACTCATGTTGTTTGAGTAAAAACTTAAAAATGCGTTCATGCCTATTTTTATTATATTCTTAACTTGATTTTTGCCATAATTTTTGAGTTTACTTTTATTTGGAATTTTATTTGAAATTTCGTCGGAGGGAGAAATTATACAACCGCTTGACGGATTGTTACCCGTTAAGACGTCATTATCATCTGTCTTGTTTATATGATTCTCTGTGAAACTGTGCAGAAATAAGTTCCCCTTATAGTTCGACAACAACAAAGGAGGAAATGTTACATCATATGCACAAACTTTTTCGTAAAGCAGTTTTGCCTGATCATCTACCTCATGATTTACATCCAATTTGTTTACATCAATATATGGATATACTACTATACATTTGGAAAACTGTTTTTTTTTTTTTTTTTTTTTTTTTCTTTTCTCCTCCATCTTCACGGGTTTTGCTTCACTTCTACCATACGGTTCGCACACAGGAACATAGAATCCATTATTCAACTCATCTTTGTGACGCGATGAAATTTTCACTATTTTTACCTCTTCACAATCGGATCTTTTCAAAAAATGAGTATTACTTATTAAAGGTTTTGTGTATTTGTGTATTACAATTTTAAATTTTAAATTGTTCAAATTTGACACTTGACCAAACGTTTTGTATATTAGTATTGGTCTTCCTGTTAAAAAAATTATTAACATGTAATTCGGACCCAGCTTGAAGAAGAGCACGTTTATTATTTCTTCCTCTTTGTATAAGTTCAGGAAATTTTCTCCATCTATTCGGTTTGGTGCTTTCCTTTCGCCTCTTCCTGTCATGCCAGAGATGCCAGTTGCATCCGTCTCATTCAGCACATCTATCTGAAGCATCCCATTTTGGGTTCCATTTTGGGTTTCATTTTTGGCTCCATTTTCCGAAGGCGTCCTCCTCGGTTTCACATTGTAAACATACTTAGGAACTGTCAAGAGGTAGTTACTACCAAAGATTAACCGCTCCTTCTCCAGATGAAAAATATGGAATGTGTTGTCTGAGTCATGTAGAAATGTCAGAAAGCTTTTATGTCCTTTTTTAAGAGTGGAAATACATCGAACATGTTTCAAGTGTGTGTAGAGGGTAATCAAATTGTCCATATCGATACTATTACGTGTTTTTAAAAATTCACAAAACATATCTGTTGTTTTTATTTGAAACAAGATAAGCAATTCTTCCTTTTTATAATTCTCAATTTCGATTTCTGAAATGTCATTATGCCCATTGCTTCCAATTGTGATTTTTTTTTTTTTTTTTTTTAACGCTCTTTCCTGAATATGTTTTGCAAAATTGAGAATGTCTATGTTCACCTCGTCATTGTTGCATGCCAAAGTGTGTAATGTACACATGTTAAATAATTGTGTCAAATTGTTTACACATTTCAAGAGATTTACAACCACAGAATTGTTCAAGGAATAGACAGAACATGTGCAATTTTCATGTTGAAGAATTAAAAACCCTTTTACCATCGTGCTAGCTATCACTTTGTGATGCACATGTATTTTCTTAAACAATATGTACGTGTTCATGTGGAAAGATATGTTTATTTCATGTTCGCAGACCTGTATTAGTAAATTTTTATAATTTATCATGGATATACAACTTCCTTCTAAATTTAAGGATGTTTTATTTATTTCTTCTTTTGTTTTTTCAAAGAGGAAAAATTCCATATATTTCTTTTTTAACAAAAATTCTGCGTTTCTCATTTGAGAAATAATTCTCTTATTCAATTTTTTCTTTCTATCATCATGACAATCTTCATGGCAATTGTTCTCCTCATCCGGTTTATCAGCAATCACACCAAATGGATTATTTACCTGGTTGCATATCATCGTAATGTATCTTCTTACGTCTCTACTATTAAAGTGGATAAAATGAAAGTTTTTAAAAAAGGCACGAAACATACTCACTCTCGCGACCCCTCCCACAGGGAATAACATCTCTCCGTTAGACGCCTCAACCAGGTTATTCCCTCTTATTCTGTGTATGAGTTTGTAGAGACTATGAAAAGGAACACCACCTTTGCTTCGATTGATCTCGCCACTCAGCCGTTTAGAACCCGTTGTTGCTCCGTCCACATCTGCCCCGTCCACACCATCAGCATTACAACCTTCCCATCGTTTCCCAATCTGCTGAAAAAATTCGTACAGTGTGGAGATACCATTCCTATGCGTAGAATCAAACTCATTAGTTGACATCTCTCCCTCCCTTTTTTTTTTCAAAAAAGAAAGATCCTTTATGCACAACAAAATGCTTCTCCTGCGTCGCACACCTCGATCTGCTTCCATCTTGGTAAATGAATCATCACAGTGCGTGTTCATGTGTGAGAGACCTTTTTCAAAATATGATTCTTTTATATTTTTCTCTTCTAAGTTAATCATAATATACTGAAAAAAGGGGATATTTCCCTTCCTTTGTGTAGCACATACATTTTTAATACAATATGCTGAAAAAGATACATTCAATGAAATAGTGATGGGAACCTCGAAAAAAATTTTCTGTATACTGCTGTGTTGTTTACATCCAAAGAGTGCTACGTATGTACTGTTAGTTACTAAATTTGGTTCTTCATTTAAAGCGCAAATATCAGTTAACATCCCTTTAACTTGAATTTTTTCAACTCGGATTATTTTGGTATCCTCCTTCTTACGTCTTGTGATACTATTTCCAATTTTATTTTTTCTCTTTCCTCTTTTCTTCAAAATAAAAAGTGGAGGTGCGTATTCTATGATCCCTTGTGCATTTATCGTGGAAAAATTATTTTCTAAAATTTTTATCCTCTTTTTATATTTCTTAAACAGAAAATCATATTTGCTGTGATTCAGCTCCTTCGTGTGTTCATTGATGTTTACATTTCTGTTTAGATAGTTCATCAATTCGAACAAGAAGTTGTCCTTCTTGCGCGTGCCCTTTTCGTGTTTCCCCTTGTTGGTGGGTTCTACATTGCTAGCGGGTTCTACACTGCTAGCGGGTTCTACATTGCTAGCGGCTTCTACACTGCTGGCGGCTTCTACACTGCTGGCGGCTTCTACACTGCTGGCGGCTTCTACACTGCTGGCGGCTTCTACACGGCTGGAGGCTTCTACACAATTTGCATGCTTTCCATTCTGCTCTTGGTTCACATACGCAGAGGGGTACTCTCGCCCGTGAGATATGCACTTCCCCTTCTTCACAGAATGCTCAATCGGTGTGGCTTTTCTCTTTCTCCCAGAAGATTGATTCAATAGTTCTCTTCCATCGACCGTTTCTTTATTTAGAGAGTTGTTATTTTTTTTGGAAGTGATACTTCCCTCTTGGTCTTCATCTTGCAAGGGACAAGATTTGTTGATTTTCCTAAATGTTTTCTTTAATAAATCAATCTGAGCTACGCCAGAAATACCATTATAACAACAGAGAAAATAAAATTCTCCACAAAAGGAATAGATAGAAACCTTGGACAAAGTATACCTGAATGAGTATATTTTTTTCCATTTTATTAATTTCAGAAAATCGTTGTGATATTTTGAAATGTTTCCTTCCAATATACATTTTTTTGTAATTATAAAAATTTTTCCCTTCTTATAGAACATGCTACTACTACTGAGTTTAAAATTAATGTTAATGTATGTGTAATCATAAAAAAGTGTATCGTTTTTTAAAAGATGGAACACGGCATTTCCATAACAAGATTTTTTAAAAAAATATATGATTTTTTTATTGCTGTTCATATTTAATACAAATACATAATCATGACAAAGACACACGAGTAATTCCTGCACTCGATGTATGTCTAGTATGTCATTTGCCAAGTTTTTTATCAATTTTTCCACATCAAGTTTGTCTTCTTCTTTCCTCAGGATCAGCACTTTCAGTTTAAGTTCCTCCAGCTTCGTGTGTCCTATGTTGATCTACGGGTCGTGGGAAGGAGACACATGCACGCACGGGTGTCAGTAATGGTGGTACGCACGTGTGTAAGCACAGATGTGAAGATGTATACATAAATACCAACTGCAGCTTCAGTCGCTGCTCTCGTGGCCACTCAAGCTGCCACTCTCGTTGATATCCTCACCGCATCATTTTGAATCAAGAGGTGGAGGGCCTCCCGGTGGAAAAATATCTTCTTTATAAAAATAAAGCGTTTGTAATGTTCTGCCAAACTGAATTTGATGACATTTATTAGACGCAAGTCTTTCCCAAAATAAGACGTGGAAATTTCTCCCCCACAAGACGGGTTAATAATTTTGTTGTGTCTCCTCCTGGTTGTGTAAACAAAAGTATAAATCGTTTTAAAATCATAAGAAAAGGAAAAAAGAAATTCACAAAAGTTGCAGTTTCTCTTTTTCCACTTGATTTGCATATTTTGGAAGTTTAATGAGATATGGCTATCATCTAGAGATTTATGCTGCATGTCCAATTGATGAGGAGGGTTTATGAGAATGTTTTCCTCTAGAATGGTATGATCATGCAAAAATGATTCTTCCAAATTAGTACTTTTATAAATATGATCATAAATATTCGTAAGTATTGGGGGTCCCAAATCGTTCTTTTTCTCTTCTCCTTTTTTGGTATTGCCGCTGGATTTACAAACGGGAGCCCATTTTTTCCATTCTGATTTTGTTTTTCGAATTTTCTGATTAGTATCACCATTATAGTCCTTCTTCAGTCTAGTCATTAACTTTGGAAGAATGTTGTAAATACATTTTTTGAAACGTATACCTCTTCTATTCGTGATGGTTGTCGATATGATTTTTTTTTTTTTTTTTTTCTGTATATGTATTTTCCACCTCCTTATGTCATTTTTTACACCCTCATATGTGTGTACATATCTAATCGCGAATGGTAAAGAGTAAAAGAGGGATTGGAATTTAATTTCTTTCACAAAACTGTGTTTTAAAACAGCAACGAGAGTATTCAAACGTGTGTTAAATTTGTAAATTACAAAATGGAGATTCTTATAAATCAGCAAAATGCCACTAATACATTCCTTTTTTCGATTTAAAAATACATTTTTCAAAATAATGAGTTTTATTACTGGTGCATTTAATTTTGTTTCATAAAGGAGAGAACTTTTTCTTTTTTTTTTTTTATACATGTAAATGTATAAATTTTTATTTTTTATTATGACAAATTCGAAACTCTTTTCATTAAGCAGATTTACGCATTCACAATGGTCTACTTCACTGGGCCTCCTCAGCTGACACACATCAAGATCAATCATGATGGTTCTTACAAAAATGTTGTATTCTTGACACGTCACGATAAGTTATTCTAATGCTAGGAAAGTTATTTCTTCTTCTCTTTTGAAAACTGTCATTTGGTATTCACATGTGTGTGCATGCGTGTTTCATGTATGGATCGTGTATTCCTTCAACCTGGTTCTACTTTTTCGTGTACAATTATTGGTATGTGACGTTACATATATACATATGTATTAACGGAAGGGTTGTGTTCGTCGTTATTTTTACTTTATTTTATTTTTACTTTATTTTATTTTTACTTTATTTCTACTTTATTTTATTTTTACTTTATTTTATTTTTACTTTATTTCTACTTTATTTTATTTTTACTTTATTTTATTTTTACATTATTTTATTTTTACTTTATTTTTATTTTATTTTATTTTTTTTTCCTCCCTTTGATATCTATAACCCCTCCACACTTTTTGCAGTGCTTTTTTTTGGGGTGGCGTGTTGCAAATTTTCGAATGATTTTCCTTTGTGCAGTACCTGAGATATCACGTAACGGTGAGGGTAATGGGGATCGATTAAACAGATGCAGCATGTGAGTAGAGCTACTAGTGTTACATTTGTCGAATGGTCTTTCTCTTCTATGGGGTTTATTTTCAGCTAGGGTGGAAATCCTCTTTATTTCGCCCTACCACGTATGGTTCTACTACTTTTGGTTCTACTACTTTGGGTTCTACTACTTTGGGTTCTTCTACTTTTGGTTCTACTACTTTTGGTTCTACTACTTTGGGTTCTACTACTTTGGGTTCTACTACTTTGGGTTCTTCTACTTTTGGTTCTACTACTTTTGGTTCTACTACTTTGGGTTCTACTATTTTTAGCTCTATTAATTCTAGCTCCATTTATTTATGTGCTTCTCCCCAGCGCGTCCACAAGTGGATCCCTCTTTTTCCCAGACAATCGCTCCTTAGTGGTGCCTTTAGGAAGTAAGAAAAGCGAAAAGGAGGAGAAAAAAAAAAAAAAAAAAAAAAAAAAAAAAAAATTCATATGGAGAGAGAAGATATATATATTCCTCTTTTACACACAATTAGTGTAAACGAAATGAATGATGAAGAAAAATGGCCTAGAGAATAAGGGAAGTCACTAAGGTGTCACCATAATGTGTCATCAAGTTGGTTTATTTTGCTTTATTTTGCTTTGCTTTATTTTGCTTTGCTTTATTTTGCTTTATTTTGCTTTGCTTTATTTTGCTTTGCTTTATTTTGCTTTACTCTATTTCGTTTCATTCTGTTTATTTTGCTTTATTATGGCTTTACTTTATTTCGTGTTATTTTACTTTGTTTCGTTTTATTTTTGCTCCATTTTGTTTCACTTAACTTTGTTTTATTTTTTCCTCCCTTGGTAATGCAAGAATGTTGGCATGTATTACCACCCCCGGACCGCACCTGCCCGCTGAAGTAAACCTTTTTGGTGCGCGTAAAAAACCTACACCTGATTATGCTCATTGAATTGGAAGAAAAAAAAAAAAAAAATACATTTTGTTATTTCCATCCTTTTAGAAGTTACTCCGTTTATTTTATTCCCATCCTTTTAGAAGTATTCCATTTTTATTTCCATCCTTTTAGAAGTTACTCCGTTTATTTTATTCCCATCCTTTTAGAAGTATTCCATTTTTATTTCCATCCTTTTAGAAGTTACTCCGTTTATTTTATTTTATTTTTTTGACGTTTTTCCAATATTATGTATACTGTGAGAATTCACTACCCACACCAGCGGGGTACCACCTTGGGTAGTGTAAAATGTGTTAATCTCACAACATATCAAATTGTTAAAAAAAATCCAACAATTATTTATCACTTTTAGTTTTTGAAAAAGAAGAAGAAGCACACATGTCCCACTTTTTCTCCTTTTCCATATTTATACTTTTTTTTTTTTTTTTTTTTTTTACTTTTTACTTGAGAAAAATTTACGAAATGTTGAGAAATATACCTCAGCATACGAAAAAAAAAACAAGTACACAACGAATTTTTTTTTTTTTTTTCTTCTTCTTCTTCTTCTTCTTCTTCCCACCTATGTATTTGTTTTTATTTTCCTCAATTGCGTAATTTCCCCTTCTCGGTAAATTACCACTACAAAAATTGACACGCTGATATTCTCCCACATCCCCTTTTTTGTTATATATATATGTCAAAAAAAAAAAAAAAAAAAAAAAAAATGTGTGGGAAAAGAATAACCTCTCTTAGACACATGTTTTGATAATCCATCATAGTAACAGAGAAAAATTTTCCGCTTTTCCTATTTACTGACATGCCTCTCTATTTTTTTTTTTTTTTTTTTTTTTTTCCATATGAAGGTTTTCTCTATCCCCTCTTATGCATTCATATGCATGTATATACATGAAACAATGTGCTTCGTTCTGTTGAATCATCCATATTGAAACAAGTCTTGCAAAGTGAACATACACATTTCTTTCGTTCGCGTATGTTAAAAAGGAAAAGGAAGATAAGGAAAAAAAGACGAAAAAAAAAGAAGAAAAAAAAGAAGAAAAAAAAAGAAGAAAAAAAAAAGACGAAAAAAAAGAAGAAAAAAATAGACGAAAAAAAAAGAAGAAAAAAATAGACGAAAAAAAAGAAAAAAAAATAGACGAAAAAAAAAGAAGAAAAAAATAGACGAAAAAAAAGAAGAAAAAAATAGACGAAAAAAAAAGAAGAAAAAAATAGACGAAAAAAAAGAAGAAAAAAAAAGAAGAAAAAAAAAGAAGAAAAAAAGGTGTAATATAATGCTGCCAATTTTTCACTCAACAGTTGCTACGAGTGACACGTGCACACAGACATGCATATGTATAAATTCGTGCATTTAAAAAGTTATGCATTCACAAGTTATGCCTCACAAGTTACACATCACAAGTTACTCATTTAGAAATGTCTGCATGTGCGTAAGCATACACAACCGTGTCATAAATCGAAAGCTTCTCACCTTCTGTCTGTTCTGTCTATTTTTTTTTTTTTTTTTTTTTCCTTCCACCCTGTCTATTTCTCTTTGTTGATCCCAAAATGACAACGAATCAAAGCGCATCCATCTTCAGTAGTGATCTACAAACATTCATTGTTACCAAATATGATCCATTATTGACAATTGTGAAAGAACTAAATGATAAATTGCAAAACTCCGAAAAAGGTATGTGTGAGATAAATGAAAATCGGAGGTTCCCACGCAGAGTTGGATCTCTCGTCACGTAAGCGTTTGCATATGAAGCTTGTATATGAAGCTTGCAGATCCCCATTTGCAATCCCCATTTGGACACACCTCTTACACCCACCATATCCGTACAGACAAATACCGCCTCGAGAAAAGACTCATGAAACTGGAAAAGCAAGTAGTGATTCTTCTGGAAAAGCTGGAAGTGACAGATATAGAAATCGAGCGAGATGTGAAAGAAAACAAAATAGAAACAAAAAAAAGTCAACAAATTGAAAATGAAGAAAATTTATTAGCCCCGTGGTTATTTTCATGTCAATTAGGAACTCCACTATCTTCTTTACAAATACTACTAGAATTTTCTCAGAAAAATACGATAGAATTAAATGTGAAACTATGGAAAAGAGAAGAAGATATGTGGATAAACTTTTTAGAAATTATTTCATCATCCTATAAAAATTTCCTACCCGATTCCTTAAATTTAATTGATTTAAGAAAAGCCACGAGAAAATGTTTGTTAACCATATGCACAAATGAAGTCTTAGTAGTTTTGCGAAATGTGCCGGGGAAATCCCAAGCTATCTACAACACAGCTACAATGACTTTAGTTGCCATTTTTGCTTCAGCCGTTTATGAAGCATGGAAAAGGATTGAACTCACCGACCCTGTGTCTTTAGGGAGAGTTGTCCTTGTTTTGGATGGTGAGCTGTCTGACCAAGGGGGAAGGGAAAAAACAAAAAAAAAAGGAACAAAAAAAAGAAGGGAAAAAAAAAGAAGGGAAAAAAAAAGAAGGGAAAAAAAAATAAGGGCAAAAAAAAGAAGGGCAAAAAAAAGAAGGGAAAAAAAAATAAGGGAAAAAAAAATAAGGGAAAAAAAAATAAGGGCAAAAAAAAAAAAAAAATAGCAAAAAAAAGAAGGGAAAGAAAAAAAAATAACGTTATTTTGGCTTATTCTGCCTTTCCCTTTTCCACCTTGCCATTTTCCACTTTCCCCTCCTTGCCGTGTAATAACTGCATATCAAAAGGACTCGTTTCTGCTCGCGTCTTTTCTTTCCACGCTACTATTTTATTTTGTAAACATGAGAAATACTTTGCAATTCCCCTTTTCTCAGGAGAAGATGTCGGGTCCAGATTAAGGGCTGGAAATAAGAAACTCAAAATCGAACCTCTGAATTAGATTCCACCTTCATTCCCTTTTTTCAAAATATAAATTACGACTTTTCCTACGCATTTCTTTTCTGTGAATGTACTAACAAAACGGATCCTACCCATCATCCACAGATGCATATATATGTATATATGCCTGTGTGAATAGCAGTTCTATTGCGTGCGATTAATTTTATATTATGTTTTCTCCATTTCGATGTTTATACCCAGTACCTTTTCGGTCTTTAATTTTGTAACCGGTAATTTGTTTGATGGTTTAAGATTTACACAAACCCTTTTTGTTTTTAGCTTTTTTTTTAGTTTTTTTTTTTTAGTTTTTTTTGTTTTAACTTTGTTGTTTTAACTTTTTTGTTTCAACTTTTTTGTTTCAACTTTTTTGCTTCAACTTTTTTGTTTCAACTTTTTTGCTTCAACTTTTTTGTTTCAACTTTTTTGCTTCAACTTTTTTGTTTCAACTTTTTTGCTTCAACTTTTTTGTTTCAACTTTTTTGTAAATCGTTTTCAAAAAAATATGACCTGTTCATAAAGTTTGTTTGCAAAATAACGCATGCATGCACTTTTGCGTAATCGTGTACACACGCATAGATACGCGTAGACAACTGCACGCGCACTCACATAATGAAGAGCTGAAAGTTGGAGATTCCCCAGGATATGCTTTTTGGATCATCGATCTGAATGCTGGTGCCAAACTGCACAAGCAATGCACTGGAGTTGTGTGGTATAACAACATCAATGAGTGACGTGAATTTAGACTCTCCAGTTGTATTTCCACAAATATTTATGGAATTTTCTTGACTTATCTGTGCATGTGTATCTGTCCAAACATAAAAAAGTTCCTCTTGATGATCCCTCCCGACTTTCAAATATGCAGTATGATAATTCCAATCGTCAATAAAATGAAAATTTGCTTTAATTCTTATTTGTGTATGACTTGGTATATTTTCAAACGTTTTTTGAATTTTGCCTTTTGACAATTTCCCATATCCACCTAATAAATTTATGCCTCCACACACTGATGTGAAGTTATCAAAATTATCACCTAACCATCCCTTGGTATTTGAATTACTGCTAAAATTTTCATGCACAATCATTTGAAATTGATTTACATTTCGAATTTTAAGAATACCATCTATATTTAATGATTTCACAGACAAATCTTGATTTAAAAAATTTAAGTTCTCATGTTCATCTATACTTATTATTGGTTTATTTTTCTTGCTTATAAGAAATGTCCCCTGAGAATTTATTCCAATCTTGTAATCTCCTTCTTTATTCATGAATACAATTCCGTTATCCATGTTCTCTTTGGATGATATTTTTAGATTCGACACCGTTAGACTTCCCTTCACAGATATGTCATTTTCGATTCCTACGCAATTTCCACGCAGGAGTAGCATCACCAGCAGCAGTAAGAGAAATGCCCTACACATGCGTGTCGGACGTGTAACCATTATCAGCATAATCACCACCTCAATGGGACCTTGGAGTAACGATCACGAATTAGACAAAGAGGAGGAACTACTGCCAGACAGAACAATCGAATCACGCAGCTGGAGTATGCAAGATGTGGGAAAGGGTGGTGGTTAATGAAACATGCACAAATGCACAGACTACAAAAAAAAAAAAAAAAAAAAAAAAAAAAAAAAAAAAAAAAAAAAAAAAAAAAAAAAAAAAAAAAAAAAAAAAAAAAAAAAGCCAAAAAAAAGGAAAAAAAAAATAAAAAAAAAAAAAAAAAGAAAAACACTCGGGGCCAAAAAAAAAAAAAAAAAAAAAATCATAACATCAAAAGAAAAAATATAAATGAAAAAAAAAAAAAAAAAAAAAAAAAAAAAAAAAAAAAAGCGCACATAAAACGGTAGAAAAATGTGCAGAAAAATTAAGAAATAAAAACACTCTGGGTATACAGAGAACACCTGAATAAATCATGACATCAGAAGTGGAAATTGTCTGCAAAAAAGAAAAAAAAAAAAAAAATCCAACGTTATTATTCTCCTCCCCTTCTCTCATCCAATATATGGATAAAATGTTTCAGCTGGAGCAGTGTACATACACACAACATACCCCAATCAAAAGGTTAACTATACTTCCTTCCACATCAGTCTTTTTTTTTTTTTTTTTTTTTTTTTCCTTCTTCGAGTAAGTACAAATGAAAAATTACCATCTGTGCATCCACCACTTCAGTTTATTTTCACATTTTCAAAAAATAAACTAACATTGTAATAGCATGAACACTCTGTACATTGCATATATATTTTTCAAACAATCTTGGGGGTGGGGTGGGTAGAGGGAACTTCAAACATGAAACTCATAATGTTATGATATTTTAACTGCTCCTATATTCATTATGCTCAAATTTGTAAAAGTTACAAATATTGTATGAACAATTAATAAAAAAAAAAAAAAAAAAAATAGACTTTTTTTTCTGGAATAGCCAAATAGCTATATAAACTAGCTAAAATCCGTTCGTGTAAAATTCGCACACCAGTGAAAAGCAGAAATAACAACCTTCCCAGTTCCTGCAAGGGATAACAATTCAGGGGAGATCACATTCGGCTATGACTCTATAATATAATGTTGACAAATCTGTGTCCATTTCAAGAAACTGTATTTTGTTGAGTATAACATTCTCGTTCTGCAATTTTGACAAATTTACGTCTGCATAGTAATCAGGGAAAATCAGTGGTTTTCTGTTAGCATATATTTTTCTAACATACGAATTTTTCATTATGGTCAAATGGGGTGTAATATGCTCCTCCTTATCTTTGCTTGTATTGATTATGCTCGATGTGACATTGGCTTTTTCAGTTAAACTGTTTGGAAGTATTTTCTTCTTTGCATCATCCTTTGCACTCCTACTGTTTGTAACGATTTGTATGCCCCTCCTGATAAAGGAATTTCTCAAGAGGGTAATAATGTTCATTATATAATTTTGGCTACTTTCTTTTAAACCCAGATATAAAACATCGTTCCGAAATGTTTCCAATTTATCAAAAGAAATGGGTTGATGAGTAATCTTCTTAATTTCGTGCATGGCATCATGAAAAGCCTCCTTGGAGGTTTCCAATTGAGATTTTTTTATATGTAAAATAAGGAGAGAAATGTGAAATTTGTTTTTTTCAATTGCACATTCTTTTAACATGTCATACTTGCCAATAACATGATTTTGTACTTGGACTAATTCCTCCACTACAGTTTTGTGACTTGACAATGGAATGCATATGAAATAATTTGCTCTGGCGTTTTTCATTTTATTATGTTCTCTTAACATGTGCTGTTTACTACTTTGTGTGAAGTTCCTAAAATAATTCCTATGAACGATGGTATTCTGTAAGGTTAAAAAATTAAAAATACCTTTTCTTATATTCATTTCTCGATTCTTTTATGTGTGGTAAAATGTATGCTCTCCACACCCCAAACACACACTTTATCATTTGTTAAAATAATGAGGAAATGCAAATTTTCTGCCTTGCCCCAATACATTTTTTGGCTTGACACATATGTTTGAGGTTGGGGTAAATGCTTGATAGAATAATCTACCTTTTTTTCTTTTCTTTTAAAAAATCTACCATGAGGAAAAGATATAATATGCCATTTTGTTCTATTGTAGAAAAGGACATTATATTATTTTATTTTTATTATTTTTTTTTTTTTTTTTCCCTTGTAGTGTCGAAAAGTGAAAAGGCTGAAAAATTTACCCCCCTCGTTTCTTTTATCATTTGTTGTGTTGTTGGTTTGCCTGCACGTTCAGGTGTTTTACTGTATTTTGCTTTACTTTATTTTGTTTCACTTTATTTTGCTTTACTTTATTTTGTTTCACTTTATTTTGCTTTACTTTATTTTGCTTTACTTTATTTTGCTTTACTTTATTTTGTTTCACTTTATTTTGCTTTACTTTATTTTGCTTTACTTTATTTTGTTTCACTTTATTTTGCTTTACTTTATTTTGCTTTGCTTTACTTTCTTTTCTTTCTTTTTTTTTTTTTTTTTTTTTGGCTGACTTACACTCCCACCAGTCTGTCTTTAAGCGCAAACAGAAGAATAGATATAACGCCTCAAATCATTATGCACAAGAGAAAAGCAAACAAACCCTAAGTATGTTGCATCCAGGGTGAAACATGTCCTGTTTTCACTGCCCATATGTGTGCAAACATTTTTAGAGAGCGTAGAAGAGCACATCCCCCGTGGTAGCGCTTTCCCCTCCCGTTCATTTATTTATTCATCATTCACATATTTTTTCACATTTATTCACTCCTTTTTGCATATTTGCTTACATCTTTGTTTGCGTATTTATTTTCATATTTACTTAATTATTACTATTTTTTTTTTTTTTTTCTACAAAGAGCAGGAAAGGTGAAGTCATAAAATGTGCCATCATATATATCTTATACCATGCGGTGATGTCACTTTTTTATCGAAAAAAAAAAAAAAAAAAAAAAAAGAAAAAGCCTTCTTAGCTTATAGCCACACATAGCAAAGGTGCATAAGCACTCACAATTTTGACATCACATTTGAAAAAGCCAGAATGGGATGGAAACATGAAAAAAAAATAAAAAAAAACACAGAAAGTGTACCATGTGTTTGTGTTACACCTTTGCTTGCCTCTTACACCGCATGTTTATACAATTAGAACGAAGCTGAATTAATAGCTACTCATGTTATAAAGGCATTTTATTTTTTTTCTTATTTTTTTCTTATTATTTTTTTTTTATTACTTTTTTTTTATTATTTTTTTTTATTATTTTTTTTTATTATTTTTTTTTATTATTTTTTTTTATATGGCCTGGCATACCCCGTTATGCCCCTTTTTGCATCGAAACATTATTGCCGTTCAGGTAAATAAGAGAAGCTACCGATATTTCAAAACCATTACAGGCAGCAAATTAAGCGTTACAAAGAAAAGCAAAAAATTAAGTTCCAAAACAGCAAAATGTATTAATTACCATTTTTTGAAGAAAAAAAAAGCTGAAGAACAAATACAGTTTAATGTCTTAAAAAGGAAGAAACTAAAAGAGACAACTTCTTCCCAGTTTCATTTTACATGTCATATTAAAAATGGAGAAGTTGTCTTTTCGAAAAATGGAAATGTTTGGTTACGCGAGGACTCTTCCACTGCAGCAAGGACAAATCTGCCAAGACTCTGGGATGAGTACATTCCCAAGAAGCAATTCGGATGCACACAGCTCCGGGGAGGAGAAGCTGTGGGTACACCTCTAGACAGAACAGTTGGAACATCTCCAGACGGATCAATTTGCACACCTCCAGATGGATCAATTTGCACACCTCCAGACGGATCAATTTGCACACCTCCAGCTGGAGAAACATTTCGGTTTTTCCCCCTCACGAGCATCAGGAAGGACAGAAAGGCAAAAGACTTAAAAAACATGAATATGCTGAATAGTGTTCTTGAGGTTGGAGAAAAGAGAGAAATATGTGACTTATACCTGACAACATGTTTAATAAATTTATATCATGATGACAATTATAATTACCAGATTTTAAAGATGATGAAAAATATCAAGTATACACAAAATTACATGAACATGCGTCAAATAAGTTTAATCATTTACAACTTATATAAATACACTTTCATTAGTCAAATAAAACAAATATATTGTAAGGATGAAATTTCGAATTATGAATGGTACTTAAAATTATTTTACATAATGGAAGATGATATTTTCATAATTCCTATTAACAAAGAGCAGAACACTTGGAAAAGTTATAACTTTGTAGACAGTGGGTTAATTAAAAATTTCCTCATATCATTATCTCCAAATATTAAAAAGCATATGCATTATGAAAATGACCTGAACACGTTAAGCAGGATAATTTTTGTGTACTCCTATTTTGCAGTGCATGATACAATGTTGCTTGAGATGCTGATTAGTAAAATTTTTAAATGCATGTACATGAAAAAAAATAAAAAAATAAAATATTTTTCCCTAATCGCCTTAGCTTTTGAAAAATTTAAATTGTACAGTGCTAAATTCATCTTTGCATATTCTTCCATTCTGACCAAAAAAATAATTAAATTAACAAGGCAAGGTGAAAAATTGCTCATGAATAGGAAAAAAAAGAAAAAAGCCAAATTAAAACATGTTAATCTGTTTGACATACACAAGAAACAGAAAAAAATATCCCTCATCCCTTTGAAAGATATTTTTGCATACATCTATATAATCAACAGAAACAATGTAAAGAATAACTATTTCATCATCAGGTTATTAAAGTATACCAACTTGTTTTTTTCCAAAAATGTGGAAGCACTTAAGGAACATAGGGAATCTGAATATCCAGGTCCTCATAATCTGCATGGACATAATGACACTGCAAAGGCAAATATCCCTTTAATTAAAAATATAAAAAGAGAAATATTTAATAGTCAGCACTCTTTACAAAAAAATAATTTGTTAATGAGTTCCTCACTGCGCAACATTCTTTACACAAACAGGAAGAAACACAAAAATAGACGTATTATTCTGGCAATGCACGCCTTGCACAAAATTAGTAAGTGTAGCTCTAGGAAAGATCTGCATATCAGTTACTTTGCAAATCGTATATGTCTTCACCATGAGGAGGAGAAAATTTTATCTTCAAAAAAGTGTCATGAACACAGAGAGGAGGTAGAGAAGAAAGAAAGGAAGAAAGAGGAAGAAAAAGAGGAAGAAAAAGAGGAAGAAAAAGAAGAGGAAAAAGAAGAGGAAGCAAAAGAGAAGTTCAACCGTGACGGGGTCATGTGTAATGATGCGCGTGTCCAAATAAAAATAAGAAACAGGAATTGTAACACACTTGGCTTACCTGACACTTCGAAGACACGTGAAGACTTAATAAAAAATGACAAACCTTCGAGAGAAGAAAACACAGACAATGGAGGTTGCAATAATTCCCCCCCGTTGCACTATGGGCCCGATTCCACCGTCTTCATTAACAATAAGCAGAACTTGACAAATTTTTACAAAATGGAAATTATCCCAATGGCAGTTTTTTTATATTATCTGACTTCATATGATTATATATTTTTTAAAAAAATGGACGAATTTAACAAATTAACAAAATTGTATATGGACATAGTCAGGTGTAGTAACATAAAAAATCTTCATTTTTTTTACACGTACAGAATTCTCAAAATTAACGGATACACAAATATATACAATAACTTTTTAACCAAAATTATATACTCTTCCACTCTTTATAAATGTAAGCGATACATTATCTTAACTAAGAGTGGTGTCTTACAAGAAACGTGTGCATTGAATGTATGTTCAAGCGTTATTCTCCTTTACATTTATATTTTAAAAAATAAAATAAAGGACTACAATTTGAATGACGCCTTAAATGATTTTTTAGTTCATTTCTTTTCTAATTACAATTCTGAACAAGTCAACTACAAATTTGTAATCCTATGTTTGAAATTGCTATGTATGTTAAAATGTCCCTACAACAAGACGCTGCAAGGTGATGATAACACAAGCCTCACATCACTTGGGAGACTAGGAATAAGCGGGGAGAAAACAAAAACAAACAATGAGAAAGTTGGATTATCCGAGAATATAAATTTCCCAATCGGAAAAGAAAAAAGCAGTATTGATAGAAAATTAAGAAATGCATCATCATCACCATATAATGATAAATTGCACTTTATAAACTTATCCATTTTAACAATTTTAAAAGGGATAAATTGGAAATATGTGGATAATTTATCACTACTGAAATGCTACAAATATATGAACAGGCTCGTGGGGGAAAAAAAAAATGGAAAATATTTTATGAACATGGTCAGGCAAAATTTAAAAGTGCAAAAAAAAATAATCCACACGGTAAAGGAAAAAATGTGCAACTTCAATTTAGAGGAATTGATGAAGCTCTATCTGTATAGCAGAAACAATTTTAAAAGAAGAACTCTCGTGTTGGAAAATTTTTTTACAAATTTGTTATTATCAAATAGGAATATTGTCCAAAGAGGTGATAACAACTTTTTCATTTTATTTTTCAAAACTGTATTAACACATGTTTACCTGAATGAGGTGGGGAATTTTTTTTTTTTTAAAAAATCGAATATCATTACGACAAAACTGATGACATTGTGTAAGAATTATATCTCTACACATATCGATAGCATGAGGAGGAAGCACATTTACTCCATAATTATGCAAACTCTTCTTTATTTATGCACACTTTTGCAAAAAAAAAAAAACAGAATTAATTATCATTCTATAAAGAGTAACCCCATTGTAGAAATCGTTGTAGACATTGCAAATACCACTTTGAAAAACTGGACATTCACCAATGATGAAAGGAGTTTACTCATTTATGTATGTTTACTTCGTTTCCACAATATTGCAAGGAAAAATAAAAAAATAAAAAACATTTTTTTTAACAAAAATGATGATAAATATTTTATAGAAAAATTTTCAAAAGTGTGTATAGAGAATGTTGAAAAAATATTCCTTTCCAAATTTAATCTATCCGCTATGACTTATACGAATCCATTGCTTCTTTTTCTTTTATTTAAACATAAAATAATTATACATTACAACACAAATAGGAAAGATGAACGAGTTGTGCAAAAGCTCTTCATCCGTGGAACTACACTTCATCGAGGAATGTTGAATGTAGCAATTGACACTCGATTCATTCGGTTCATTTTTTATACGATAACGAAAAATAACTTCATCCTAAGGAGCAAACTTTTGGACGATTTTGACAATTTATATGTGCATAAAATTACAATGAAGGAGCAGCTACCCCAGGATAATACTCACCAATCATTTACACAAAAAAGTACATATAATCTAAGTGCATGGATTGAACTCATGATGAACATGTCAACTAATGAAGATAACAATTTGTGTAAAAGTATCCTTTACAATTTTGTTGCACGTAGGAAATCAGTGGAAAACGCTGTAAAAATCGCAATAAGCATGAACCAACCCAGGGGCGTTTTCCTGGTAGGACATATATGAATGAGGGGAATGGATGACACATAACACACACCAGGGAAAGGTACACATGAATTCAGTGACATGGCATGCCCCTTCCCCATTTTAACCATTATGCGTGTCACTTACTTTTGTGTTATGGAATTGACTCGACTGTCCCACATCAAGCTTCATTCGTTCGCGCCATCCAATTGTGCGAAATTTTGAATGAGTTTAGTTCGCAATTTCGAATGAGTTTTATATGGCTTTTTTTTTTTTTTTTTTTTTTGTTTTTCTCTTCCTATGATTCATCGTGCATACACATATGCTTGTGCACACGCGTGAAGGTGATAATTAGGCAACTAAAAATGCATGATGAAAGAAAAAAACTTCCCCATTGAACTCCCAACAGTAACAACAGCGACAGCAACAGAAACGTCGGCAACGACAAGGGCACCTCTAAACGTATGCTTCTTACCATACTGAGGTGTAACAAGAAAGGACACCTGATTTCTGACGCTGGTAGGTGTTACATCTCTTAATTTTATGATAAAAAAATATATAGCGAAAAAAGTTCTTAAAATTATGAACAGAACTAAAAAAAAAAAAAATTTATCCAAAAAAGTCCAAAAATTATGAACAAGATTAAAAAAAAAAAAAAATATAGCCAAAAAAGTCCTTAAAATTATGAACAGAATTAAAAAAAAAAAAAATTTATCCAAAAAAGTCCAAAAATTATGAACAAGATTAAAAAAAAAAAAAAATATAGCCAAAAAAGTCCTTAAAATTATGAACAGAATTAAAAAAAAAATATATTCAAAAAAGTCCTTAAAATTATGAACAAGCCGTGAAAATGTATATATATATATATATATATACACATTAGCATATATATGTGTACATGTGGAACACCCCATGATGAATCTTTTCAAAAGAGCCGCTCTACTTCCATATGGTGTTGAAAAAATAAAAGAAACGAAAACTCCAGTAAAAATAAATATGCATGTACACGTGGAAGATAGCAAAACGTGTGTGCATACGTAGATATAGATGAAGGCGGGATATGTTATCCCATGGGTGCCTAAGCGCAGGATTTAGTGTTCATAAATCATGGAATTTTCAAGTTTGCCCCAAAAGAGCAGAAATTTTTTCCAACGGTTCCCGGATTTTTTCCTACATTATTTGCCTTACAACAGTAGTTACCCTATGCACCGATCAAATTTGTTCCCGCTTTAGATTTTCCTTCTCTCCTTTTCAAATATATTGTCGTTGCTTCAAGCCATCAACAGAATCTCCAAATTGAGGGTATAGGATAATAGCTTTTCTTTTATTTTCAGTTCACTTCTTTTCTTTTATTTTCAGTTCATTTTTTTTTTTTTTTTGTTTTTTTTTTTCTTTTCATTTTATTTCATTTTTTTCTTTTCCTTCCTTTTCCTTTCTTTTTTCTTCCCCCCCACCCCCCTCAAAAACCTCGAAATTTTACAACAAAATGGAGGAAAAGGGGAAATCAAACTACCCAAGTGACAAAGATTTACACAAAAAATTTGTGCAGCTTCGAGAAAACATCGAATTGGAAAAGGATGATTCGAAGAATCACTTAGTTAAAGAAATGAAAAAATTGTTAATATCAGTTCTGTTAAAATATAATGCAATAAAATTTGGTGATTTTATTTTAAAATCCAAAAGGAAATCAAAATATTTCTTTTCAAGTGGTGTATTAAACAATATCATTTCAGGAAACATCATTTCCTTTTTAATATCCCATTTAATTTTAAAAGAAAATATTACTTTTGATTATTTATTAGGAGCATCTTACAAGGGTATTCCAATTGCAACTCTAACTAGCCACTTCTTATTCCAGTCTAATAAATTTTCAAATATTTTTTACTTGTATGATAGAAAAGAAAAAAAAGAATATGGCGATAAAAATGTTATTGTAGGAAACTTAGATGATATAGTTAATAACCATGTGGAGAATGGAAAACAAGACAAAGAAAAAAAAGTTATAATAATTGACGATGTATTTACATGTGGTACTGCTTTAACAGAAATAATAAATAAATTGAAATCATACCCAACCTTAAAAGTTGTAGCTGTCATTGTTCTTCTCAACAGAAATGAGTATGAACTAAATGAACACAATCATAAAATTTATTTTAAAGACATGTTTGAACAGAAACTGAACATCCCACTTCATAGTATTCTTAATTATAACGAGGACCTCCAGCATCTCATGCAGTAGGTAAAAAAAAAAAAAAAAAAAAAAAAGAAAAAAAAGGATGCACTACCAAAATGGGTAAAAAAAAAAAAAATCACCGTGTTTTTTTTTTTTTTTTTTTTTTTTTTTTTTTTTTTTTCTTTCCTGCAACCTTGCTGCTATTCTATCTATGTAGTATTTTTACATTTCATAATTGTTTCAAACGCAAAAAAAAAAAAAAAAAAAAAAAAAAAAAAAATCTGAAAAAAAAAAATTAAGGTAAAAAAAAAAAAAAAAACATTCCCTTTTTTTTTTTTTTTTTTTTTTTTTTTTTTTTTTTTTTCTTTACAAAAACATTGATAAAATTAAAAAAAATAAAAATTTTTAAATTTAAAAATTTTTTAAAAAAAAAAAAAAAAAAAAAAAAAAAAAAAAAAAAAAAATCTGATAAAATAAAATTAGTCTGTGCAAGCATAATGCACATAAAGTTAAACGTGTGCACTCCCCCGGTGCGCAAGTGTAGAATTGTGTATCGATGTGTATGAGCGTGCATAAATGTGTACCCATGTGTGCATACATATATACGTACCTACGTACACCTACATATACATGCACATATATATACACATACTTGTGCATACACACATAAGGATGAACAAAGAATAGTTTGCACAAATAAATATAGCAGCGTCGTGAAAGAAGACAAGAAAAAATAAAATTCTTATTAAGTAAAAAAATAAAATAAAAACGTTAAAATGTAAGAATGGGGGAAGAAGAAGAATATAAAAATTAAATGTCGAATAGATGTCGAACAAATGCCGAACAGATGCCGAACAGATGCCGAACAGATGCCGAACAGATGCCGAACAGATACAACATACGTGAAGAATAAAAATTTTAAATTATTGAATCATTAGGTTAAAAAATATTCACATCATTATCGTGTATGTGTATATACACGCATATATGTGGGCTATACACTTATGTACTTACGTGTGTACAAAACCCAAGAAAAGCTTCAGATACATACGAATATATACATAAATGCTTATCCTCTGCATCGTCTCACGCTTACATGCTTCCTTCTGATGCAATTTTTTAAAAAAAAAAAATATAATAATATTTTGCAAATGTGAAAAGAGAGGTTTAGGGATTTTCTTCTCTCTCATAGGGTACCACCTCCTCCCCCAAACACAGACAACCACATAAATTATGACTTGGGAAAAAAAAAAAAAAAATGAAGAGGAGGAATAGAGGGAGGGAAACCTAATTACGATGAAACGAGGTGTCACGAAGAGAACATAACACACACACACACACACAACAACAAACCAAAAGAAATGAATCCTTTCACAGTTTCACATTTGGACTCTTCATTTTATTCCATTTCACCTCCATGCCTTTTAATTTATTCCAACTGCACAAAGATATCCATTTTACATAAGCAGAATATGATTAGCAGCATTTTTTTTTATTGTCCTTAATCGGCTTTGCATTTAAATTTATGTTAGTCCTTCCCTTTTGCTGATTCTCCAGTTGTGATTTATTTTTTATTTCATGGGCCATGGTTTTAAAAGCTTGTTCCACATTATGAGCTATTTTAGCTGATGTTTCTAGGAATTGAATATTGCAACTATCGGCTAGTTCTTTTCCTTCCTCGTAACTTACATTTCTGTCATTTTTTAAATCAATTTTGTTTCCTATTAGTATTTTCTGTACATCTTCCGATGCGTACCTTTGGATTCGGGAAGGGGGATGGGTGTGCGTTTGCACTTATGTTTGTGTTTTCACTTATGTTTGTGTTTTCACTTATGTTTGTGTTTGCACTTATGTTTGTGTTTTCACTTATGTTTGTGTTTTCACTTATGTTTGTGCAAAAATTACAGACATGTGAATAGAGCAAGGGGGGAATCTGAGTGATCTCTCTAGATGCAGTTCCACCCTTTCCTCGGTCATAAACTCTTTTATGCATACTTTTCTATTTCGATTATCCAATTTTTCACGTTATTAAAGCTATCCCTGTCAGTGACGTCGTACACGATGATGATACCTGAATGTGCAGGTAAAAAAAATAAAATCATAAAAATGGAATAAATTAAAATAAAAAAAGAATAAATAAAAAGTAATTAATCGAACGCGCTTTCTTAGCATTGTTTTTTTCGCATCGTGTTTCACATGAAAACATTTTAATGGCTAACAAAATAAAATAAATAAATAATAATAAAATTTTAAATAAATAATAATAATAAAATTTTAAGTAAATAAATAAATAATAATAAAATTTTACGTAAATAAAAAAATAATAATAAAATTTTAAGTAAATAAATAAATAATAATAAAATTTTAAGTAAATAAATAAATAATAATAAAATTTTAGGTAAATTTAAAAAGAACCTTGCGCTCCCCTATAATAAGACGACGTTATAGTTCTGAATCTTTCCTGCCCTGCTGTATCCCACTACATTTGTTAACAAGAAAAAAAAAAAGAAAAAAAAAAAAGAAAAAAAAAAAAAAAAACATAGATAGATAGGCATATATGTATATACATATATGTATGCATACATGCACACTCGTTACATTGCCAGGTTTGCAATTTTTGCTTCTGCCACTTTTAGCACTTGTATCTTCTCTCCTCCTGTCACTAAAAAGTGGAACATAAAATGTTGGTGACTCGGAAAATGAAGACTTACTATTTGTAGTTTTATAATTTTATCATCAATTTCTATTGTTTTTATTTTGAAATCTACTCCTATCGTGCTGATGTAACTATCGGTGTAAGTATCATCCTGAGAAAAAAAAAAAAAAAAACCACATAAGACGAATTCAAAATTGTGTACTTAAATGCAAACAAAAATATATATCTTTTTCTTTTTTTTTCTCATTTTCTAAGAAAATTATTTATCGCCCTTTTTTCTCCTCCCCCTATTTTGCTTTACAACATATGAAATATAGACACATTTTGTAATGTTGTGGGTGCACAAATATACATAATTATTTGCATTGCACATTGGGGCTATAAAAATTTGTGCAAAAATTTATGATCACACGTGAACTCATATGGTGTATTATTAGGGTTGTGTGTGCACTATTGGGGATGTCTCTTTTTTCTGTATACGTAAAATAATTATATCACTTTTCCGTTCATATGGAAACATGTGATTAGATTTTTGTTTCATGTGTTCAGTATATGTATATTACACCAAAAGCCACTCATATAATAGACACACATTGATGTGCAGCAACATATGTATATGTATAAATATGCACAAATATGTACGCATATATATACGTAGCCGGTATTGATGCTCTCTCTATTCATTTTGTGTTCTATCATTACAGCAAAACGAAGGAGTAAACAAGATTTTCCAACGCCACTGTCTCCAATTAATAAAATTTTAAATAAGCTGTCACTGTAAATCCGGAAAGAAAAAGAAAAAAATATATATATGCGAAAAAATTAATGTATAAAAATGAAAAAAAAGGGGGACTTGTGTTTATTGATGTAGACTTTGATATACATTCGTTGTGGTGCAAAAGTAAACTGGGAAAAGTTCAGCAAACAGGAGCAGTTATCACAAATGTGGCAATTATACACATATACATACGTATGTACATACATATGTACATACATATGTACATATATATACACTAATGTATAAGCCCATACACTACCACGTAGAAAAACACATGCACAAACGTAGTTGAATACAATCATTTGAGTATATCTCTAACGCAACACTCAAAATTCTATACAAGTAAAACATGAAGTGAAAACATACTAGCTATCATTCATTTTTGTATTCCGAAATTTCTATATTTGTTGACGGAGAAAATTAGGAAATGCACAAATGGAGAATAATAGGGAACAAAAAAAGTAAAGAAACAGGTATGTACATGTATGCATATGTTATATGTACATATATATACACATATATACAATAAAATGAACGCGCGAAAATGAAATACTCGTAAAGGTCAATCAAACGTTCTACTCAGCATGAACACTAAAAAGGAAAAAAAAAAAAAAAAGTGAAGAAATGGGGGCGGGAAAATAAAAGGAAAAACACGCGCAAAGAAAAAGGGAAACAAAAAAGGAAAAAAAAAAAGGAAGCAAAAAGGGAAGCAAAAAGGGAAACAAAAAAGGAAACAAAAAAGGAAACAAAAAAGGAAACAAAAAAGGAAAAAAAAAGGAAAAAAAAAAAAAGAAAAAAAAAAGCTAGGAGCAAGGGTAGAGGTAGAGGGATATAAAGGGCAAAAAGGTAAATATATGAAAAACGTAAATATTATCGTGAATGGCTAAAAAAGTAGGGTAACCAAAAAATAAAGCAAAACGAGAACAGAAACGGGAACGGAAACAAGTATGTGAACAATGACTTGAAACGATTCATGTTTTTTTTTTTTTTTTTTTTTTTTCGAAAAATTAAAAGGGAAAAAAAAAAAGAAAAAAAAAAAAATGAAAAAGAGCAACCTTTGTAAAAATAAGCATGAAATTAATAAAGACAAAAAGAAATGTGTACAAAAAAGGGAAAAAAAAAAAAAAAAAAAAAAAAAAATAAAGTAGCAAAATGGTAAGTGATCAATGAAGACAAATCATGAATGATTGATGGAAATCACGAATAATAAGCTAATGTGAAATAGTTTATAAAAAGAAAAAGAAAAATCAGCAAAAAGGCAAAAGAAAAAGAAAGAGATCAGCTTATTTGCTAAAACAAAAAAAGTAAAGAAACAGGTATGTACATGTATGCATATGTTATATGTACATATATATACACATATATACAATAAAATGAACGCGCGAAAATGAAATACTCGTAAAGGTCAATCAAACGTTCTACTCAGCATGAACACTAAAAAGGAAAAAAAAAAAAAAAAGAGAAGAAATGGGGGCGGGAAAAAAAAAGGAAAAAAAAGCGCAAAAAAAAAGGGAAAAAAAAAAGGAAAAAAAAAAAAGAAAAAAAAAGGAAAAAAAAAAGGAAAAAAAAAAAGAAAAAAAAAAAAAAAAAAAAAAAGAAAAAAAAAAAGAAAAAAAAAAGAAAAAAAAAAAATGAAAAAGAGCATCCTTTGTACATATATGCATGAACTTACTAATGACACACAGACATGTGTACACAAAAGGGATAAAAAAAAAAAAAAAAAAAAAAAAAAAAAAAAAAAAAAAGAAAAAAAAAAAAAAAAAAAAAAAAAAAAAAAAAAAAAAAAAAAAAAAAAAAAAAAAAAAAAAAAAAAAAAAAAAAAAAAAAAAAAAAAAAAGAGAAAAAAAAAGGGAAAAAAAAAAAAAAAAAAAAAAAAAATAAAGTAGCAAAATGGTAAGTGATCAATGAAGACAAATCATGAATGATTGATGGAAATCACGAATAATAAGCTAATGTGAAATAGTTTATAAAAAGAAAAAGAAAAATCAGCAAAAAGGCAAAAGAAAAAGAAAGAGATCAACTTATTTGCTAACCCTTTTGAGAAACTTTCTCAAAATGGCACATAACATTCTAACACCAAAAATAAAAAAGATGAAAAGGTAAAAAAAAAAAGAATACAAGAGAAGATAACCCATTTATTTTTAAATATGTTTAAGGCCTTACACATATATATGCTCATATAATTTGTTACTAGCATGTACTAATGAAAGGAAAATTAAAAAAAAAAAAAAAAAAAGGAATGTCGAAGATGGTGATTAAAAAAGTTGGAAATATTAACATAAAGATGACACACACATACACATATATATATATATATTACCATGGGAAAATGGAAATGTGTAATGTGAATATATACACATAAGGAATGTACATCTTCAGGGTAGAAGAAAAAATATTTCATGCCCCTAACATGTACCAAATGAAGCAGTGATATTAAGAAATTGATAATGCCATCAATTTGTTACACTGCAAGTTGTGCACATGCAACACACGTTTCCTGATATCACAGGTGTTTATGTTTAACAGCAACTGTGTATATGTGTATTTGAGTGTATGCATGTGTGTGGTTAACTCCACATGTATTCTGTGGGCATGCCACTTTCATACTTATCTCTTCCTTTTTTGTGAAATCATGAATATTGCCATGGAATAAAAATTTGGAGAAGTGAAAGGATTGGAAAAAAGTGAAAAAAAAAAAAAAAAAAAAAAAAAATACGTAAATGTAAAAGGGGAGTAAACGGAATATAGAAAAATTTCCCTCTTTTTTTTTTTTTTTTTTTCTATGTCATGATGTATAGATCTCTTAATTGCATTGTTGACATTGACATTAACAGTTGCTTTTTCTGCTATTGAATGGAAACCATTTTGTATGTTGTACACTCTATGAAAGGAAAAATAAAACTCCTCTTGAAACTTTCCTAAGGAAGTGTTTTGTGTTCATTCGGTTCCTTGGTTATGTAGCCATTTGGACAATCATCAAAAATGGTGCATAATTAATGTGTGTGGCAAATGCTTTGTTCGTTTATTCATTCATTCATTTATTCATTTATTCATTTATTCATTCATTCATTTATTCATTCATTTATTCATTCATTTATTTATTCATATATTTATTTATTATTTATTATGTTTTTTTTTTTTTTCGTACTTACACCAGCATTTGTGTGCCTCAATTGGATGTATATTTTTTTTTTTTTTTTACCATTTGCACATGGCTAGTTCATGCCAAACCTCAAAAGTCTAATTAAAAATGTGGCATAAGTGGAAAAAAAAAAAAAAAAAAGAGAAAAAAAAAAAAGGGTGATAAAAAGGGAAAAAAAGCAACAGGTAAGTTATCCAGACAAGATAGGAAACATCGCGATATTCTTTTTTGCGCTTGGACAAAAGGGAGAAGTGTAAGATTATTTTATCGCTTTATTATTTTATCGCTTTATTATTTTATCGCTTTATTATTTTATCGCTTTATCATTTTATCGTATTATTACTTTATCATTTTATCATTTTATTACTTTATCATTTTATCATTTTATTACTTTATCATTTTATTATTTTATTTTACCCCCATTTTAAAATGACACAACTCGCTTCATCCTGTTTGATCAGAATGCCTTTCCTAACACGCACAGAAAAAAAAAAAAAAAAACCCTTGTCATACGGGTAAATTTTTGCTTTTCTTTGTTTTGCTTTATTTTTTTATTTTATTTTATTTTTTTTTTCTATGCTCGTGCGAATAAATTGTGTGAAACGAATGGGATGCCCTGTATATGTGTGTGTTCTTGGTGGTGAGGATGGGGAAAAGGCACATGGGAGGAGCAGTTCAAAATGTAAGCAATTTTGTCGATCCAGAAATATAGAACTATGTTTTGGCTTTTCCTTTTTCCTTTGTTTTTGCCCGTGCCTTTGTTTTTGTTTTGTTTTGTCCTTTTCATTTTCCCCCTTTGCGTTTCTACAAATTGAAGGGGACCCAAAACAAGTATGAAAAAATTTACCAACGTGCGAAAAATTACCACGTGGTAAACAAACTTATATCCAAAAAAAAAAAAAAAAAAAAAAAAAAAAAAAAAAAACCCTTCTTAACTAATGGGCTTCTTGCCTTCAACGCAAAAGTAGAGAAAATAACCATTATATATATATGTACATATTTATATAATAACATCGTGTGTACAATTTTGTGCTTAACTGTGAAAGAAGTTTGAGAGGATGATAAAAAAAAAAAAAAAAAAAAAAAAAAAAAAAAAAAATGCTTTCGTATAGATATTGTAGCAATTTTTAATTTATCCCTCTTGCTGTATTAACCTGATGTATTGCATTTGTGTGTTTCTCTCCACACGATGGGGTATGCCTACTAGCATTCGAAATATGTGTGTAATACAATAGAATAACGAAGATTAGTGTAGATTTACCACTGTTGGCGAATTTTCATTTCTAAGTAGTTAGCCACATACATGCATGCACAATTTTTATTATTTTTGAAAAAAAAAAAAAGAGCTTGATCACCTCAACCATCTCTTATTCCGTGAAGGCCCTTCCCATCTGCAAATCTAGATAAGTTGCAACATGAACGCTTGTATATATATGTACACATATATAGACGCTTGTGTAGGGTGAATGTAGGGATGTGGAAAAGTCTTGCCGGTTTGTTATATATCGTTCAATTTTGGTGTAATGGCCTTGAAAAACACACCTGGAAGAGAAGCAGAAACTGAGCAACCCCCACACTGCACATACGCACACGCACGTACACACACGTATACACACGTATACACACACACACGCACAAGCTCGACCTAAACTGCGAGAAATGGAAAGGTACAAAGCGTTCCTAAAGGAAATAAATAAGGAAAATGTGAAGATTAGGAAAAAGATACTTTTTGTAAATAATAAAACAAAATACAAAGTAGTTGATGGAAGGAGGGTAAATTACAACAAGTATTTTGTAAACAGCTATGAGACTGAAAAGAAGTTTAATGTGTACAAATATTATAAACATAAAATAGTTAAAAGTAAAAGAAAAAAAAAAGGGGTTCTTGACAATTATGATTTTCCCTTCTTTGAAATTTATAAAAATACAAATGAAGCATTTAAAAATAATCTTTCAGGATATAAGATTTTTAAAATTATAAAAAATTATGATGAATTACAATTGTTCAATTTCTGTTCAAAAAGGGGAGGTAATGGTAGTGCAAAATGGTCTTACCTTTTTTCTCATTTCATTGAAATTGTAATTAAAAAAAGAGACCTCTACAGCATTAGCAATTTATTGTTACTAACAGATAATTTAAAAAAACTAAATTATTACAATCCATATTTTTGTAAATTAATATGTAGAGAAATATTTTTAGATTTACATAAAATTAGGATAATAAATCATATAACACGTTTTCTAGATTTTTTCATGTTTTTCAACATTTTTAATTTTTATTACTTGAACAAATTTTATAAATATCTTACTTATTTTATCACCCAAAGTAATAAATGGAGACTACTCCCCCAGGTGAACAATTTGGAATGTGCTTCAGATGGAAATTTAAATGTGAATGTATTCACAAAAGAAATTATTGAACCCATGTCAAACAGTGCAGATGTGCATCTAACACCTATACAAAATTATGATATTATTACCTTATCTTTGTCATTTCAAAAATATAAAATGTTTGATCCTGATTTGCTTTACATACTATCATATGTGTGCAATCATGAAGCATATCCCCATCTACAAAATGTAGAAACGGTGTATTCCTTAACCCAATTGACTCAATTTTACAAACTTTTGAACATGTCTTATTCTTCTAATTTATTCTTTAATTTATTTAAAAATGTTTTAAGAAAGAAACAATTAGGAAATACCAATTTTGTCTTGCTGTTAAGATCATATTACAATATTTGCAAAACTTTTGGCACTACCTTCGATTTAGACACGTACAATTTGTTGCTCAAAAATTATGAACGGTCAGGTGAAAAAAAAATAGCCATCCTTGGGGAGGAGGAAGCTACTCCTCTCCCCACTTATGTCTTATCAGAATGGGTAGGAAAAAAGGCAAAAAGAAAAATAAAAAAAATGAAAAGAAGTAAAAACACAGATCAAGACGTGGGAAACGAGGGAAACCAAATTCCAAGTGAAGTTACATCGACAGACAAAATGGAGGAATCGCGAGAAACCAACAAGTTAAATAGAAACGAGATGATGAGCCGAAAGCAGAAACGAAGGCATGAAGAGGCACCAGCAAGAGCAGCAGAGGAAGGAGAAGCAGGAAGAAAAGTGGAACAGGCTCCAACTCGTTTCGAAATGGAAGATAACGAAATAGTAAGAGAGAAAACCTACATGAGTCCTTTTAACTCGGATATAAATTCCAACCTGAAGAAGCAGAACCTAAATGACAGCTTCTTAGTTTTAACTCACGATTATGAAACAACAAATCCTTTGGAGAGTCGCTTCAAAGACATACTTAACATGATAAAATATGTGATATTATTCATAGAATTAAAAATAATTTCATTCTTCCCCTTTGAGAAAAGAAAAACTCGATCTGAAATTGAATTTTTTAAAAGAGCCAATTTTGAACGAGATTATGATAAAAATGTGTATAAATATATTGCACAGAACATTGGCAAGGAACATAGTGCCTCTTTGGAGAAATTACTAAAAATGAATAAGCAGAAGGATTGGTATGAACCGATGGAAAAGGAGAGGAGCATCTTCGACGATTCAAACATGTCCTTTTTATTTTACTTGAATTATAGTCACATGGGTGAAAACGACGTGGGAAAAGACATGGGAAATGACATGGGAAACGAATGGCCTGAGAAATTTTCGGTGAAGCAACAACAGGAATCAGAAGTGGTCACGTTGGATGATATCAACAGATATATAAAATCCAAAAAAGATATTAAATTTAACCTAACGGATAGAACATATTTCTCTCACATATTTTCTCATTTATGCCAAACACAGGTGTGACCTCTACACACACACACAAAAAAATAAAATAAATAAAAAAAATAAAATAAAATAAATAAATAAATAAAATAAAGGAAAATATTTCCCGCAATATTTTTTTCATTACTCCATTGTGGATTAACAAATATATGTATAATTCATTATATTTTTTGGACATATACATGTGTGCTTTCTCCTTTTTTTTTTTTTTTTTTTGTAGCTAAGCGAGACGGAAGAGCACATATTGAAGAATTGCATTGAATCCTTGCAACATTTTGGGAACAATTTTTTTCGGCTTGACGTGAATGACGTAGCAGATTTATTCTACTCTATAACGGTGTACCAAATTGTTCAGGTAAAAATGGGAGAAAAATGGCTAAAAAATGGCTAAAATAGCTAAAATGGCTAAAAAATATGAATTAGAGCAAGGATAGTAGAAGACGTATTCGCCAAGAATAACAAATAAAATCAACTACCATGCATCGCATACACAAATAACCATTTTTTTTTTTTTTTTTTTTTTTTTTTTCATCTCCTTCCCTCCCTCATCCAAAAAAACATTTACAGGGTTGTCAAAACGGAATGATAACAAAAAATAAATATGGGTACTCCAAAATTAGGAAATATGGAGAATATGACAAATTGTATCGAATATTGTCTGATGTTTTAATTAAGAAAATTATAAACATTAATAGTGAAAATATGTACAAAGTAATTTTATCTTGTGCAAACACGGCTTACACGGTGAGAATAGAAATTACTTAAATGAGCCATTATGTAAAATGGAACATTGTAGAATTATCCAGAATGTAAAACTTATATCCGTGTGTAAGAGACAAAGACATCCATGTCAGTGTGTTGCTTTTACCCCACTCAGCAAATTCGACTCTGCGTCTAGCCCTCTTAACAGACGCACGTAAAAATTCGGATCGGTCGACCTGCACCATTTCGACATACACTGTTTCTTCATTTCAACCTGCATTATCTCTCCACTTCGATCTATATCATCTCTCCACTTCGATCTACACTTTCTCTACGTTTCTCCATTTATTAACCCCTCTCTCAGGACGTATACTTGAACCACTTTTTAAAAAACTTCAACAGACATGTAAAATTTTCAAAAATGAGGAAATTCATGAACTGCTAAGAACTAATGTTAATTTCCCTGACAGCAGAAAATGATCAGGTATAATATTTTCACTCAAATGAAGAACATGCGTTTTGGAATAAAGGGATTTTGAAAAAACGTGGATTTCTGCGACTAATTGTTTCGTGGCCACTTCTGAGAAAAAAAGAAAAACATGAAAATATGTAACACACATTCTAACGTTAGACGAATTCAAAAATGGGTAATACGTGAAGGAATGTGAATTTATTTTTACAAAATGTATTTTAAAAAGAAATTTTTTTTTTTTTTTTTTTTTAACCAGTATCACCAAGTTCGATCATGCCAGACATGGAAAGTAGAAATTCTCCTGTATCAGAGAAATATGTGAAACGAAAAAAATTTAGAAATGTACATATATATATATATATATATGTATAAGTGTATGTATGCATGTATATATATTTGTGTGTGATTGAGTATGTTTCCCTATATGCCTGATCAAATGGAGAAGTAAGAACACATTTTTATACACGTAAACTTGGGAAGCTTCGATTGCTTTCTCAGTTTTTGTCGTCCCTGTACTGTGCAGGGGTAAATATTTTTTCCTCATTTTTTCACATTTTTTCACATTTTTTTACATTTTTCCGCATTTTTCTACATTTTTTCACATTTTTCCGCATTTTTCTCCCATAAGGTAAACATATTACTTGGAAAATCAGGGAGGATCCATCTTAATTCTTGTCCGTTTTCGATCTTTAACTTTCCCTATGTGTGAAGAGTGGTGGTGAATTAAAAAAAAAAAAAAAAAAAAAAAAAACTAAAGAGTGACTAGTGTGTAAAATCACATGGTATCTACCCCATGTATGCCATTCATGCTGTTTCTATTTTTATATGTTTATTTTATTTTGCATATATGGAGTTAGATTTCATATTTTTCTTTCCCCGTTTACAATTCACCACATGTGTGCGAACTTTTTCTCCCTCGTTTCAGTATATTACCAAATTGCATTTCAAATTGTGTTCAAGTATTTCACTGCGAATAGGCAACCTTACGAAAAAATATTCCGTTATTTTCTTGTCAAAAATTATTTTATTTGTTTTACTATTCCACTGTAGTGTTATATCTATTTGTGCAAATTTCTCATTAACTTTTTTAAGCTTGTAAGAACCTGAAGATTATTCAAATTTTTTGTGTTTCACCATTGTATATGCATAGTAATATATTTGCTTTTTTTTAAAAAAAAAAAAAAAAAAAAAAAAAAAGAAGTATAAACAAAATTATTTTATTTTTTTTTTTTCTGACTAAATTATTTCCACTTTTTTGATCTTACCAATAAGGGGACATGTGACGCTCTTGTAGTAATATGTTAATATTTTGTTACTTCTATATTTAGTGCACAATTGGATCTTCAGGTTTTTCCCTCTAATAAGAGTTAAACATGTTGTATGAAGAGAATGTTCATATATGCATATCAATGCAAACAGGTGGGAAGTGTCTTTACAGATGAAACGTGTGAAAAGAAAAAAAAAAAAAAAAAAAAAAAAACTTATCCAATCTCTCTCCCCGTTATACGCACATTACACATTTGTGAGGTTTCTACTCTTGCTCACGTTTACTTCGGATTGAGTACCTTTTTTCTACCTGAACAAAATCTGCTGCATATATATCACATATATGGTTATCCAACCCAATCATCATGTCGACATCTAAGTACCTCTCATCATCACATCGTAATATTATTTCTCCCTGTATGAAAATGTAATTTTAAAATGAATCATCTGTATGAGCAGGTGCCAAGGGAAAGAAGGTGTAACTATCACAAATGTGTAACTATCACAAGTGTGTAACTATCACAAGTGTGTAACTATCACAAGTGTGTAACTATCGCATGTGTGTAACTATCGTATGTGTGTAACTATCGTATGTGTGTAACTATCACATGTGTGTAACTATCACATATGTGTAACTATCACATATGTGTAACTGTCGCGTGTTTTTAACGGATATCTCTTCTTTGGTTTAGTCACATTCGTTATAATCTATCGAACCTTTATTTCTGCACTTTCATTTTCAAAGCTTGTTATAAAGCTAGTTAATTCTTCACTAATCAACATTTGTGGTGGTTTACGTTTATTTCTCCTATAAAAGAGGAAAATATGCCATAAGGGTAAAGATTAAGAAACGGTAAAAAAAAAAAAAAAATCTAATTTTGCATAATTTTTTTTGTGTGTGCCCTTTTCCAACCATCAAGTAGTGTAGAACTGATTTAAAAAAGGGAAAAAAAAAAAAAAAAAAAAAAAAAGTATGCTTAAAATGGAAATTTTTTCCGATTTCATCATTACTCGTGCACGTAAACAGGCACATATGTCTGAATGTTTCCTTTGCTAATTTTTATATTCTCTTTTTCATCAAATTTGTTTACAATGTCTATTTTCTTATTTTTTTCAAAAAAAGTAGTGTAATTGTAAAAGAAGAAAAGATATAAGTGATAATACCCATTTTGTGAAAATTGGACAGTATCTCTGATTCTGTTACTCTTAGATGTAGCATAAAATTTTATAAGTAATTTGAAAAAGGTCTCTTTTATACTCTTGTTCATAAGGATGCCATTTTTTTGATAAATAAAAGGAGGTTTTTTATTTATATATAATATATCGTTTCGCTTTATTTGTTTCCGTAATGCACCCTGTGATATCTCTACTGAATTGTTAGTCTCATCCAAATTACTGTTTCTATGTGCATGATTGGTTTGGCCATTAGTAAGGTGCATATCATTGTGCTTTTCAGCGTGCTTATCAATGTGCTTGTCGTTCTGCTCATCCCTGTTCTCATCGCTTTGCTTCGCCCCCTGAGACAATTGATCGGATTCAGAATCCACATCGGACAGTTCATCATGATTACATTCACTTAGTTCGCTACACGCTTGTCTGAAATCATCTATAAAAACGTCTGATTTTTTATCGACACAGAATACTGGGTCCGAGGCTGAGGCTGAAATTTCCTTTTTTATTAACAACAGAAAGTTGTAAAAGTGGAAAAATTGACTCCCTATAATATCATCCGTTTTGTACATGTCTCCTTTTAAATAATTCAAGAAAGAATTGTTTCTCCCATATACTTTTCCATATGGTATGATAGAAGTTACGTAAGCATCTAAGATGGTACTAATCTTTTGGAACACTAATTTGTCATATTTGATTTTTCTGTTACTCGTCATGAGAAGAGTTGTCCATTTTTTCATATTATTTTTAATGTAATTTAAAAAATCATTCATAAAGTTGTAATAAAGTAACTTATTAGTATTGTTTCTAATCACGTCCATAGGATTTTCCATGTTATAATTTTCCATTAGTAGAAGAGTTATCAAACTGAAATTACCTTTTTTGATCAATAAGAAGGGATACACAATTTTGTTCTTTACTTCTAAGCTATAACAACTTATTGTCTTATTTAATTCTATGAATTTTTCATGTGATCCTGCATCTTGGCTAATATTTATTATTTGCTTCTTAAGTAATTCTTCCACATTTTGCAGTGTGTACATATTTACATAATGCAATTCCTGAAAAGGTAATGCAAAAAAAAAAAAAGTTATAATGTTGGAAATTCATCTTGTTAGAACAGGGAAAAATTAAATTTAGCAAATATACCAATACAATTTTCAGGTGAGTTTTTCTTTTTTTTTTCTTTCTCTTTTATTTTATTTTATTTTATTTTATTTTTTTTACTTGTGAACTTTTAGCACACATCTCCACATTGAGAAAACGTTTTTCATATATCATATTATGTCCTCCACAAGTTGAATTAAAAAGAAACAATGCTCTAATTCCATTCATTTGATTTAGTGAAAGTATGATCTTTGGAATGATTTTTTTTTTTTTTTTTTTTTTTTTTTTTAAAGCGAGGTTTCGATGAAGATAGAGAATTTTGCTTGATCCCAAATTAAAATAAGTTGGACCTTCTCACGCACACTTTCTGAGGTTTGGGTGTGTAGAAGTTTGCAAGTGTTGAATTGTTGAAGCGTTGACATGTCGAAGTGCACATTTTTAGACATGCAAATGTCCACACACAAAAAGTTGTAAATCCATGCAGGCGAAGTTGTTCGACTCCCCCACCTTTTAAGCAAATCGTATGAATGTACTTCATCAAATTAAAAATATATATATATATATATATATATATATATGTGCGTAAATTTCGAAGGAAAGACATCTCAAGTCGGATCACCCACGGCACACAAGTTGAAGAAAAAAGTTTTTTACATGCATCAGTGCTAATGAAAAAGTATACACGTAAAAGCAAATGTGCTATGAAAAAATGTAAGCATAAAAAATTGTACAAAATAAAAAAATATTACAATGTAACCAAGTAGGGACCACGACAATGTGACAAGGCAACAGGCAGTAAAGGGTGGGGGAAAAAAAAAAAAAATTCGCAAAAGAGAAAATACAAAAATAGGGAAATGCGAAAATAAGTAAATACAAAAATAGGGAAATGCCAGAATAGGAAAATACGGCAATATGAAAATTCTCAAATTCGCAAATAAGAATTCAAAGCGACTAAATCAGAGAGCACACAAATTAAAAGATACCATAGGTCGTGAAAATACATGTGTATGCCCCATATATAAAAAACAGGTGGCAGGCGTAATTATGTGCCTTTTTTTCTGAAAATTTGCACCTCTATGAGTGCAGAAAAAAAAAAAAAAAAAAAAAAAAAAAAAAAAAAAAAATCAAAACCCGACTCATGAAATGGAATATTCTGCACAATCATCCTCAATGTGAAAAGTGGACGACATGCGATATTATCACATGGTAAAAATATGTACATGATGAAATATGTGTGCATATCAGTAAGGTATTCTAGTGCAAGGTGTTATAATGCGTACATATGTGTAGTGTCATATGTGTAGTACCACGCGCGAACTCTAGCGATGCCCTTTCAAATGGAGAAAGCCATATAAAGGGATTAACAGCCATGAACTGTATGATGTGTTTTGTCACATCACTCAATGAATCAATCACTTTCTTTTCTTTTTTTTTTTTAAAGTTCTACTTAAAAATACCAGCATTACACTTTCCCACAAATAATAACCGTAACTTGTTACTCAACAGGTAGTAAGCCATGTCAAAATAAGGGTTTAAAAAAAAAAAAAAAAAAAAAAAGCACTCCCTATCCGTATAAACTTTACAATTCTAGATTAGTAGGTACTGTATTATTCTCATTTTTTCATCTTGTCTAATTTACACTAAAAATAGAATTTAGGAAATGGAACAAATTTTTCTTATGTGGAATTTCTTCTGGAAAATGTTCTCCCACCATCACTTGGTTTCCTTCTTCTGTAAGACGTTTGTGATGATGCTTATTTATTATATATGCTAAATCATAATGAATGGATGTGTTCCTTTTCACAAAATTATATTTGCACATATTTTCGGAATCGACAGAGTTATTAAACTCTAATGTATACACTGTAGTTCTTTTTTTTTTTTCGTGCATTTGGTTCATGTAACATTTCTTACATATACAGATTCTTTCAAAATCTGTTTTGTATTTTTTCATTGTGTCCTTTTTATATCTCTTAATTTCATATTTTCCATAATTTACTATTAATTTACTTTTTGTTTTTAAGCTCAAGTTGGAGGAATCTGCTACATTCTCTGATAGGTCATATTCATTCGCCTTGTGCGTTTTACTTCTTTGATATTTGTTTTCGTTCTTCCTATAAATGTATGACTTCCTGGATCTATTTTTCTCCTCTACACAGCTTGTTGGTGTTATGCAGGTACTTTTTCCATTCATCTTTGAGTAATGTTTTTCTTCCTTCAAGCATGTTTTACCGTTTTCCTCTTTATGATTCTCTTCACTTTTTTTTCTGTGGTTAACGAATTCGAAAATTTTAGAATATTCCTTTAAATAGGTCAATGCGTCCATTTTACAAAGGCAAGAAGGGGGATACGTGTCTGTCTGTTTGTGTCTGTATGCGTCGGCATATGTCTGCCTATGTCTGTTTGTGTCTGCCTATGTCTGTTTGTGTCTGCCTGTGTCTGCCTATGTCTGTTTGTGTCTGTATGTGTCTGCCTATGTCTGTTTGTGTCTGTCTGTGTCTGTATGTGTCTGCTTGCGTCCGTCTGTTTGTGTGTTTACGTGTGTGTGTGAGATGGATGGAGGGGTTATAAATTCGCGTCGTGACAAATTGTTTAGCAAAAAGGGCAGCGAATGCAAATCAGGTGACTCATCAAAAGCGTCTTTCAGTGTTCAAGACCTTGTAGATACGGAAAAAAATATAAAAAAATAATAAAATAGTAAGACGGTAAAATAAAAAATATAATGAAAACCAAATAGTGTTTTATAATTTAATGCCTGCAAACATAATTCAATACTAGACGCATAATATCAAATCAAACGCGCCCATTCAGCAGGATCACAAAGAAAATGAGATAAGTCACATAAAAAATTACGAAATAGGAAAACCGTTTATCCATTAAAAGAAAAATAATATCAGCAAAATTATTCATACTTTTTTTTTTTTGTTTTTTCTTGTTTACACTGTTTTGTAGTGGGAAATATGTATCTCAAAATATGGTAACGAAAGAAGAAAGAAAACATGGGACATGGTTGCATAAAAAGATTTTCACACACAAATTTGGTGTTTAAAAAAAAAAAAATAAATAAATAATAAAGGTTACATATGGAAATAAACCGTAGTACACGGTAGTGACTGACTAAGTAATAGTGCTATGTAGCCAAATCGAAAAACATTTCATTAATTATATTACCTGTGAAATTATTAGCAAACTAGAAAAAAAAAAAAAAAAAATGCAAAAAAACAGTTGTAGATAGCCAAATTTAAGCATATTTTCATACAATAATCCCTATAAAATTGTTAACACGTCAGGCAAAAAAAAAAAAAAAAAAAAAAAAAAAAAAAAAAAAAAAAAAAAAAAAAATTCTTTATATGGATCTACATATCTTTACAACTATGCTTCTATTCAAACATGTCAGACAGAACATGTAAAAAGGGGAGTAGGATTCTTCTTATATAAACATGCAAAAGTGGGGTACGTTAAAACGGTTGTCCATTTACTCTCTTTACACATAAAAAAAACATTCTTTTTTATCATTACCTCTGGAAAAAAAAATTCTAACTGTTCAAAATATTGTATGACTTGTTCATACAAAAGTGTTATATTTTAATGCTTTTGCAAAAAAAAAAAAAAAAAATAATATTACAAGGGAATGAGCATATCATTAAAAAAAAAAAAAAAAAAAAAAGTGGTGAATCATGCTCGGGAGTTCCATATTTCCATTTTAAAAAATAAAAAGTAAAAATTCTTATTTGTGTCTTCTACATTCATAACGAGTCATAAGAGACATTTTCTATCAAATGTGTACAGTTAATAAGAAGTAATTTAGAATGTATGCCCCGTCCTCCTACTTTTCCTCTCCTCTTATTCCTTTTTTTTTTTTTTTTTTTTTTTTTTTTTTTCCACAAGTATAAAATTGGGATCTTCCTGTTTGTTCCCATTTTTGCATATATTTACCTTAAGTGCGTAGGTACATATATATATGTGCACATATTGTGATGTGGTTGTTTTATGTTGACATAAGGTGTAAAATGTGATTAAATCGAGCTATTCTCACATAATTTGACATAAAGTAAAACCAAGAATTCTTCATGTCACGTGTTTACAAAAAGGGATAAGTATTTTTTTTTTTGAGCACCCCGTGCACGGATAAGGCTTCAACTTAAAATATGGCAACATAAGCATAAAAATACTACACATTCAATATGTGAACGACGACAAAAGAAGAAAGGAAGGAAGAAAAAAAAGAAAAGGAGAAATTTCTAGTTTTTAACAGCTCGTGGGGAATTAATCGGTCGAAATGAAGCTAACGTTAAATAGGCAATATTATAGGTATTTTCATCAATTGTTTATAAAATCTTTATGAAAAAAAAAAAAAAAAAAAAAAAAAAAAAGTCAATTTGATAAGTATGAAAAAGTGTTTATTACTTCATTATGCTATGACATTTTTTAAATTAGCAAAAATTTCATTTATGTGAAACGAAAATTGGAGAAAATGCAAAAGGGTCGGGAGAAGGCAGGCAACACATAAATACATACATCCATAATTCATACTACACGCATGCATATGTATATATATATATATATATATACAGACCACCAGGAGCGAAATGAACTAAAGAAACGCCAAGCACAAATAGAAAAATTTCTCAAACATTTTACCTCAATGTTTTAAAACATTGCAGTATTATTCGCGCGGGCGTGAACAAATATTTCAGGCGGAATTTTTGAATTTTTTGAGAAAATTAAAGCATCTCACATTTTATATACACTTATGTATGTGCGTATACAGCATGAACCCTGTGTGTGGCACACAAATGCCGATCAGGAAGGGATATTGCTATTATCGATTCGGCTTCAACAACCTAGCGAACGTTTTCAATAATAATGAAACCTTAAGAAAGAGTTATATATCCGATTCATACACAAACGATCATATTCAACTTTAGTGGCTAATTTGATAAAATAAAACATTAATATAAAAAGCTTAGAATAATAGGGGGGGGGGGGGAAAAAAAAAAAAAGTTCATATAAGAATAAATTAAGGTGTTTTTTTTTTTTTTTCCATCTACACTTTGACAATACTTCCCTTACTGGCATGATTAACATTTTACAGACAAATATTCACCCACATAAGATATACACAAACATTTGCACGAACAAGTTCCCCATGGATGAATACAAATGTACATGTTGCTTTGATGACATATACATAAACAGTGAAAAGAAACTGTTCTACATTGACATATGTAAACATAAGATATGTGGAGAATGCATAGAAGACCATTTGAACAAACACAACAAGCAGCATTGCCCCCGTTGTAAGATACCCGTGACAAAAAAAAATGTTGTCTCCTTTGATATAGAAGAAAGAATATATTTCAATCAGAAAAATATAAGGTCCAAATTGACTGAAATTTTTAATAAAAAAAGACACAACTTTGATACTACGCCATTATACAATAGCTACTTGGAGCAAATTGAAGATATTATTTATATGCTAACTAATGAATGTGATGAAAAAAAAAGGAAAATAATTGAAGATTATATTAAAAAATATGAAAAAGAAAATCAGAAATTAATTGAAGAAAATAATGTTCTTATTTATGAAAATGAAAAAAAAAAAATTCATGATATTGTGAAAAAAGAAGGCAATTTTTATGAAATAACGAAGCATAGGTCTATTATAAACAAATCCCATAATGAAACATTTGTACATTCATTAGTTAAGGAAAACCCAAAATTATTTGATGAAATAAAAGTAACCAAAATTACCGAATCACAGCCACAACCTTTAAATCCAGCTATTAAACAGGATACCGATATACCTAGGCGAAGATTTTCTTCTGAACAAGATTTAAAAAAATCGGACTATGCAGGGGGGTACGATTCTTCCATTGTTTTTAAAAGGTGTGACACGGAGTTTAATTCCACAATATACCTTAACATATGAAATGTTCCTTCCCCATACTCTTGTCCTTATTTCTATTTCTATTTCTATTTCTATTTCTATTCCTTTTTTTTTTTTTTTTTTTTTTTTTTTTTTTCGTTCTTTTTCCATTTCATGTTTACAAAGGAGCATTATAGACACATGTTTTCTTGTGTAGGGTTTTTCATGGAAATATTTTCCCCCACGTTCAACCAAAGTTATGCTTATGCATTTCGTCTTTTTTTTTATTTATTTATTTTTTTTTTTTTTTTTTTTCCTGCATGCATCTAACGGGGTTTTGTGTGCATATAAGCCCATTGGCTTGTACAGATGATTTGTAAATTTGTTCATTTTTAAAAAATGCATGTATGTGCATGTGATAAACACTAAGAGGAAATTAAATTTTACCTGACTCTTTAAAGTATTTAAAAAAAGAAAAAAAATATTTTAAGGCACATGGTTTCGTTTAACCCAGGTGGCTGGGGACATACCACCTACGCGTCATGCATGTCAGACGATGGTAGATAGAATGGGTAAGAACTACTTTGACTAAATTATTTTTTTTACCAATTTTACAATTCCTTGGAACGATTCTGCTTATTGTTGGATAGGAGTTAAGGTGAAGGAGGAGGAGGAAGTGTTTACACAGAACACATACGTGGAAATTTCAAGTTGTGTGTAAAAATAACAGGTATGGGAATTACGTGGTGGTAATAAAACACTCCTTTGTGTATACAGGGAGTTAAACATACCCGTGTATAAATTCACAAATGAGGATTCTCCATTTTATTTGTTCGACTTTAAAAAAAAAAAATATGACACGCGTTTGCATATGGTCAGCACAGGAAATGCCCTTGGGGTCAGGCAGATTATTCACACACAGATGTACATTTGAAAATGATGTATCTGCTCTTTTCTTATGTCCCCCTAAATATATATATATATACTAAAGGAGCGAGGATGGTATCTAAAAATGGGAATTATTCAATGCACACTTATCGAAATATTTAGGACTGCTGCTCTTGAATGCCATATGAAAACTTGATACTGATTCTGAGAGGGAAATGATTAACATTGGAAGAAACGAAGCAGAAAATTCAAAAAAAAAAAAAAAAAAAAAAATTAGCCCTGTTTACATTTCACTACACCGGAGTATGGTAGAAAATTCAAAAAAAAAAAAAATAAAAAAAATGAACCCAATTAGCGCTTCACTAAACCGGAGTAAGGGGAAAAAAAAAAAAAAAATAAAATAAAATAAAATAATGTGATGTAATAAAAAAGAGATATACAACGCGCAGAAACTAATATGCATGCTTAAGCCAAGCGATTTTCAACAATTAAGGAAAGGTGAATCCCGAGGGATTCTGCTTGTTTCGGTACAGGCCTATGTAGAAATACCACTTCAGAACGCCACTTCAGAACGCCACTTCAGAACGCCACTTCAGAATACCACTTCGAAACACCTCTTGACATATACCCCTCGTTGCTCTGCACGTATAGGCTGGTTCACTCCTCTTTGTAAGTCCAGCGAAGGAATACGCATAGAGTACTAGTTAGGCAAGGTACCAAAGTGCAAATACAATATGGCGATGAATGAAGGAATAGAAGAGAGAGTAAACCGCTTCTACAATGTGATTCAAAGGGAAATAGCTAACTATTTTACGCAACCGAAAGACAAAAACGAACATCTGAGTTACAATAGAATAAAACTATTTTTGCAAGATTTATTAGACTTTCTAAATTGTGATGGATTTTATATTTTTACAAAATTACAACAAGGCAAGGATAAAATGAGATACTTTCAAGAACCTAAACTTTTTTCTTTTTGTATTTTACCACAACAACTTAATAGAGAATTTTTACTTTTCTGCAAACAGTGTACATTATTATATTCAGAAATTTTTGATAACATCGTTTGTGATATTCACTTTTTATTAAAAATATTTTCGGGAATACGAGAGTATGATGAATTTTATCGAAGAATGATTGAAATTTGTGAAAGGGTATATCTGAATAAGCAAAAAGGAGGAGGAGTAGAAGCAGGAGTAGGAGTAGGAGGGAGAGAAATAGAAAAAGACATACGTTGTGTCATTGGAAGATCGGATTACATGATGAATGTAAATGAAAAAAATTTAAATGAGGAATCAAGCCAAAAAAAAGAAAAAAGTGACTGTGAAATTAAACAAATTGAATATAACACCATTTCAGTAGCATTTGGAAACTTATCATCAACCCTTTTCGAAGCACATAAAAATATGATAAAACAGATTTATATGGAATATTTTTCATATATGGATAACGAAGAAGAAAAAAAAGTTTGTGAAATATTAGAAAATAAATTTCAAAATGATTTTCTTGAAGGCATAATTACATGCATGTTAAAATGTCATAATGCTTATTTGAAAAAATATAAACCTTTACAAGGAGCTAGAAAAACCATGATCATTTTTGTTCTTCATAATGAACATATGAATAGCTTTGACAAAGATAGGACAAAATATGAGTTAAACAAAAGAGGTATTAATCAGAAATGCTTTACTATAGATGAGTTACAAATTTTATTTGAAAAAAAAAAACTCTTTTTAAATTATTCTTACGAATCGTTAAGTGATTCCCTCAAGAGGGTTAGGGCAAATCAAGGGAATGATCCCTCCCAATGGAAATTTGAGCCTGGGAAGTTAATACTCGATTTGAATACCGAAGCGGTGGAGAAACCGGTGAAGGAAGAGACGGAGGAAGACTTGAACTTGTCAGACTATCACACAAATTACAACCGAAATGTATTCGAAGTTAGTGTCGTGTACTTTCGATCTCTATACTCACCAGACCACTTCAATGAAACCATTTGGTTATTGCGAGAATTGCTTGAATTCAGCGATGCAGTAAAAGTTCCATCCCTGCCGTATCAGCTAGTCGGTTCCAAACGAATACAAATGTTGCTCCTAGATAATGATATTCTGAAAAAATATATTTCTTTAGACTTACATAAAATGCAAAAAACAGAAGAACAAATATGTTACGATATGAACTTGTTACGAAAAACTTTTGCTTTGCAAGTAGATCCCTCTTTAGAGAAAAATAAAAATATCGTTTCGAAAGCTATTCAAAGGGAGTATCATTATTTGCTAAAACCACAGAGAGAAGGTGGAAAAAATAACCTGCACGGTCAGGATGTTCGAGAAAAACTAATGCTTTTTTATAAACCAGAGGAAAGGCAAAAGTTGTCGTTTTATGTCTTAATGCAAAGGTTGTTTCCACCATCATTTACCACAATACATTGCCGAACGAAAGAACACACAAACGAAGAATTTTTTGATAATTCAAGTCATTTAAAAGTTGAAGAAAGGAAAAGGGAAAAAGTTACACAGCAAGGGGATATTTCTTCTCTACCCTGTGACAAATTACCCAACTGTGCTTCATCACACGAGGATAATTGCTGTGCAGGAAAATATCATCTTGTCGAATTTTCACCTGAACACTCCATTTCCGAAATTAGCCTCTTTCACAACTTTATTTTTTATGAAAATGAAAACATCTTGAATGAACAAAAGGGATACTTGGTCCGAACGAAAAATGTCAAGGAAAATGAAGGAGGTGCTATTTGTGGAATATCAAGCCTAGATTCCTTCTTCTTAGTATGAAAAAGGTGCATAATAAAGCAGTTATAAGGTGTGCAAGAAAAAAAAAAAAAAAAAAAAAAAAAAAAAGAGAAAAGAAGAGTAGAGAAGAGGAGTAGGCCCGATTAGTAGCTTTTCCCATTACTGCCCTGCGTCGAGAAAAAGATAAATGAGAATTATAAAAAAAAAAAAAAAAAAAAAAAAAGCTCGCCCACTCCCCATGCCCCGTGTGCTTTCCGAATTTGGAGCTGTTAAAAAATGGGGAATTTCTGCAACATCGGGGGTGCCCTACGCCAGCTCGTTTGCAGATTTTAATTTGTTTATTTATCCATTTATCTATTTATTTATTTACTTCATTTTTGTCGAAATTTTGTGGGACAGTGTTATGACCGTTCACGCCCTTTGCTCGTCGCTTTGTATGACCGTTCATGCCGTTTGGCTCTTTTTTTCACTGCGAGTCAGCATTATATTTGTCAATCTCCTTATGGATGGCCGCTTCTCCGGGACGAAAATGAAAGATGAATAAAGAACAGGATTCCTCTTGTTCTTTGCAGATTGCACACTAAACCTGACTTACCATTCATTCATACAAACATACACATACATATACACACAGAGAGAGAGAGAGAGAGAGAGAGAGAAAGGAACGCATTTTTTCTCGACATTTTTCACGATAATGAAAACTATTATTTTTTAATACCACAAAAGGGTGTATACACTAAAAATGTTTCTTTACATGCTTAGGAACACAGTTCGAAACGTAAAACGTCTGTACGATGTAAAATTATTCTTAAAAGAAAATTACTCAAAGGGCAGAAAAGAAGCAGAACATGATGATGCTGCTGTTTTTAATTCACTTTACAATTCCTCCCACTCGGATTTATTTTTTAATGATGTAAACATTTGCGTGGAAAGGAAAAGTGTGGAAGAGAAGAATACTTTACTTTTCAATAAGGTTCGAAATGACAAAAGGCACAGAAAGAGGGCCTTTCAAAAAAGGGGTTACTGGAAGAAGATGCATTACTTCATGCGAAAGAGTAACATGATGAGGTAGGGAGCAAATGCGTTTGTTCATGAAATGTGTACGCATGCGTATGTGTGTATAAGGTATATGCATGTATGTGGAGATACACAGACGCATAAGTGCAAACTGTTTGATAAGAAAAATTGGTCATTTCTCATACACACACCACACACGCACAACTTTACATATACTTTTTTTTTTCTTTTTTTTTCTTTTTTTTTTACATTGAAAATTTCCATTACTGCAACTTCCTTACAGCTTCGCATTCAAAATGCAAAATATAGACTACGAAAAGATGAAAAAACTAAAAAGGGGAGAAGTATATTCCACCTAGGAGAATACAATTTGGAGGAGATAATTACGTTATCATTTCTTTCATTACAAGCATTCATGATTTGTTATATTTAACTTTTTTATATTTATTTTATTTTATTTTTTTTTTTTTTTTTGCTCCTTCTCATGACTGAGGAATGGATACTTTTCTTTGGTTGGTATGAACTTCCAGCTGTAAAATACGTGTTTAAGGGGGAAAAAAAAAAAACATAAAATAATAAAAAATAATAAAATAAAAATAGAGTAATGTACAAATGTGCTGCTTTATACACACAAATTTTTATATCCAAATATGTAACAAAAAAAAAAAAAAAACGATTCGTATTGAAACAACATATGATACACCCCAAATAAGATTATAAAAATTCAATGAAAGGATAGCAATAGACTATCATCACAAATTTTTTTTTTTTTTTTTTTTTTTTCTTACATCGCTAAATAGTTTCTTCAGCTTTTCTTCCGAATTGCTAATAACTTTTTTCCTGCTTTCTCTGTAAAGGGGTAAAAATAAAATTTTGTCCAAAGGAGGGAAGTGAGTTTACATCCAAAACGGTTCGTCCTTCATGTGACAAACTGAGGTGTGTGTACATTTCTCATTATCACCCTATCTATCCATCTATATTTATTTCTCTCTCTCACTATCTATATGCGTATGTATGTAAGTATGTATGTATGTAAGTATGTAAGTATGTATGTATGCATGTCTGTGTGACGGTCACAGAGAGTGTGCGTACATTTCTCCAGTAATGTAATGTATCCTTCGCGTGATGGTATCATAACATTTGTTTTTTTCCTCCCGAACTAAAATTAAGCCAACAAGCTTGTGTAAAACTGCGTCTTCCTCCAAGTTTTTAACCTCCTATGAGAAAAAGTTGACGGGAATTTTATCATTCATCAATGGGTGCATAAAATGTGGAGAAGGACATCATATAATACCCACGGGTGTTTACAAGTATATGATCATTTTGCAAATTTTCCATGTACGGGGGTGGGAATGGGTTTATTTCTTTGAACACCTGTCGACTTCCCTGTGCGCTAGTATTAGCAGCCCTGCACACACATCTCTCTCGATATATATATGTACATGTGCACACGTGTATGTATTTACACATATGGAGAGACATCTTGACAACTGAGCAACCATAATGGTAATATCGCCTCCTTACCTCCAGAAGAATTTCATTTTCCACCTTCTGTGTAAGCAGTTCTTCCAACTGGGCGTTCAACTTTTCACAACCTTAAAATGGAAAAAAAAAAAAAAAAAAATTTCTTACCCCTCATATTATATCGTAACATTCAGCAGAAATGCATATTAACTGTGCAATTCTATTTTCTTTACTTTTGCTTACTGGTTTTTAGGGTATTTATCTCCTTCACAATTTTCGTGACTCTGTCTTGTGACATGTTGCATAAACTGCTCCTTGGCTTCCAACAAATGAGAAGTGTTAACCCCAAATGGTGGAAAGGTGAACCAGGGGTGAAGGTTTTTCCTTACAAAGCTCAGATTAATTTTACACCTTCACGGTGAGTGGTAGGTCTCGCAAAATTATCTTCTTCCACTTTACTCATAAAGACTGTGTGCCAAGGTGTAAAGTGTCGTATGCACACAGGATGATATATAAATGTTATGTAGCCTCTGGAGAAGAGATACAAAAATGTGTGTAAAAAAAAAAAAAAAAAAAAAAAAAGTTTGTTGGTGGAGGTTTTGTAAACTTTCCCTCCAGGGTTATACCTTATCTCTTTTGCTCATAGATAGGAAAATGTGCTTATAAAGAATTGCATAACCGTTGCTAAAACATGGCTTAAAAGTTGCTAAAAAATGGCTGGAATTTTCCCTCTTTTTTTGCGCCCAATGGGGTAAAAATAAGTCAGCGTCAAAGCGAAGAGAAGAAAAATTGCATAAAGAAAACAGAGAGAGGTAGGTAGGTTATTTTCTATTTTCAGTACGAATTATTCACAAAAAAGAAAAAAAAAAAAAAAGAAAAAAAAAAGAAAAAAAAAGGCAATATCTCCTTATATAATGCAATATTCATATAATATATATATATAACATCTCCCCCCCCACCCCTCGATCCATCACAGAATCGCCATATGAACAGTAAAATGCATGATGGGGTCGCTTTTTTACTGCTACACAAAATCCAAACAGTACCATGATGTGAAGGGGATGCAAATTTATTTTTATTTTTTCATTGTTTTTCTTTTACTTCTTTATTTTTGCCGCTTCATTTTTACTTCTCCATTTTTGCCGCTTCATTTTTACCGCTTCATTTTTACTTCTCCATTTTTACCGCTTCACTTTTACCGCTTCACTTTTATTTTTTGATTTCTCCTGGGGGGTGTAATAAAGCGCAATAGGCTCCTGCCCATGCGGTGGAGCTCAAGCAAATGTCCACATAATAGGGGAAAATATAGCACTCATTGGTAAGGAGGAAATTGTTTTTTGTTTTTTTTTTTATAGAAGCTATTGTTGTGTTAATTTCCGTGTGAATTTTGGACGACACATGCTGTTTCAAGTACATACAATTTAAATAATTAAAATTACTTAGGAGAAAATTGAAAAAATGTAAATTTTTGATTTTTACATGAATTAGCATATTGTGCAGAAAAAGATATGTATATATCACACACAGCAGTTGGACATTTTGCACGGACAGCTCGTCCAACAATTCGTTCATTTTGTAGTGAATTCTTCCTCCAGCAGTGATATTTTCACCTAGATCCAACAATAGTTTCATATGCAAACAGTCTAACATCAGGTCGTAATAGCAAATATGTTGTTCCCTCTTGTCATTCAAGGTAAAAGAAAATAACAAGCCTATGACTGTTTTAAGGGTAAAATTGTCCTTGACACAAGAAAAATAAATTTTTTTTATTTTATTTTTTTTTTTTTGCAAATATTTTGTAGAAAACAACTTTTGCATAAAAAATACATCTAAATGTTTATTTTCAAAAAAGAAATTTAATTTTGAAAGCATAATATAAATTGTGGCAATACTAAACTTGGTATAATTTTCCAACTGGGATGTATTTTTCACAATAATTGTTTCTATCAAATTGGAGGCACATAATTGGTTATCTTCATTTATACTATTTTCTTCATTTGTGACATATTTCTCAAATTTTTTTGTTGTGCGTAAAATGAAAAAATGACACACACTTTGAACAAGCATACAAACTTCTTTTTCCCTGTATGTTAAAAGTACCTTATTTTTAATTTTGTTAAGAAGAATTTGAAGCAATTCATTATTACAGTAATTGTAGCAACTCAAGGTGTAAAAAAGAATCAATTCATATTTATTCTTCATATCGAACAGTTGGGAATATTCACCATCTTTTATTCTATATTGACAAGATGGAAGAAAACTTTTAACCTTTTTATGCACACCATGCGTCTCGTTAAGTCTTCTCTCAGGAGTTCCTTCAATCTTCCTTTTCAGTAAGCAATGTCTTTCCTCCAATATTTTAATGCTCTGTGAATTTTTTACACTGGAATCATGTCTCATAATGGATGTATCCGGATTTGTAATATCATCACCATGCTTATGAGGTATAGTGGTGTCTTTGGTTCGTTTATCCAATTCATTTATTGTCAAAATTCGCTTCGAAATGTAACTTATCAAGTCAGAAACTTTGCACTTTTCATAATTGTATCGATACATTGAGTGCAGTAAAATTATAAGTTGCGTCAAGTTGAAATTGGAATATTTGTTATAGACATAAAAGTAATATATATCACTTACAAATTGGGTTTGAATGTAAATGTTGTGATTGGTTTTATTAACGTATTGTTGGAAATGGCTTCTTCCATTTTCATCACTCTGTATATTTAATTTGTAAAGACTGTTCAAAATTATGCACACACTTTTCGAATTTAAAGTATAGAATAAGGAGTTTCTTTCATTTTTCCCCAGTCTTTGTATTATTAATTCACTAATTTGTGAATTTCTTATTGCACATTTTGCCATTATATCAAGTAATAATGTAACGTCTTGTTCATTCATAATATGTACATATTTTGTGAAAAAACCAACAGAGGTATTCATCATTTTGAGCAAATTATTTCTCTTTCGTTCCTCTTTTATGAGTCCAGATATATTCATAAACCCTTTTAAAATTAATATGTAGCTTTGACTATTATATATATCTTCCTTAAACATTTTCTCAATGAACTCATGAACGGTAATGGCTTGATTGTACAATTTTAAACTACAATTTTTTTTATCTTGACATTTTTTATAAAAATCGTATGATAACTTTTTAAGTGCTTTTAAGTTTTCACTTCTCCAGTTGGGAGTGCTGTACCTTCTTCTTCCTCCCCATGTCAGTAGGACACTTCTAATCATTTCTGCTCTTTCGATTTTTTTTTCTCCCTTTTCTTATGGGCAAAAAAGGAAGGAATGGAGAGAGAGATAGAGATAGAAATGGAAAGAGAGATAGAAATAGAAAGAGGGATGGGAAATAGAAAGAGAGATGGGAAATAGAAAGAGAGATAGAAATAGAAAGAGAGATGGGAAATAGAAAGAGAGATAGAAATAGAAAGAGAGATAGAAATAGAAAGAGAGATAGAAATAGAAAGAGAGATGGGAAATAGAAAGAGAGATAGAAATAGAAAGAGAGATAGAAATAGAAAGAGAGATAGAAAGAGGAACATGTAAAAGCGTGAAACCTGCACGTGATATATATGAACGAAACGAATTTAGTGGGGATCTCCCCCACCCCACCCCCACGATATAGAAGAATGATGTTATTTGCAAGTTTCCATTTCTTTCAAAAAAATGGAAGAAGATACTTTGTTTTTATTTTCCCTCATTAAACTAATAACTGATTTTTTTTTTTTTTCTGAAAAGAGGTAAATATGGAGGAAAGAAAAAAAAAAAAAAAAAAAAAGAAGTTTCACTTTTAAGTTGGTATATATGATTACATATATGTGACCCCCTTGGTGCGTCGGAACGGTGGCGATTTTTACAAAAAAAAAAAAAAAAAATCTCGGAACATTGCCTAATGCGTCCAACAAATCTCAGCACATTGCTGCGTTCAGATATATACATACATATGCACATGTGCAACACTAAAAATGAATTGTAATGAAATGGAAAGAGAAAGCTTTCCAAATATTATTACCCACCACCACCAAACACCACGTACACACTCTTATTTGATAAAGAACGAATAGTTTAAAGTTTTGAATAGTGTGCAAATTTAAAACCTGATAAAGGTGACACGCTAAGGAGAAGAGATACATTAACGACAATTTAAAAAATTTAACTACTGTCCCCCAATAAATATATATGGAATAAAGTGAAATAAAATTGTGTAGATTTTCTTTCTCTCTTTTTTTTTTTTTTATCAAAGTTAGGAGCGCCATATATTTTTTATAAAAAAAAAAAAAGAAAAAAAAAGGTTGTCCTATAGGAAAGTTCCTCTTTTTTTCAATGTGCATAGAGCTACAGCTAGCGGGTGATGGAAGTAAATTTATCTGTATTTTGTATGATAGAGAAGAATACATACCATTGATATATATCTATATATATATATATATATCTATATATATATATTGTATTTCTCCCCTTGAGATGGATTAAGGGTTGTAGATGCGAGAAGAATGAGGTTCTTTTATTTATTTTTTATTTTTTTTTCATTTTGTTGATGACGAGCACCCCTAAAAAATTTTCCTTTTGCTATTAATTCCATGGGAAGATGATTTATAATGCACATCATAACATGATCCATACCCATCAAGTGTATAAGCAAATGGGAAATCATAACATCCCCATGAGATGTACAGGTATATCCAGGTTTAACCTACACCATGAAATATGTACCAGCATAATTTGGTACATATAATTTCGTGTGTACAAAAGGCTAACAGAAGTGTCTTTTCGCGTCAATTATTATTCCACACAATGTATATTAACATAAAGAATTTCTCCCTTAACAGGTGTGTGTATACACATTTTGGTATATTTTTTATACCATTCTCAAAGACATGATTTTTTGTTCGACTCTCCAACACGGAGGGGAAATCCCATCATATGATACCCACCCACACACACACACACACACAAAATAGAAAAAGAAGAAGAAGAAGAAATGTAAGAAAATTATATATATATATATATATATATATATATATATATATATATATACACAATAAATATACAAATGAGGATACTACTTGGTATACATATATATAGACTTGCATTTACATGCTCATTTGTGTTGATACTAATGGGATATCTCAGGTCTGGCATTTATTCTTCTTTCATTTTTGGAGGGGGCGGGGGGGGACTTGTAATGAACAAAAATAGAATACTTCGTCAAACGTGCATATGTGTTATATTTATACACTGGCATGTACACAAATAGATTCTTATCCAATTTTGCTACTCGTAAGAACCATGCGGGTGTACATCCATCACCCACATGTTTGTATATTTTTCTTCCCCGAATGTTTCGATACTGTTCGATTTTTTTTTTTTTTTTTTTTTTGAGAAATGTGAAGAGTATATTTTGCGTTATTGTGCATGTTTTAGCAATACACCTGGGACATGTACTTTTTTCATGCCCCTTGCAGAAAAAAAAAAAAAATAAAATAAAAAATACATAAAGGTGACAAAATGAAGCACTTTTATGTATAACACAATGGAAAAAGGAGAAATCTTAGTAGCATTCAAAAGTTTAGAAACATTTTTTTTTTTTTTTTTAAAGTAGTTTACTGGATGGGATAGAGGAGCACTTGAAAAAAAAAAAAAAAAAAAATTGCACACTTTTTTTAAATTCGAACAACACAAGAAAAATCATTTGCCTTAACGTTGACAAACGTCCCCCGACATGCATACATCATATATAATCTCTACGCACATGCATATTTATATGTATATGCATATATATATATATATACACATTCGAAAATATTATAATAAACAAAAGATTGCGCACTGCAGTAAAAGGCAGAATTAGGCAAAAGAATTTGCAATAATGGAAATATAGAGAAACGAAGAAAAAAAGGAGAAAAAAAAAGGAGAAAAAAAAGAAAGAGAAAAAAATTGAATTTTCCACAGGAGCAACGAAAATAAATAGCAACTACGTAAACTGATTTGTAATGATGTTTCATATGCAACTCTCCCTTTTTTTTTTTCTTCTCTTTTAGCCTTATCAAAGCTAAAAAATAATCATAGCCCAAACATAGCCTCCAAAAATTATTGAATAAAGCGAAGATTTATTTAAACAAACTATAACACCACTCTAAGCCGATTCGATTGCTACTGCTACACTACTACTACTCCCAACTGTTTTCTAAATTCTGTTTTGAAAATAAAATTTGTTGAGAAGTACATTCTTAGCATCGTTTTTTTTTATTTTTTTTTAAAAAGAAGAAAAAAATATTTCTTCGCACTTATTGATTTGATAAAACGATTGTGATATTCCCGTTGAAATATCCCCATATTATGCAGTGAAAAGTTTTTCTTTCTACCCAATTCGAATTGTAAAAAATAAAAATAAAAAAAAACGATCCTAAAAATAAAATGAAATAAAAATTCAACATTTGTTTGCGTATTCGTTTCAACTTTTTTTTTTTTTTTTTTTTTTTTTTTATAACACGAAATATTTTCTAGTTACAAGGTAGTGATAACGTACTGTATGTAGTACTGGAAAAGAAAACCTTTAACATTTTTCTCTTTTATGTTTTTTTTTTTTTTAAAAAACAAAGCGCTTGACTTTTTTTAAAGGTATGTAAATTGTGTATATATATATATATATATACATACGTTACCCCACCGTGCACAGATATATAAATGGGAACCCATTTAAGTTGGATTACACACCTATGAACCGTGCACTGCTAGCTGTGAACTTTATTTTACACGCATTTGAACCACACTTGTGTAAAGTCATCCCTTACATGTTCCTGAAAACATTTTTTCATCCTTCAGGAAGTAAGCACGAAGGGTAGATTTTTTTTTTTTTTTTTTTTTTTTTTTTCCTCTTGTGCAGGGAATGAATAAATAGGAAAAAAATACCTGTTCATGAATAAAATAACCTTGCTCGCTCGAATAAAATCCACCATTAAGTATAGATAAATCAACCTTGAGTAGTTGGCTAGTAGCAACTAACAAATCCCAGCATCAACAAATACAAGATGGAGAATTTTCAAGGATTGAAGTTTGGATCGAAGGTACAAGGAGGAGGAAGCAATGCTTATGGAAAGGACGATGGGATCCAAGTTAAGTTTGACACAACCGAAGATGAAAATTTTGTTTATGCAACATACGAACATATAGAAATGGAAGTGGAAAAGGATACTAATAAGAGTAGTAGCAATTGTGCTGGAAGTAATGGTGGATGTATTTCTTCCATGTCTTGCAAGAAAGTAAAAACAAATTATGAAATAATGGTAGAGAAAATAAAAGAGAAGAAATTAGGAGTTTTACTTATTGGTATTGGTGGAAATAATGCAACTACCATGTTAGGTGGAATATGTGCAAATGCCAAAAAATTAACTTATTTAAATAAGTATGAGATGAAAAAAGCTAATTATTTGGGAAGTGTTTTTTTATCATCAAATATGAGGCTAGGATATGATTTAAAAAATAAGGAGCATACGTACTGTCCCATACACAAATTAATCGAAGTTTATAATCCTGAAAACATTACATTTGGTGGTTGGGATATTAACAATTTAAATTTGAAAGATTGTTTAATTCGAAATAAAGTTTTTGAACATGATTTAATTGAAAAAATTAAGGATGATATGAATTATGTACCATTAAAAAGTGTATATTTTAAAGGAAATTTTATTGCGGCAAATCAACAAAAAAGAGTTAATAACATACTTACTGGAAATAACAAATTGGAAATTTTAGAAAAAGTAAGAGATCAAATTAGGAACTTTAAGAAAACAAATAATCTGGATGAAGTAATTGTACTGTGGTCAGGAAACACGGAAAAAAATATACCACATATTGAAGGTGTAAATGATACCTATAGAAATATTTTACTTGCATGCAAAAATAATCATGAATCTGTATCCCCAAGTATTCTTTATTCTCTAGCTGCTGTGTTGGAGAACTCGCCTTTTATTAACAGTAGCCCTCAGAACACATTAGTCAATGGGGTTGTTCAGCTGGCACAGCAAAAGGGAATATTCATTGTTGGAAATGACTTGAAGACTGGACAGACCAAAATTAAAAATTTCCTCCTCGATTTTTACTTTAACACAGGTAAGAGAACCTTGGCAGACGTGTGTTCCATGTGTGATGATTTCTGCATTGTATCACCTTGCTGTCGCTTCACCAGTTCATCCATTTAACATTTCCTGGCCCCACTATTTCGACCCCCACCCACACACGCAGGCCTGAAGCCCAAGAGCATAGTCTCGTATAACCACCTGGGTAACAATGACGGAAAGAACTTGTCATCAGATCTCCAGTTTTACAGCAAAAAAATTTCCAAAAGTAACTTGATTTGTGATTATGTAAAGGCGAATGAGCATATGTATAATAACGAGGAAGAAGAAGCAGCATTAACAAATAAACTGATGGAAGGGCAGAGTAACACTGATGATTACTGCAAGGGAGATAGTTTATTATCTACGAGCAGTGATATTAAAGACTTGGAGGAAGATTATGCATATGCTGAAGCAATTGAGAAACAGAAGGTAAACAGTGAAATTGTAATTAAGTATGTACCATATGTAGGTGACGATAAGAAAGCTATTGATGAATATATTAGCGAAATTTTTATGAACGGAAAAAATACAATTTCCATGTATAACGTTTGTCAAGATTCCCTTTTGGCCTCACCAATTTTGATTGATTTAATTTTATTAGTTGAATTATCTGATCGAGTTTATTTCAAAATGAATTCGAAAAGCTCAGGAATAAGTCCTCTTGGAGACTTAAAAAATCAGACTGTAGTAGAACCCATAACTGATCCAATTAATCTCGGTGCAGATTATCAGCTATCACACACTATATTAAAAACCAAACATGCAAATTTTAACAAAATGGAATGTGTTCTTTTCTTGTCTAGTCTTTTCTGCAAGTCTCCATTCAACTCTAATATCTACAAAACAAGGCATTCGTTCTTTTCACAATTTGAAAGCTTATGCAACTTTGTTAGAATTATTTGTGGTTTGCCCGTGGATGATCACTTGGACTTACCCTATATGGTTTGAGTGCTTCACTAAGTAGAAGCAAATCACAACGTACGCCAATGGTGGGGGTATTTGTACCATACAAACACATTTACCTGTGCCTACATTTATTATGTGCCGTATGTTGGCCACACGTGCATGCAAAAGGGTATATATATATATATATATATATATATATATATATATATATATATATATGCATATAAAAATGGAGTGCAGCGGAGGGAGATGTGTGTGTAGTTTTTACCCCTGTGCTGTAAAAAAAAAAAAAAAAAAAAAAAAATCGTCTACATATGAATAAAAATTCTATACGTTTCAACCCATGCTTCACAAGCACATAAGACCCCCGAGTCAGGGACAAATATGTGTAAATATGGTCGTCATATATGTACAGACATTTGCACATATACACACACACATATATATATATATATATATATGTATATGTATATATATTTATACATATGCATGACTTTCCTTCACACACGTGTAACTTTTTCCTGATTTTTTCCCCCCAAAGCACATGTCATTTCCAAACAAGCATGCTATATATTTTTCCCTTTATTTTTACTCAATTTTCACGCACCATTTTTATTTCATTTTTATTTTATTCTTATTTTTATTTTATTTTTATTTCTCCGCTTTGACGGGTTTTTCACGACTTTCGCCCCAAAAATCCTCTCACCCGTGCGAACCGTACCAGTCCATATATTTATGACAAATGAACGAAATAAATATGGTAATGTCGAAACAATATCTAGACAAGACAAATTCGAGTTGGTTTATTTTATGGATATAAAAAAAAAAAATATGCACACGTGTGTAAGTCAATATGCAACTTGTACACATAGGCCCCAAACATGCGTGCGCACCACTGTGCAAAACCTGCTATATGTATATTATGACATGTCAAAGGATCTATAAAAAAAAGAAAAAAAAAACTGAACTAATGTAATTTTAATCCTCACGCAACAAGCAATACAAACATACAAACACACAAGAAAGCCATTTTTAAAAAGCTACAAAATTTGTAATTTTTATATTTTGTTATTAGAAACCTTTTTCGATACACAGACTTGATATTATACACTTTTTTCTCTTATCTTGACTTTCAACTTAACCCAAGTTAATTTTCTTCGAGGCAATGTTATGGTAAATGAAACGTTCTAAATTTATTTCATGTTCTCCACATTTGAAATTCTCTGAAATTTGTTTTTTATCATGTAAGGAAGAAATACTATCCAAGTTAATCATCTCTCCGTTTATTAATTCTGTAAAAGCTTTCACCTGCGTTTAGTGAAAAAAAAAAAAAAAAAAAAAAACTGAACTAACGTAAGGAATGTTTCCCTTATGTGTTGTTCAAACTATGCTGAAGCACATTACATGAATTAATTTACAAAAAAAAAAAAAAAAAAAAATCCTACTTTGTCATCTGAAATATTCACGCCCACGTAAATAATAGAGGATGACTCTTCTCGCACTTGGTACTGTCTGAGGCATTCATTGATCTAAAGTGGTAATGTGGTGATTCATTGACATGGTGATACTCTGACGTGGTGATACACTGACGTGGTGATACACTGACGTGGTGATACACTGACGTGGTGATACACTAACGTGGTAACGTGGAAGAGCAAGGACTCACCTTCTCATGAGGAGAGAGAAGGAAGAAAACCTCCAGGATTATATTTTTCGTTATTCTTCTTTCGGTCAAGAAATTGTGATACGCCCTATAAATGCTGTGTACTATGTGATTATCATCGTAAACCTAGGATGAGGAAGAAAAAAGGGGAGATGGGGATGGGGAAAAATGAGCGAATTGTCCATATGAGAGGACTCGTGCCACATATGACACCCTGTTGTTCTGTTTAAGACTGCTTATGCTGACAATCAATGGTGTAGTAAATATTTGTTCTTATATTTTTCATTCTTTTCCTGTTACAGCTTTATGCAGTTTTGTGTTTTTTCACCAGTTGCCCATCTAATATAAGAAAGAAATGCCTCATGTTAGTAGACCCTTCAAATGTTTTTTCATTGTAAATGCTTAAAAGCTGTTTTGCATTGGTGACATTTTTAAACAATGCGAGAGTTACACTGACGGTTTCGTCAGATATGAGCAATTCTCTCCGCTTCATTTTGTTTTTACTGTATATTTTTGCTATGCATTTTTGCCATACATTTTTGCCATGCTTTTTTTGGTACGTTTTTTTTTTTTTTTTTTTTCTTGCTATGTTTTTATACCATATTTTGTTACTGCTTTTTTTCCATGCTTTTTTTGGTACTTTTTTTTTTTTTTTTTTTTTTTTTTTTTTTTTCTTTTTTTTAATTTTTTTTTTTTCTACTATTCTTCTAAACTTTTTTTATTCGGTTCTTCAGAATTTCTCCAATTTAGGAGCGGATAAATTTGCACCTTCACATGTGCGCAGTTTTTCCGAACCCATAGGGTGTTAAATTCTCAATTGTTGAAAAAATTAAGAAATTTATAGAACATTTAGAAATGTATATTCAACCCCTTTCGACATTTATTTCACTTTAAAACAATGGTAGAGAACTAAATCAGTTTTCTTATATTGACTGTGTATGTGTGTGTGTGTAAATTAAGATGACATTTAACTCATTGTAGATGTTTGGTTTTTTCTCTGTGTTGAAGTACATGTAATCTGTAAAAATCAATTTTTTGTAATGGTTGAGAGAAAAATCCTTCCATTCCAACTGTTCAAAATGGGAGTGAATCAGATATAGAAGTTATAGGAGATGAAAAAAAAGAAAAGTGGAAGTAAAAATGGTCATACAAAAATATCTTGTCACATTTGGATGTATGCACACATATTTGGACTTGTGAACAATATTGACAAGTGTGTTTTCATATATCTAAAGAAGCAAGTTTGGAGAAAAACCTAAAAAATTAGATACACAAAATGAAGAAAGGAGAGAATAATTATTGTGTGCATTCAGTTAGTTCCCTTTTTGGAAGGAGAGGCGATTGAGAGGTGAGAAAAAAAAAAAAAAAAAAAAAAAAAAAAAAAACTTTAAAAAAAAAAAAATTTAAAAAAAAGAAAAAAAAAAAAATAAAAAAAAAAGGGAAAAAAAAAATAAAAAAAAAAAAAAAAAAAAAAAAAAAAAAAAAAAAAAAAAAAAAAAAACATTACACAATCGCCCAAAACAGACTAATGTAGCACCAGTAATGGGGGTCGACATGCCCTTGGGTTTAAATCAAAGAAAGTCCTTCCATAGCACTTGGATGCACCGGTTTCTTATTTTTTCAACCATATGGAAATACATCACGTCGCATATGTGTATGCATATATATATATATATATATATATATATATATATATATACATGTGTAATACACACGTGTACACATGTTGGAATGTTCCTATATGAAGACAAATTGCCACTACATATGCGCAGAAAAAGGGAGTGGTTTCAAGAAACATTCAACATGTAATTATGACATTAATATTAATTTCTTGGTATTTAAAGGGGGTGGGAACTGTACCCAAGGTACAGAAACAAGGGGAAAAAAAAAAAAAAAAAAAAAAAAAGAGCAAAAAATAACACCGCTTCATACAATTTACATATGTTAAAAACAATTTTATGAGTATTTTAAATTTTTTTACAGTGTAGAAAATGCACTTCAATATATATATATATATATATGTAGTTAATCGGGAAGGTTTCGACTCAGTACACGTAGACACAGCAAAATATATATGCAGTTTTGGAGATCAAGATGTGTGAACAGAATTGCACCTTTTACAAAGTGACATTGGGAAAGGCCAAGCCGTGAAACATTGTCACATAACGTAGCTGGAAAAAAAAAAAAAAATAAAAATAAAATAAAAAAAAATAAAAAAATAAAAAAAAAAAAAAAAAAACAGGAGAGGAGAGAAGAGGAACACACGACACGGTAGGTAGTAGTAGGATAAGTCGTACCAGACATATCAAGAACAGAAATGAAAAAGATGCATTCATTTTTTTTTCCCCTCTTCCTATCCCTTGCGGTATATTTCAAATATATAAAATTAACGAAATGCTTCATGATAAACACAAAAAGGAATGTTGTACAAGGTGAATGGAAACATAGCATGATGATGCCACATGTAAGTGGAACGACAGAGGAAAGAAAGACAATGAAGAAGCAAAAAAGTGCAGAATTAGAAAAAACAAATATGCAACAACTGTTGAATGAGGAAAAACACAATATACGAGGGACAAGGAAGAAAGACATGTTGATAAAAGGTGAAGGAAAGAAAAAAGATTTATACTCCTTCATGTCATTAAAGTTTATGCCATTTCTGGCAAACTCATTTCCCCCTATAGAGGGTAACAGCATTCCCACACAAATTGAACCAAATCATACTTATAATTTTGAAAAAAGTCCAACTATCAGATATATGCTTATTGCTCAGGAGCGGAGAGACAATTTCATGTATATATTTTTCATTGTCATTTCGTTTGTGGTTGTTGTTTTAATTGCCATTTTTGTTTTTAAATTTTTTTTCAACCTTTAAAACGGACGAGAGTGGGGGGAGGGAATCGTGGCCACTCTTACTAAAGGTGGAAAAGGAGCGCAGTGCGTTATTATATGCACGTACATGTTTATGAGAACCGAACCGGTTTATGAGACCCGAACCGATTTATGTGAACACATTTACGAGCTCATACTTATGAACACCCATATGTTGTATGCACAGATATGTGCACCGAAGAGATGTGAGATCTGACTTGGCCAGCTCTGTCAGAACCTTCGCCTTTATATATGTACACGTAAAAAAAAAAAAAAATCAATAAATTAAACAAAACTAAACTAAACTGAATTGAACTGAATTGAACTAAGACTTAAATTTTTCCTATTATGTCATCAAGCGTTTGAAAAGGTGTTTCATGATATATGAAAAAAATGGGGAAAAAAGCACGCACTTGCAAAATATGTTTAACAAAATGGTGATCATTAAAAAGGCACTAAATTTATTTTCATAAATGACGCTCAAAAGGGCACGAGGTAACCCCCTTTGTTAACATAATGTCATGCGGAATTCCACAAAAAAAAAAAAAAAAAAAAAAACACTAAAGTATATATACAACACAAATGTATACATACGTGTATGTGCAAAGCCGAGGTGCCTAGGTGGGAAGTCTTAAATGTGTTCATAAAAAATACGTTGATTAGAGGTTGGGGGGGAGGCAGAAGGGATCAGGCGTTTTATTTATTTATTTTTATTTATTTCATTTTTTTATTTGTTTATTTTTTTTTTTTATTTATTTTTTTTTTTATTTATTTTTATTTATTTCATTTTTTTATTTGTTTATTTTTTTTTTTTTTTTTTTTTTTTTTTTTTTTTTTTTTTTTTTTTTTTTTTTTTTTTTTTTTTTTTTTTTTTTTTTTTTTTTTTTTTTTTTTTTTTTTTTTTTTTTTTTTTTTTTTTTTTTTTTTTTTTTTTTTTTTTTTTTTTTTTTTTTTTTTTTTTTTTTTTTTTTTTTTTTTTTTTTTTTTTTTTTTTTTTTTTTTTATTTATTTTTATTTATTTCATTTTTTTATTTGTTTATTTTTTTTTTTTATTTATTTTTTTTTTTATTTATTTTTATTTATTTCATTTTTTTATTTGTTTATTTTTATTTATTTCATTTTTTTATTTGTTTATTTCATTTTTTTTTATTTTTCCCCTTGCTCGTTCCCACCGCTTGACACATTTCGCACCCATATAATAATACTGAAAGGATGTTTTTTCCTTCATTAAAATCCTATCGCATGATATAAGCACACACGTACATGTATATCAATATCATGACAAGGTGGCATAATGGAACTGTTGACTATTTTTATAACTGCTCGATTCATACATCCCAATTGCTTTCCTATATATATATATATAGATATATTAGATCTTGCATCCTTTGTCTCACTTGGTCCTTTTATTATTTTTTTTCAGCCCATGATGTTCTCATTATTATTACCCTTGTCTGCACCACGGTTCTTACCCCCACTATTCTTACTCCCACTGTTCTTACCACCACTACTCTTACCACCTCTACTCTTACCACCACCTGCGCTCTTGCAACGGCTGCTCTTAGCAGCGCTACTCTTAATTCCAACAATGTTTCCTGTCGTTATATTCTCACTTGGTTTCTTATGCTTGTCGGCACTGGTGTTCGGTTTTTTGGAGCGAATGGATCCTGCATAATGACTATTACTACTACTATCATTTGTTATTCTTATATTTCCCTTTGCTTTGATTGAATTGTCATCAATGAGTGTGCGTGCGATGGTATTATTTGGAGCTACATTTGTAAATTCCTCCCCCTTCCTCCTACCACTACTTGCACTTCTGTTTATTCCTCTTTCTGCTTTGCGCTGCATTGCTGTAGGGTAGAATCTACAATTACTACTTCTACTTATGCGACTATTACTACTACCACTTCTGCTACTATGGCTATTGTCATTACATTGATTGTAATTCTCATCAACTTGATTAACCAATAGACCTTCATCTATGTAACGAAGGGTGTGAATATTAAGACTGTTATTACTACTGCTTTGAGGGTCCTCTGGTGACATGGCGTTCTCTCGTGAGTTATATATTTTATGTCTATTGTTCAAGTACAGTGATAAAGCACTATTGTCCACGTTCATGTTTGTACTATTCTTAATGTCACTGCAATGATTGTTATTGTTGTAGTGATTGTCATATTTACTTTCACTATTATTATTATTATTGTCATCATTATCATCATTGTCATCATTGTCATCATTGTCATCATTGTCATCATTGTCATCGTTATAACTAACATTACGAGTAGTGTTATTCACTTCAGTAAAAACGGGATTCTTCGAAATAACATTGCTCAGTCTTAAATATTCTTGTTTTATTCTGTTTTCCATCTTGTCAATGTCATTTTCCATTTCACTGCTCCTACTTAGCGACACGTTTCTATAACATGGGATGTGATTATTATAACCTCCTCCTCCATTCATCGTGTTCATCTGCTTTTTTTCGTCTATGTTTTTTTTTTCTCTATTTTCTGATGCTGTGAAGTTTCCATTCCCAACACTGTTTTTACTCATGATATAACTTTTAATGTCCACATTCTTATTCTCGTTATTACTGCAGTTAGCACCTCCACTACCTTTGTTATTATTATTATTGCTACAACAACTACTACTACTACTACTACCTAACTGTTCATTCCTTTGTTTAATTAAATTGTAAATTAAATTTTGCTGCCTTTCATCGAACTCTTTAAACTTATTAGCCAAATCTATATTTGCATACACCTTATTAAAGTAGTTAGAACTCATCGAGTTGGTGTGCTCCATCAGCATGTTACTGCTGCCGGGACGATTCACACCAGCACCACTGTTATATGCTGTTTCATGATCTTTGGAGAAATTTCTCATGGCTGTGTGAGACGAATTTGAAAAGTTACTTCTTGTAATTTCACTATTTGTGTTTCCAGCGTAACTTGAGTTTATTTCATATGTATTGTTTAAAAAAATCATCTCTTTTTTGCGTTCTCCAGGACTATTCGTGCTGTTCATTAGCTCATGCAAGCTGTTTCCATTTCCCCTGCGATTGCTGTCAATTGGGTTACTACTTCCAATAAAGTTCATATTAATGTTCGTGTTCATTTTTCTCATCTCTTCTTTTCTCTCCTCAATGTTGAAAAATGAATTTGTGTTGTGGTATTTTTTGAAAAACACCGAATTCAGCTTGTTGTCATACTGATTTTTGTAGTACACGGTGGGGTAAACATTCATGTTCTCACTTCCAACCTTTCCATTATCGTGTGATTCAACGTCCATGCTGCTGCTGTCCATTTTCACCATGTTATATTTGGGCTCAACAACAGCTCTTCTACCTGAATTATTCATATTCATCATTATTCCATTAGTTCCTAAGAAAAAGGAATCCCTCGAGTGATCATCGCTTCCACTACCTATGTTGTCTATGCCAATGTTGTCAATTCCAATGGTGCCTGGGCCGATGTTATTCTTTCGATTATAAGAATTTTTGCCATTAAGTTCTTCTATCATACTTATGATGTTTGATTCGCTCATACTTTTAGCTTGATCTGCTGCTATAGCTGCTCCAGCTGCTGCTTCTGCCGTGGTGCATGCAAAATTCTTGTTCTTGAATACATTTTGAAACTTCAGATCTGACATGCTAGTCCCCTCCCTCCTTCCTCCTCCAATGGTGTTGTCGACAGGATAGTGTGCAACAGACATATCTTCTCTCATTGAAAAATCAGGGTATGTACAAATATCGCCACTCAATTGCCCGAAGCTAGTCAACTTCTTAAAGAGCAATGCATTTGTTGTTTTTCCTGTATCAGTGTCTTGTGCATTTTTTTCCAAATGGGTTAAACTATTGCTGTTACTGTTGTTATTATTGTTACTCTTATTGTTATTGCCACTACCACAGCTGATACTATTAATGTTAGCACTCTTTGTACTCATGTTGATGTTGTAAGTAGAAGATGAAGATGAGGGTGGTGGGGGTGGAGGACAGTTGGGTTCGTTCATAAAATTAGACACACAGCTATTACTGTTCATGAAAAAATCGTGAACTCTTCGTTTGTTGCTTTCCATGCGGTTCATGTTTGGTGTTGTGTTGTTAAATATTTCCTTACACTCATAATGCATCATAATATTCTTCTTATTTATCTCAATGTTGTGGTGCATAAAATTATCTGCCATGTTGTTATACAATGCATGATATTTGTTTTCAAAATTTCCTTTTGTTTTGCTGCTATATATATTATTCATATTGGCATTCTCTATAACTGGGGAACTCGTTCTACTATTGTTACTGCTGCTGCAGCTGGGACTCACATTTCTATTTTTATTTACACATTCGACATTGTAAATTGGAGCATCGTTCATAGCAACTGCAGCTTCGTTCATAGCAATCGCAGGATCGTTCATAGCAATCGCAGGATCGTTCTTTTCATCCTTCATTCTGCTCAAGTTGTTGTAAAATATTTCCGGAGTGGTGTTTCCAAAGTTTTTCTGGAAAGAGCTCGTGTTGTTAGCCAGAGATACTGCATTGTCATCCGCATGGATATCATCATGATTATATTCCTTTTTCTTTTTTTTCTCTCTATTTTTCTGTTTTCTCCTGTCATAATTACTATCTTCGCCATCCTTTCCCTCCTTCTTCTTCTCCTCCTCCTCATCCTCACAACCTATGTTTTGCAAAACATTTGTGAATTCAATTTTTCCTTCATTCGGCAGGATCATATTTCCAATTTTGTTATCATATGAAGAAGAAAAATTCATAAAATTGTCATAAAAGTTCATTTTTTTGCTTTTTTCATTTTCGTCAACATTACTACTACATTCATTTATCTGCATCCTCTTACGCTGCTGCTGTTCAAGGAGCAGTTTTCTATTTTCCTTCTCTTTTTCCTTCTCTTTTTCCTTCTCATTTTCTTTCTCATTTTCTTTTTCTTTTTCAAAGCTTTCCTTATCATTTTTATTATTTATAAAATGTTGTATGGAGGCTTTAAAATCCTCTAAAAAGGAAAAATTATTGGTTTTCACACTTTGGTTATTTCGCACATATACATTAGCAGCTGTGCTATTGATATTGTTGCTGTTTGGGTAGTTGGATGGAGATGACGCCATGGCTTGTTTTTGTTGCTGCTTCTGTTGCTTCTGTTGCTGCTGTTGTTGTTGTTGTTGTACTTCTTCTTCTTCATTTTCACTTTTCTTTTGTGCACTCTTTTTCTCCATGTCAAGATAGCAAATGCGTGTTTTGCTGCTGTTCCAGTATATCTTATCAAAATAATCGATATTATTATAATAGCCTTTGTTCATACTGGTACCACTACTTATGTTAAGATCTCTTGATATGTTCTCGCTTGATGGAGAAATTTTTAAAAGGTTCGGAGATTCCTCATGCTCATAATTACAGTTGAGATGCACATTGGTATTAGTATGACCTCCTCCTCCTCCACCACTTTGGCCACTCGTGTGTGTATTAACATCATCTACTGATCCCAACTGATTAATGGGTAGAAGTTGTTGATGAACATTCAGATTATTCGTGCTGAATGAATTGCTTTTGTAATTTTGGATTCCATATATTTCGTTCATATGCTTGTTCTTCATCTGCACGGCGTTGTTCTCGTTGTATGATCTATTTTTCAGTATTCTGTTTTTCTCAAAGAGGGGAAGATTTCTTCCGCTCCGTTGGATGTTCAGCTTGTTTATGCTGCCAAGAATGTCCATACTAGCATCCGCGTTCATATCTCCAACATGGTTTACACTGGGCATGACATTAGAGCTATCTATATCACCTACAGGTACTGCATCGTTGGTGTAATTCAACTTACCATACATATCGTGGAACTTGTTGAAACTGGTGGTGTAAAGGTTTCCATTTTCTAGTATTCCTCCTTTCATGTGATCTTCTTGTGGGATGAGTGGATATTGCACATCTGTGTAATTACCACGTTCTTCTTTCATAATGTTGCTTTGTTCAAATATATTGTTTCGTCTTTCTTGATCCAAGTTCATGAAAGTGGAAATATTGTTTTGGTAACAACCCTTCGCCATCCTCCTATGAGTTAATGCACCACTATTACGTGTGTTGTTATTTGCCCCAAGTGTATCACTAAAATCAGTTGCCATTGCAGATCCCGGAACAAAATTTTCTGAGTTAAATATTCCTTTTCCAATTTTGGTTGTTTCACATTTTTCAAAATTGTTGTATAGGCCTCCGCCTTCTCGAACATAACCATAATCTAAGATATTACTACTACTGCTGAGATTATCCGAAAAGTGTAAAGTTGAATGTGGTTTTTCTTTATTGTTAAGAATTTCTGCACTTTGATTGAGAACTCTAAGCATATTTTCATAAATATCATTTCGTCTAATCATGATATATTCATTAATGATGTATCTTTGAATGATTTTATCGATGATAATGATTAGAAAATTATAAATAATTTGTTTTCTTTCATATATATCATAAACTGGAGAATTGTTTTTCCATAAAATGTAAATAAAATTATGTTCCTTTATATTTTCCTTAATGAGATTATTGGCATCTTTTTTAACAGCTTCAAAAGTACTTTGTCCTTGTATGAATTTTTCTTTTAATTTTTTTATATTATTATTACTTATAATATTTTTTAATAATAAATAATCAAATATTTTATCAACAGATAGGTTAATAAAAAATTCAATATTTGTCGTTGTTTCATCTGTTTTTTTAATTTCATTAAATTGTGGAATGATCATTTCATTTTCATACACTAACAGTTTTATCACCATATTTAATCCATATACTTGGAATGCGTTCAATAACAGTAGGGAAAAATTTGATACATTCACATCTGCAAATTTTTGATTTATTTCTTCATCTCTTTTTGTTTCTTTAATATATTTTATTTCATTTTTTCGTTTTTTTATTTCTATCATTTCTTTTTCATAATTCTCTATGCATTTTCTAGTCTCCATTTTGATATTTTCTATCTCTTTGATGAATTTCTTGTACTCGTTTTCTTCCTCTTCCATTGCATTCTCTTCCACAACATTCTCTTCCACAACATTCACTTCCACTCCATTCTCTTCCTTCTGACACATCTGCATGGCATTGTTCATGCGTCCTCTTCGATTCATTATGTCCATTTCACGCATACCATTGATATTGTCGTTTATGCCAAATTTTCCTTCTCCAACCAGAAATTCCCTGGGCATAACTTTCCTGTTACTATTGCTATTACTATTGCCATTACTATTGCTATTACTATTGCTATTACTATTGTTATTGCTATTACTATGACTATTGCTATTAATATTATCCATGAAAGGGACATGTTTACTTGATCCCCCTCCTCCTCCACTCGTAAACATATTCCTGTTTTCACCAAAGTTAAAGAATGTTGTTTTATTTTCTCTCTCATTTTTTCCTCCATCTGTTGCATCTATAAAGGAGATTCTTCTTTGATTAGGGTAGATCTTGCTCATTAAACCACTCGATTGTATGCTGTTCGAATATGTTAACAGGTGCCTGTTCGTTAGTAGTTCTTCATGCAAGAGATTGTTATCATTATTGTTTGTACTGGTGCCAATAGTAGTTGCCATAGTAGCATTGTTGTTATTACCACTAATAATAATATTATTGCTGCTATTCTTGTCAAGGTGCTTATTTAGAGCTAAATGCAACGCAACATTCATGTTCTTTTCCCTGCCCATAAATACCAGCTTCTGGACTTCTCTCACGGTTTCTTCATCCATGTTTTTCAACATTTCGAATTTGTTTTTCATAGAATCGATAGATGTGTGCAGGTAATTACTGTGCGCGCTGCGCGTTTCCAAGGGTAAATTATTGCTGCTGCTAATAATTCTGCTGAAACTACTCATTTTCAAAATCTCATTAGCTCTTTTATTCTCATCATCAAAGAGGGAAATGTTATTGTCATACATCGCGGTTCTTTCTGCCTCCATGCGTAAAAGGTACTCCATACCTTGCATCTGATTTTTTATGTTTCTAGTTCTATTTATGTTTTTCAGGTTCTCCTGGTTGTGTAAATTTTGCACCTTTTGCATATTCTGTAGTTTCTGTAATTTCCCTAACTTCTCCAATTCTAACTTCTCCAATTCTAACTTCTCCAATTCTAACTTCTCCAATTCCAACTTCTCCAATTCCAACTTCTCCAATTCCACCTTGTGTAAATTTTCTATGCCTTCCACATTTCCCACATGGCCAAAGTAATCAACATTTTCTGTTAATGCACTGGATTTATCTCTATTCTGGAAAATTCCACGCCTCCCACTCCCATGAGAATCACGATCCATATGGATTACTCCTCCTTCTCGTTGTTCATCTTCCTCTTCTTCCATGATGCCAAACCCCCTTCTTCTATAGCCATCGACAATACTTCTAACTATGACTTGATCATTTTCTTCTTTATTTTCTTGTTCCTTTAGACTCCTAATAATTTCGTTGTGTTCATCTGTTTTTTCAAAGTGTAAGATTTCTCTTCTCTCATGGGGATAATACAACGCATCGCCATTGTCATCAACATCATTATTTCTGGGGTGATAATCCTGGTACTCCTTTTTATTCGCTTTAAAAAAAATGTTTCCAAAGTTTCTTTTCTCTTGCATCGCTTGCGTCACTTCCATATCTTGCGTCACTTTCATATCTTGCATCACTTTCATATCTTGCATCACTTTCATATCTTGCATCACTTTCATATCTTGCATCACTTTCATATCTTGCATCACTTTCATATCTTGCATCACTTCCATATTTTGCATCACTTCCATATTTTGCATCACTTCCATATTTTGCATCACTTCCATCTCTCGCTTATGAACTTTAAAAAATATTTTTTTGATTTGCTTCATAATATCACTTTCTATTTCCTTATTCCTCATTTTTGTCTTCACATTGTTTTTTTTTTTTGATAATAATTTACGATCAGTTAGTTCTTCTTTTTCTTCATAAAATTTATATAATAAGAAAAACTGTTCAATGGTATTCAACTTGAACATTTTTTTATTTTTTATAAAATTCATAATTTCAAAATCATCTCTAAGATATATTTGTGCATTCAAATTCTTCATAATTATTGTAAATATGTTCGTTATTTTCAGGTATACACTTTTTGTACTCCCCAGTATTTGAGTTCTCAATTTTTGGCACGTATTAATTCCTTGTTGATTCAGAGCATAGTTCAGGTTGTATAAAATGTTGTGGAAATGTGAAAGTGCAATTCCTTGTGCGTCCTTCGCTCTTTGTGCGTCCTTCGCTCTTTGTGCGTCCTTCTCTCCTTGTGTGTCCTTCGCTCTTTGTGTGTCCTTCGCTCTTTGTGTGTCCTTCGCTCCTTGTGTGTCCTTCGCTCCTTGTGTGTCCTTCGCTCCTTGTGTGTCCTTCACTCCTTGTGCATCGCTATTATCACGGGGTTTTGAATCAATGATTGGCGAGCTAACAGTTCTGGTCGACGTATTTACCCCGACTTGTACAAATTTCAAGTGCTTCTTCAAAGCATATACAATGATATCTCCGTTATGTTTTTTCACGTGTAAATTCTTCTTGAATAGATAGGAAAAGCAATTGATTAATTCATACAGAAATTTCACTGGGACTCTTCTATCCATGTGTGCGCTTACATGTTTAAACATTTCCTGCGTTAAATTTATCTCAACGTAGTTCTTTTTTTTCTTTATCAATGATTCCTTTCCAAAAGCACTCAAAATATAAAATAAGGTTTTTCTCAATTTTGAAAAATAAAAATATACCTTATAAATAAAACTACTTCGTATAATATTATCGATTACAAGTTTAGTTTCTCTCACTAGAAAGATAAAATCTGTGCTTAGCTTTCCATATATTTCTTCATCCTTTCTTTTGTGAACATCATTTTTCTTCCCTTCTTCTGCTGCCATGGATCTAATATTTTCATCATTGTTGTAATTTGTTCTATCCTTAATTTCTACGCTAGATGCAATATTATTCATGTGGAAAAACTCGTTATGATGAAATTTGAACAGTGTTTTATTCATGCACAATAACAACGGATCACTAATTCGTCGCTTTCCTCCAACCTCTTTTTCTGTTTTTTTATTCCATTCTTTATCCGAATCTAAGATCGATGTCTCATCCATACTTGTACCTGCTCCAGCGGAGGCGAATTTTCTTTTTTCTTTACTGCTTTTAGGTTTATTCGCTGGGTTCATCTTATTATTTGGCGATGAGTCTGCCTGCCCCTGCTGCTCCTGCTGTTTCTGTTCACTTTCTTCTCTTTTAACTCCTCTTTTTTTGGGTGACATATATTCATTAGCTCCTTGGCTCATTGGAGTCTCTACACTTTCATGAGCACTTTCCATGTTCTTGTTGTATACATATAGACCATCCTGTGAAAATTTTCCTCCTTTTATTCTAACACCTCCTTGGGCATAACTTGTGCACTCTCCTTCTCTTCGCTCTTCCTCCTCATCATCATCTGCATCAACGTCTTCAGATTCCCTGTTATCATCAATATACTCGTCCTCTTCCTCTGCATCGTCCTCTGCATCTTCATCAGCATCTTCATCAGCATCCTCGTCATCATCCTCTACATCCTCCACGGTGTCATCTGATATGTCATCTTCCTCTTCTTCATCATCTAATTCTCCAAGTTCATCTAGATCCTCAAGGTCATCATACTCATCTCTATCATCACATTCATTGTATTCTTCTTTCGCCTCGCCACCCAGCTGTTCCCTTGAGTCATTAACGTCTTTACCATCCTTTGCATCTTTCACGTCTTTACCATCCTTTGCACCTTTCACGTCTTTACCATCCTTTGCAATTTTCATGTCTTTACGATCATTTGCATCTTTCACTTCATTAACAAGTTCATGTTTTGCCACCCTTCCATTAGGTGCACTTTCTGCCCGTGCATGTGCAATTTTTGTTTCTTGTGTTTTGGCCGTGTCCATTTTGCTTGTTTCTTCGCAGGCAAAGGACTTTGCATTTTTCATAGCCTGATTTCTTTTATCATTAATGTTCATTTTAAGAATTCTATTGATGTAGCTATTTTCATCTTCCAAATTATCTGCTACTTCCAATTCACTGTCTAGTACAGTTTGCAAATCGGATGCTAGTGGGCATATTGCCTTGACAGTTCTGTCTGGAATTTTAAATACGAGGTTGTTATTGCTACCACTAGCAGCACTGCCAGCATTAGTGGTAGTAACACTGGTTGAGTATGTTTTTTTTTTTCTTTTTAAATCTTCCGTTACATTATAAAAATAGTAATCCGGATTGTTGAATTCTAAGATGACGGAGTGTAAAAACATTCTAAAGCACCAATATTTATCTAGATTACTTAGTGAGGGGTTGAGGTACTTCTTATCTGATACCAATGGATGACCTATATGTCTCATATGAACACGTATTTGATGTGTTCTACCAGTATGAATTTTAACATTACAAAGGGTAAACTCTTTTGTGTAATTTTCTATTTCTTTAGGATCTGTATAAAAATATTCTTCTGCTATGGAATTGCATCTAAAACAGAGGTGATGACATACATTTCTTTTGATAGCAGGGTATCCATGTCTGTTCTCATACTTTTTATTATTGTTCAGTTTTGACATATTTAACTTTTTCAATAATATTTCTTTCTTGGAAAGTTTATCGTCATAGAGGTCATCCTCTGAGGTGTATTCCTCGCTTTCTATGTTCTTCATTTGTTCTTGTTGCTCTTGTACTTGTTCTTCTTTACATTTGTTATTAATTTTCTCCTTTTCATACCTTTGTTTTCTATGTTTTGAAACCTTCTTTGATTTCATTTTTTTCATTTTCTTTTTCCTACGTTCTGTAACAAGCGAATCTGAATGGTAGTTCATAATTACGTTATAACTGCTTCTCTGTAAGAAGGAGCAGTACTCATCATTACCAGCATCATCACTATCAGCATCATCACTATCTACATCACCATTATCAGCATAATCATTATCAGCAGTATCATCATGCTTCAGCTCTTGTGGATCATACTGGGCAGTTCCATAAAGACTACCCATGTTGCACACATTTCGGTTGGTAGATGTGTAATTTTTTTCTGTAGGTCTGCGGGAGTTGGGAACTTTCTTCAGGACAAAATATCTATGTGCAATATTAACAGTGTTCTTTTTAGCTTCATCCAAAAATTTATAATAATCATTGCAATATATTTCTTTGTTTATGTCTTTCTTAACTGTACTATTACAGTTGTATTTTCCATCTAATATTTCCTTAACAATATCCTCAATGTGTCTCTTAAGTTTAAAAATTTTGACACAATTATATTCTGTATATGCATCCGTACCACCAGTTTTTACAACCAGACTAAAGTGACTTTTACTATGGAAGTTATTATATTCATGCGTTTGAATAGATTTATTAATAAACCCTTTTTTCTTTTTAATTCTTCCATGACAGAGTAGTATATATTCTTTATATACATTTCTCTTTCTAAATTGATCAAATAGAAAATCTCGTGCATCCTTTGTTTTTGCAATAATTAAACTTCCTGATGTTTCCAAATCAATTCGGTGACATAATCCACATTCCAATTTATGCCATTTTTTTACAGTCTCCAAATGTGGAAAAGATTTCATCATATATAAATGAAATGATTCAACTCTACCACTATATATAACATCGTTTAACGATATGCTGTTAATAATTTTTAATACATCTCGGTTTTTTTTAATTAATAAATTACATTTCTTACAAAATTTTGCAACTATATTTTCACACTTGTTACATATATTCTCCATGTCCTTACAAGGAACACACATAAATTTTGTTTTTATCTTACACTTTATACAGATTTTCTCCAAAATATTGTAAAAATAATCACTATATTTATTAATATTCACTAAGAAGTTATATCTATTATGTGATGTATAAGCTGAACAATGATAGTAAGCAGGTTTGTAAATGACCATCCAGGTTTTCCCTTCATTGCATATATATGGAATGTCTTTATTGTATATTCTTTTAAATTTATTTTTCTTTGTATATTTGCCACTGTTGTTATTTATGCCCTGCATACTACTACCTCCTCCAGTTACGACCCCCGAGCCATTACCAATATTTCCTGCGTTTGTTAAAATCGAAGAAGTATTATTTAGATCGTTATCATTGTTCATACAAACATTTGTACCATCCTTCATTGTTATAATATGTCCTCCTACTATAATTTGCGTCGCAGCTCCTACTCCTCCTCCTTTGCCACCCTTAACATTCATTGATATATCTCTTAATTTTCCATCTTCCATTTGAACATCCATTTGGTTTGTGCTTAAAGTAATATTTTTCACACTCTCTATCATTCCAGATTTTTTTCCTTTAATAGTTGTAGTCGCTGTGATGGGTGCATTACCTACAGTTGTTATTGTTGCCTCAATTTGTGTCGCTGAATTTTTCACACTTCCACTATTTTTTCTAGATGGAGATTGATCATATAACAAGGGATAGGAATTCTTCAGCAAATTTCCCCCAGCTACTCCTCTTTTATCGTAGATATTACTGATTCCTCCGATTGTATTCTCACTCTGAGAATCATCATTTGTTAATCCTACCACTTTTGTAATATTTACTTTTAAATCTTTAGAATTTGTTATTACTGTATCTAGTTTTTCTGCATGATGGCATTTCTTAGTACTGCTAAGAATATTTTTAGACATACCAGTAGCGCTTGTTGGGTACAAATTCAAACAGTTCGTCTTATCCATGTATGTATTCATGAGTAGATGATTAATTTCGACATTTCTAACGTATATATCTTTTATAATGTTTGTTTTTCCATTATGTGCCACAAAAGTATCGTATATTTCTTTCATTTTTCCAATATCAATGGGACTCACCTTGAGGTCTTTGCTATTACTAATAAGAGCATTCGAAATTAGAGAATCATGAATCGGTGCAGCACACGTCAACTGTTCACTATTTCGTTCATTGTTTCTTTCATTGTTTCTTTCACTGTTTCGTTCATTGTTTCGTTCATTGTTTTGTTCATTGTTTTGTTCATTGTTTTGTTCATTGTTTTGTTCACTGTTTCTTGATTCATAAGCACCAATGTAATTAAGATGGAAACGCTTCTGTGCTGATGTCGTCGGGGAATTGCTACGATTGTGCATTTCATTTATCAAATCACTGTTATATTTGAATACTAACGAATAGAAAGAAGAGGCAGATGATGGTGCACACTCTTTTAAGCAATTAATTTTCTTTACTGCAATGTTAAAATTTAGCTTAAATTTAATAATATTGTGCATATTTATATATCTCTTCAAGGCACTTTCATGCATTGGATCGTTTTCATTCATTGCTGCTATTGTCGTCAATTCTATATCTGTTAATATTTCTTTTTTGCTTTCTCCAACGTCGTATTTTTTCTTATCGACATGATGCCTTTGCATTTTGGTGCGACATGCATCTTCTTCGTTTTTTCCAAATTTTTCTTTGCCTGCACCTCGTGCTCCTACTGCTACTGTCTGACCCACACCACCAATTGATGATGTTCGAACCATGAGTGATAATAATGAGTCCTTGCTTACAAACTCATCAATACTGAGATTTTCAAAAAAGCCAATATCCTTTTCATAATTTTCAGTCAAGTCTTTTAAGTAGCTTTCTTTCATTATTTGTACATATTCAGCGTTTAACTGCTGATAGTATTTTTTATTCATTTCGATTAAATAATTTGCGTTAATATGTTTTAAAGATGATTTATGTTCCATCAATTCATTTAAAATTTTCTTATTGCTAATAAGAATTAATATATAAATTATTTTACTAATGTTTATATTGACTAGTACATCTTCTTCACCTGTATCATCTTGAATATTTTTTTTTTTTTTCTTTTTCTCTCCATCTTCATCCAAGTCTTCCTCTTCTTCCTCTTCTTCTTCTTCTTCTTCATCATCCTCCTGTTCTTCTTCGTCACCTTCAGCATCTTCTAATATTCCATTGTTTCCTGCATTTTTTCTCTTCTTTTTCTTTCCCTTCCTACCAGTTTGCACACTATTATTATTATTATCTACATCAGCGACCAATTCAGTCTTTACATTTCCATTAGGAATTCTAATATTGGAATTTGTCTGCTGTAATTGTTTTACTTTTTCTTCATCATTTCTTCCCTTCGTTACATCTATCAGGCGTGAATTACCCACTAGATTATCTGGAACTAGAGCTCTTCTTCTTCCTCCTCCTCCTGCTTCTGCTACCGATTCTGTCGTTACACTAACAGAGCCATGGCTTTCAAGTCGTAAGAATTGCGCTTCCTCAAAATTTACCTTATTATAGTAAACATAATCATTGAAGTAAATAATGTTGTTAAGAATATAATCTAAATCAAGAAGAGAAAAATAATTACCAGCAAAGAGGTATACAAATAAGAAAATGTTTGTTCTTATATTTATATCTAATATGTGTTGTATTAGTATTAATATTTTATCATAAAATGTGTACTCCCTTTTGAATATATCATATATGTACTTAATGTCCACTTGCTTTTTTTTTTTAATATTTTTTTTATTTCTTGCTTTGCTTTTGTCACTTGGATTATCTGGAAAGAGAATTTTATAAATAATTTTTCTCTTTAACATGTTTATGAATTTTATCAAATTTTCATTATCGTACAGATTGAACTTGGTTGATGGATTCATTTCATTTCCTTCTCCTCTGTTCAATTCATTCAAAATAGTCATTCCGTGTTTATCATTTTCGATGTGCTTGCTGTGTGATATTGTTAATGCGTTAGGTGCTGCTCCTCCTCCTTTGCTTATTTTCATAGCACTAGATGTGGTACTTATACTAACACCACCAGTTGATACATATCTTTTCGAATTTTCCTCTGTTCCAAACTTGTTATATAACTTAATCATCAATTGGTTCATGGCATTGAGGAATTCTTCACCTACAGTTAAGTAGTTCTCTGATAGCAAGTTTTCCATTCGTATTACATTTTTTTTTAATTTTTTCTTCGTTATTTCGATCAGTTCATTATACAAATATGATGTGATGCTTTCCATCTTGTCCTTTTTGTCAATTTGATCTGTAATATTTTTACAAAAATAGTTGTTAATAACATCTTCATTGTTTTGTGCCTCAATATTCTGAGGATCTTTAATTGGTGATTCGCCCTTTTTCGGTTCCTCCTTTTTGGAATCCACTTGTTTTGACCCTTCCTCCACGCTGGTCTTCTTTTTTTCCTCCTCACCATAAATCTGACTGTTTCCTTTCTTCTTTTTTTCTTTAATTTGCTGATTATTTTCGTTCACCTTTTTTATTCTCTCCTTTTTCTTATCCCCTTCTAGGCCTGCTTCTACTCCTGCTTCTACTCCTGCTTCTACCCCTGCTTCTACTCCTGCTTCTACTCCTGCTTCTACTCCTGCTTCTACCCCTGCTTCTACTCCTGCTTCTACTTCATTCCGGTTCTTGTTTCCAATTCCGCTTTGCTTTCCTGCATTCTTTTCGCTATTATTCATTTCTGATTTTTGTGGCATTTTTCCATTTTCCTTAATGGAAGTACTCTCTACTACCTTGATGTGACCACTTCCTCGTTGTCCTTTCTTTTTGCCATTTTTATTTTCATTTTTCTTCTGATTTTGGGTACCCTTTTTTATGCTATGTTGTTCATCGGCTTGTCCCGTCTTTTCCATTTCTGTCTGTGCCTCAGCGTCATGTGCAATGTCTTTTATATTGGTTTTTTTTTGTTGGATCTTCTCGTTTTTCTTCCGGCTCAAATTATCCACATTGCCATTATCATGCGGGTCCTTACTACTGTTATTGTTGCTATTACTGTTGCTATTGTTGTTGCTATTGTTGTTGCTATTGTTGTTGCTATTGTTGTTGCTACTATTGTTGCTACTATTGTTGCTATTATTATCCCTTTTACCACCATCCCCTTTGCTCTTCCCAACCTCGTTCTTTTCCTTCTGTGGATGTGAAATGTCACCCATTTTAGAAGTTGTAAGCGAACGTTTGCTATTGTTATCCATTTGAAACGAAGAATCTGATGGATTCACCTTTTTAGCATTTCTCTGCTCCGATTTCTTTGATACAGATTCGATGAATGTCTTTGATTCATTATTCACTTCTAGTTTCGACGATTGAATTGATTTGTGTTGAGCACTTTGGGTATTATGTACATGTTGGGAATCAATGTTACGTACTTTTTTTTCCTTTCCATCATCTGTTTTATTTTTTAATTTGTTTTCATTATTCAAGTTAGAACTTCGTGAAGTTCCACCAACTTCTGCAGCTTTTGCATTTTCTTTGCTAGTATTCTTCTCCTCTTCTCCTTTTAATTTCTTATTTACTTCCTTTTTTTTGGATAATTCATTCATTATTTTGTTATATACATTTTCTGTGTTCTTTTCGAAACATTTTTGTATATTATACACATTCTTAACATGTTCTTTGCTTAATTTGTCAAATTCGATTAATAGAACTTCTTCAATATCATTTTTCCCGTTATTTTTATGCACGTTCAAATGGATAGATGTATCACTCGAGCTAGTTCCATATACACTATTTCTACAAGTAGTGCCACATACTGTTCCAGAAGCATGGGTAATAATACTATCCTTTTCTTTTTTTCCTTTAAACCTGTCAATAGAATTTATATACGGATGATGATTATGATGATGATATTCTCCAGAATTTTTATCCAAAATTTTTTTTTCATTACACAATATATCTTCATCTTCATATAATGCATTGTTAAATATAATGGTGGTATTTTCCATTTCATCTAAAATACGGTTATCATCCCCTGAGAAGTTGGAAATGTTATCACTCGAAACAGACAACACTGAGCTATTCGTTGATCGATAGGAATTCTCCAGCACACTTAATTCGTTCATTAGATCCTTATTTTGGTACAGTTTTTGCATTAATTCATCATTCCAGTCGAATTCATCTGTTGCCATGGTTCCCTCCTTTCCTGTAGCAGTGCCAGAAGCAGTGCCAGAAGCAGTGCCAGTAGAAGCACCAGCAGAAGCACCAGTAGAAGAAGCACCATTTATAGCTCTAATAACCCCTCCACTACTTCCTAATCTGTCTTGTTGCACAATCTTTTGAGAATTATCACTACTACGTGCGTGTGGGGTTACATTTTTTTTTCGATTCATGTCTTCTCCTATAAGATGCGCAAGATTCATTTCGGAATTATTTCTAATAGTACTAATCAATTTTTCCTGCTCTTTTATATAATTCATTTTTTTTCTTAACTCTTCTTTTTGAATTTTTTCGCATAAGCATATGTAATTACTTCTACAACTGGAGCAGAAATTTGTTTTGTTTAACTTTGGATATTCTATGCATTTTATATGAACATTGTTCATGTTATGATTTTTTTTAAATTGTATAACTATGGTGTTATTATACTTTTTAAGCAATTTCTTTATGCTGCATGAGAATTTCCTGATTTTTTCTAAACAATACAACTCGGACTCTTCGTATACGTTTATTTCTTCAAGTTTTATTTCGACATTTTCTTTTATTAATTTGCGTTCCTTGATTTTGGGGATGAACCAGTTAAGGATGTAATCTTGCAGAAGCAGTTTCGAGTAGCATATTATCATTCCTGTACATGTGAGACAAAAAAATGGAAATTGAAAAAAAATGAGGATCAGAAGGAAGCGGTGAAGAAGGTCAGCGTGTAATAACAATACGTGGCAACAAAAAATGGGAAGACGATTGAAACAGCCGGTATATGATGCAGTGCCATGGTGAGAAGCAAATATGGCCTTCACACATATGGTGGAAGTATATGTATAGTAATGCACACACACAAGCGAAATTCAGTGCAAAAGGGCGCTTGTGGGTGCCTCTCAATCACATACCTATGCAGACTAAATCATAGGTAGATGTCAAGAATTTAAATGTTATCAAGGGATAGTCGTTATCATTAAAGAGGTTGATATTCCCATTGTATTTGCTAAGGACTATCTGAGACGAAATTGGAATGAGGAGAATGTTCAGGTCAAATTTGTATGTGGCGTCTTTCTTATCCTCGACATAAATTTCAACATCAGAATTAACATTCATAAAAATTAATTTGTTTTTATTTTTCTTGTCATAGTCTTTTTTAATAGCATATAATAGGAAGAAGTAGGATGGATTCATCTTGACTTTGTAATAAAAATCTTCATCTGTTTTGTAATCAAGTCCATTTATAAATTTGTCTTCAATTTTATTATTTTTCTTTACCTCATAGTGTAATTCTATAATTTTGGAAAAAATATTGTACAGGTGAAAAACTTTAACATTTAATAATCTTCCTTTGTTATCTTTCAATACTTTATTAATCATCAGGGTCCTATCTGAAATTAATTTATTTTCTATATGCATTCCTCTAATGTTATAAAAGTCAATGTTGAACAGTAGAGAAATGAAAAAATATTTCTTTGGTACATTTGAAGAAACACAATTTGTTGTTCGAGTAATATCTGATTCTGTATTGACAGCACTTTTGTTGTTATACATTAATGAACGGAAATAAAAAAAGGATGGCAAATTTTTTCCTATGAATTCCTTTTTGGTAAATTTAATATTCATTATATCTCTTTCTAATTCAGGTTCATGTAAATAATTTTCATTTTTTTCATTTTTCTTTCTTTTATTGGTATTTTTATTTTTCATCACATTGCAATTTTCCTTTGTATTGTTTATAGCATCCTTATTTGTATCATTTCGATTAATGTTTATATTTTTTAACTCATTTCTTAGTACCTCATTAATCCGTTTTTCTATATTCTTATTAATTTCATTTCTTTCTTTGCCGTTCAATTCATATAGCAAATTTTCTCTCTCTTCATAATAACTAATGTTCTTATCCTGTACAAAATGTAGATAAGCTTTTCTTTCTCGAAAATAGTAATCTATATTTGTTGTTTCGTTCACATCATATATAATTTCATCGTATATGTAAAATATTTCACTCACACAATTGTGTACAGCCAATTCATAATTTCCTGCAATGGGGTTCACATTCTCCACTATTGGTTTTTCACCCATTTTTCCCACTTTTCCCATGTCATGCTTTATGGATGATGTTCTCTGAAAATTGTAAAAAAAGTTTTGCATCTCCTTTGCCTGATCAGCTTTGAATCGAAGCTTGAATAGAGAGTAAAAAAGGTCATTTTTCTTGTTCAAAAATAAGAATAAGTTGTGAAAATTGTAGAAGGAGTTACTATATATGCAGAGCAAGTTATTTATATTTCTTAAATTTTCATTATGATTATATATAGCACTTAGGTAAACGGTTAGAAGATCGTTATATTCAGGGTTCAAGTTAATAATTGGATAATTGTAAGACAAATAAAACAACTTGTTATTCACATTTGAATTGGCATAGTTAACAAATTTATTCTTTTTATAATCTTTCAAAATGAAATTCAACATATTTATGGTGTTGTTAAAGTATATAGATTTATCTGTCACTTCTATATTGAAAATGCAGTTCAGATTCAGCAGTTCCTTTTCTTTGTTCAACATTAATGGGATTAAATTCTCTTCATTCAGGCAAAAATTTTCAAAATATTTCTTTCCTTTTGGAGTTTCATCTCTCGTTTCTACATGCATTTCCTTTGATTCATTTGGCTCGTTCTGCACGTTCGATTCGTTCTTCTGTATTTCAGACATTCGCTCTGTGCTTTGTTCTACACATTTTTCACCACTTAATATATCACTCTTCAATTGTTTAACTTTTTTTACAAAATCTTGATAATCATTCAAGCGTGTAAATCCTCTAGAAAAGATGTATGGATGATCCAAGTTGAAGCTAAAATTGTTCATTGAAATAATGGCATTGAAAATAAAGAGAGACAATTCTGTGCTGTAATAGTAACTGTAGAAATGGTTTTGTTCTTGTAAAAGAAATCTCAAAATAAGTGAGAAGAGAAATTTTTCCTCTCTTTTTAGAAAGGAAAATTTTTTAAACAATTTAATTGTTAGTAGCTCCTTTTTTTCAGTTAATTCATTATCTATTTTGAAAAAATTATCTAATGGGAATTCAAAGACGTAATTAAAAAAGTGAAAGAGGAAAACGTTAAAAATGTTACAGTGATTCTTCGTGTCATAATATGTCAAAAATAGATTGTACTGCTTATACAAAAGATGCCAAAAAAAGGTATTATACTGAATAAATGAAAATAACTCTTTTTTACATTCAAAATTTTTATCAATTATGTATAAGGAGCCTATACATTTATGAAGTTTTTCTAGAAAGTATTCCAAACTGCTAATTTTTATAACTTCTTTACTATTTTCACTAAAATTATCTACTAAGCCAATACCGTAACAAAATAAATTATTTAAAACGTCAAAAAAGGGTGTAAATAAATCTTGTGTTATATCTGAATTGTCATCAATAACATTTTGAACAGTGAAAAGAAGATCCGTAAAATAAAAAAAGGATTTATATCTCTGATATATGTATGTCTCGTCTATATACTCAAAATTTGTTAATATAAAATCAAGAGAATAAAAATCTTTTTCAATTTGGACATAATTTATTTTCCTAAAATTGTGTAGCAATATTTCGTATACATTTCTATTATTAATAAAATTATTTCCATTAAGAAAACTTACATTTACTCCTTTAATTTTTGATAAAAACAAAAAAATCAAATCAATTCCGTTGTAACATTTTCTTATATCATACCCGTTCTTCACTAAAACACTTTTTATTTCATTAATGTTATTTATATTATACTTTTTCATCGTTTCGCTAACTTTATGTATTGCACTCGTCAGGGTATTTTCTTGCATCGTGTCGTTACCCTTCACGCTGTTGTTTTTCTCTCCATAATTATTATCTAGCTTATCTTTTAACAATTTTAGATTTACGTAAAAATTGGAAATGAAATTTTCATCTACATTTGTCTCTCCCACGCTCTGTTCAAAATTCTTTTCCACAACATTTGTTGTTTTGCCTTTTCCTCCCTTCGATTTGGCTTCTCCAGATTTGGCTTCTCCAGATTTGGTTTCTCCAGATTTTGTCTCTCCAGATTTTGTCTCTCCAGATTTTATCTCTCCTGATTTTATCTCTCCAGACTTGGTTTCTCCAGATTTGGCCTTCACAATGTCATGATTATGGATTACCTTTTCCACTTCTCCTTGATTCGCTTGACCTAGTTGATCATTATTTGGGTTTTTCTCCCCTGTTTTCTCATTATGGCTATGCATCTGCTCCTTTTTTTCACTCTTTTTGTGGGTATCTTTCGCACTTACCTCCTCCTCCTCCTTCACTCTGTTGCTGCTACTTTCCTTTGCTTTGTTATCAAGCTGGACAATCTCATTCGTCACTATGATACTTCTTCCATGTAGTCTGGATCCTCCCTTCCATTTAATTCCTCTAAGATTAAACAGTTTAAGTAATTTCTTAAGTTTCCTATTATCCAATTTTTGTTGTAATACTTTCAGTAAGGATAGAGTACCATTGTGCATTTTCATGTAAGAACTAATTTCTTCTTCCTTAAGAACATTCAAATCAATGGTGTAAAAATCAGAAGTAAATTTTTCATTCTCCTGAGGTTTGTTATTTTCTACAAATGTGTCGTTATTCTTTTTAGGAGAACTTTTCTGATTCTTGTTTCTGCGTTGCCCACTGTTTGAGCATGTGTCACTGCTTACATTGTTATTACTTCCTATCTGATTACTATTACCAGCGGTGTGGTTGCTTGTCCCCATAAAATTTGTATTATTCATAAGTTCTGAAGCTCGCCCACGATTACCTGAGATATTCTTCTTAATTGTACTAATGTCTATAAACTGGAAATTTGAAAGCAACAAATTATTATAAACAAGTTTTTCATCATTGCTATCTTCATTTGTAGATATGTCATTATTGTCTTCATTATTGGAGAGATATTTATTTATAATATTATTAGTTTTTTCTTCCTTTAAATGTTTAATGAAATTCCAACTTTTTTCATCTTTTGAATTTTTGTATTTTTTTCTTTTATGTTTTTTCGATAAATTGTCATAAAATTGCTCTAACTCATTTGGAATAGACAGAATTTCACAAAGGTAATATTTCCACATGCTCTGTAATAAATAAATAATGCATGCTTCAATATCACCAATGTTTATGTAATTAAATATACTTACGCATTTACATCCTTTATGAAAGCTGTTCGTGTTATGATGGTTGTTGTAGTTGCTGCCGTTGCTGCCGTTGCTGCCGTTGTTGCTGTTGTTGCAGCTGTTGCCATTGTTGTATGAATTTCCATTACTCATGAAGGCATCATCATCATCGTTACTGTTCTTTCTTCTATTATACAAATTGATGATTTCCAAATAATTGTTTTCAAAAATGAAATTGATCTGCTTGTCCAGCACGTCGAATGTCAAATTTTTTTGTAACTTTTTTAGAAATTTCAAATAATATCTTCTCACACAATAGCATAAAATACATGTTTTTTTCTTTTTTTGTAATAAATTTAAAAAGAATATTTCCATTTGTTTTGGATTCTTCACATCTGTCGAATTTAACAACTTGTCCATATCTAAATTCATGTTACTACTGTTGTTGTTCAAATTTTCCATTTTATTCTCCTTAACCAAGTTTGCGTTCTTTGTGTAAATCATCTTTTCATTGAAATCGTTATTTTTGTTTTTTAGAAATTCTATATCCTCGTGCAGAGTGGATGTTAAATATCGAAATACACAATCTACTTTGTGTTTGGAGGGTTCGAAAAAGCTCTTCTTCTTATCTACTCTCAACATGCACTTGCAGAAGTTCATCAGTCTATCAAGTTTGTTCTTCCTTTTCTTGTTCTTATATGGGTAACCCACGTTAACCGATTCGAAACCATCATTAATTCCTTCATCATCCTTGGTTTCTTCATCATCCTTGGTTTCTTCATCATCCTTGGTTTCTTCATCATCCTTGGTCTCTCTATCATCCTTGGCCCCTCTATCATCCTTGGCCCCTCTATCATCAATGACATCTCTATCATCAGTAGTGTCGCCCCCACTATTGGAACCATCATCATCGGTGCTTTCTACATCCAAGGTTCCAAAACCCAAGGTGCTTCCATGCACAGATCCTTCGAACAAGCGCTGGTAGATGTCCAAAAAGTAAAAATCCTCATCCTTGGCAGTGTTAATTTTTCTTCTCATGCTGGTGATGATTTGACGTTTATTAATAGCATATCTCGTACATAACTTTTTGATATACCTCGTTTGACAGTTCTTGGAATATTTGTTATAAAAAAAATATAGGTAATTAAAAAAAAAGATGTCGTGCATTTTGCAAGTATGCAAGTCGAAATTTTCGTTAAATAACAACTTCTTCAATTTGATAAATTTAACAATACGACAAATAATGTTTAAGTACATGAAAATTTTCTTTAACATAATTTTTAACTTTTTAAATCGATTTTCATAAAATTCATATATAGCTATTCCACCTTGCAAATGTTCAAAATTTTCATCATCTTCATCGGTGTTAAAACTTAGGTTGTTAAAAAAAATATCTGATAGGGCAATACAAAAATTTTTGTATGCATTTTTTTTTTTCTTTTTAAGTTCTAAATTATTTGTAAAATTCATATAAAAATATTCATGAAAAAATGCTTTAAAAATATTGAGACATGTTTTTAAATAGTAACTATGTAATTCCAACTTTTCTTCATTTTCGAAATAATTCCTTTTTGTATTATTTATATTTATTTTTTCCTTAAAAAAATTAAAGAATATATTATTTAGTTCGATGTTAAATGGATTATTCATACGAAATTTCATGTTACTACTATTCACAAAATCTGTATTGTTCAAATTCATATTTTTAAAAAAGTCCTGAAGCTGCCTAAAACACTTTATATAATTTATATTATTTGCATTTATCATTCCATTATTTATATGATAATTTACAAAATGACTATTTCGATATTCTTTCTTTATGCTGTATTTATTCTTTGATTTTTGTATATCATTCAGCACGTTTATTTTCATATTCCTTGTTGCGTTTACCTTTTCTCCATTCTTGATCATTTCTTCTCCAGTTATCATCTCGGGATTCATTTCATCCTTTTCCATCCATTCGTTTTTGCACTCACGGGATTTGCACAGCTCGTTTTTTTTGCCTTTTTCACCATTTTGGTCTTTTTCTCCTTTTTCACCTTTTTCGCCCTTTTCGTTTTTTCCACTCTTGCGATCTTCTGCATGCAAATCAGACATCGATTCGTCTACATCCACCACTTGAGGAAAATCCAATGCTGCACATCCCTTCGATATCACCAGTCCTCTAGATATGTTATGTGCAAAATTCATTTCGCTTAAATTGTTACTGAACAAATTTAAGTTTTGATTATCATCAAATTTCTCGTAATTTTTCACTATCCTTTTCAAATCGAAAAAATGTTTATTCTGCTTCAATTTGCTGCTATTTTTGTTCAGAACAATGCACATCTTGGCTTTGTCATTAATTGTGTAGTTGTACGATGCATTCTCGTTATTTTTAATTTTAATTACATCTTCAAACAATTCATCCTTTATATTTATCATCATTTTGTGGTGTACCTTCAACGAGTTTAATATTAAATCTTTTTCACTACTTATGAAGGGGTAGCATTTTGTACTTGTGTACGAATCTGTACCTGCATAGGAGAGATCTGTGCACTGTGATTCCTGTCTTACAGCAATTTTTTTCATTTCGACATTTTCATTATTTATTAGAGATCCGTTATTTATTAAGGATCCGTTATTTACACTTTTGAAATATTCATTTTTTGTTCCATCTTGAATTTTTAATTCAGTTGTGCTTCCCTCAATTCTATTCGTTTTTTCTTTTTTCCTTTTGTTTTCTTGATCTGTTTGATCAAGGGATAGTATTGCTTCTCCTTCGGTGTGTACATCTAAAGGCTCATGTTCATCATTGATAGTTTTGATGTTTCTTTTTTCCTCATTCTTGTTAATAGTCATTATAGCATCGTTTGCATGTAATTTTTTTTCATCTTGTTCAGATGCATCTGTAGGGATAGTCCTTTTCCTCAGCTCGTAAACCAACTGATCTTCCATTTTTTCATCGGCCTTAGCTTTAAATTGGGAATACAAATCGTCTTTCGAATTTTTATTAAAATCAAAGATATCTTTTTCTTCAATATCAAACTCTCGCAATGTGTGAATATAAAGGGGGAAATTAATATTTTTGATGTTCAGCTGTTTTAAGCACAGCTGATTATTTAAGTCATAGTAATTATCACTTACGTATATACAGCAAGAACAATAAAAGTCTTTATGACATTTCCATTCATTAAATTCGTATGTCTGTCTTAATTTACTTATTCTATTTTTATAAATTTTAAACCACGGTCCTTTTATATACGGCCTTAAAATTAAATAAGAGTAAGAACCATTGTTGAAATCATTCCCTGAGTTAAATTCAATATCACCCAGTTTGTTATAACTTGGAATTCCTACATTGTTGTTTATGTCTCTATTTTCTGATATTATAAGTGCATATAGATGGTATGTAATTATATATTCGTTATATTCATCATTTTTTCTCTTTGCATGCACATTCTTTTTTATTCCAAAAAAGGAGTTACTTTTGTCCTCCTTACAATAGTTATTGTTACCACTTACACTTGCACTTGCACTTCCACTAGTAATACTACCATTGTTATGAGAACCAGTAATATCACTTTTACCATTGTGATGGCACCTTCTCTCTGTTTCTTCCTCTATATCTTCATAGATATCCAAGTATAAAGGAATGTCAATCAGTTCACCACGTCTTAAATTTTTAAAGCAGTTCATGTAAAAAAAAAGAACATAAGGAATTTCTGTAAAGGAGGATTTTTCTATAGTTTTGTATATATCCTTTTCACAAATAATATAATTTTTATAAAAATTAATTTTTTTTTTATTTATTATATTATAAATTAATGAATTAATACTCTTATTTTTGCATACTTTATTATCATAGTTATCTGAATCTTTATTCTTTCCACTATTATAAAAATCTTCTTCTTTATTTTCATCATAATGATCACTATCATTATTGCTCTGCTCGTATGAATCATTTTCATCTTTGTAATTTATTACATCTCCCTTCTTCCTTCCTATATCGTAATTCTTATGTGTCATTTTCTTCTCCTTGCTATAATTATTTTCGTTTTCTGCTGATGTGACCTTTCTTTCATTCACCAAATTGTTGTACCGTTGTTCTTCCGCATGTCGCTTCAAATCTGTCTTTTGCTTCAAATCCGTCTGCTGCTTCACCTCCGGATGGCCTTGTTCACCAATTTTGATGTTACCACCTTTCCTCAAATGAACCGAGTTGCCCTGTTCATTGTCATCAACATCGTTCAACTGCTTGGAGGAATATTTCTGAAACTTTGTGTAGATCTCATCCTCACTGTTAATATTCGTTCGATCACTATAATCACTAACATCGATTTTGTTATCGCTGCTATCATTTTCACTCTCCGTTTTGCTTTTCAGATTGAAAAGTTCGTAACACATCTTTTCAAATATTCTAAGATCCTTCAGGTCTTCCATTAGGTCATTTTCCCTTTTTTCCAATTTCCGTTTTGTACTCCTGTCCGTTCGGTTGCTCTCTTCTTGCTTGTTCTCTGTTTGGTTGTTCTCTTCTTGGTTGTTCTCTTCTTGGTTGTTCTCCGTTTGGTTGTTACCAGCATTTCCACTACCTTCATTTCCACTTTCCTTACCTACAGTATTGTTGTATTCCTCAATCCTCTTCCTGAGCTTCTTAATCTTTCTATTCAACTTGACCTTATCTTTGACAACATCACATACGATGCGTTTAAACAGCTGTTCATGAATTCGTGTGATGGGTTCGTTGCACCTGTATTGGTTAAACAAAATCTTGTTAAGGCTGAAAAGTAAAATTTTTATACTCGGTATTAGTGGCTTGAATAGATGCAAATAATTGTTGCTTTTGTTATACACATTCAAAACAGAATTGTTCATTTTTCGTCTGCTGTTATTTCCTTTTCCTTTTTTCGAATAATCTGTTTCAGATAATATTAAATTGCATTCATCATCAGAATATGGCGTGCTGTAAAATAGACTATTTTTATAATAATATAAGCAATTTTTTTTCTGTAATTCTAAATTTGCGAAATATTTCGAATCTTTCTCATACGATTCGTCGTTACTACTGCTCCTACAATTGTTATAATTTTTCAAATGTGCATTATTATCATTTTCTTCTTTGCAAGCACCTTTCTCATCTGGATTGTCATCAAGGTTTTCATAAATATTGTTGTTACAGACATGGTTATCTCGATCGTTACAGTCATCTGTACCACCATCTTTATCACCATCTTTACCACTATCTTTATCACCATCTTTACCACCATCTTTATCTCCATCTTTACCACCATCTTTACCACCACCGTTCTCATTCTTACCATTTGTATCTGTGTGTATATACCTGTTTGGATATGGTAACTCACCATTTATGCCCGCATTGCCATGATTCGCGAAATCACTGGCTTTGCTATCCAGATTTAATTTATTTTCTTCAACTGAACTGGATAACGGATGTGAATTGAAAACATTCTCAGAATTGTTAACACAAGTATTATTATTCTTATTGTGCAATTTCTTTCTTCCTTCTGATTTATCATTTATATCATTTTCATCATTATAATTCTTTCTTTTTCTACTACTTGTAGAATTCATCGTGTTGCTTGTAGAGTTACCTATGTTTGATGCACTTTCTGTTGTAGTGAAATCTAAATTTCCCTTTTCCTTGTAAAACATTTTGTCAAAATTGTCAAAGTGATCTTTTTCGAAATCTTGCTTACCTTTCTTGGCACAAAGAATTAAAGAATACATTTGCATGCAAATAAATATTCTTTGTAATGCTATAATAACATTCTTATTATTTTTCCTAAAATATTCAAACATGCTGAAAGATTTCATATCACTTGTATATCTATAGGATAAATTCTTCAACTCATTTGGATCATCAATAAAATCATTTTCCAAAAAGTTTATGTAATCCCTAACGCGATAATCTTCTCGTTTATGCATCCCATCTTCCTCCCCTACATCAGCATTATTATCATTTGTTTCATTTGTATTATTATTATTATTATTATTACTCTTTATAACATTCGATTGTTTTTCTTCCTTCTTCGATTCATTTTCGCTGATATGAAAATTGTTCATAAGTTCCTCAATGACATTATTAATGCGGGAATTGACAGAATCATTATTATTCTCTATGGTATCAGTTCGATTGCTACTGTTCCCTCCTTGCATCAGCATAGATGTTACATCAACATAATTCATCATGTCCTTTATACTATGATTGACTTCGCTAATATTTGTGTTTATGCTACGTACATTCATTTTTATTTTAATCACATTGCTTAAGTAATTTATGCTATACTGATCCTTTATTAGATTATTCAAGTTGTCATTGATGAGGTTTATCTTATTGTTAATATAAGTTATATACATATTCACATTCACTACTTGATGATTTTTGCTACAATCCATTTCTTTCGATAAATGAAGAGAATGTATAAGATTTATATTTTCCACATTTGATGTATACATTTTCTTATCTGCCCCTTTTTCCACTTCAATTTTCCCTTCAATTTTCCCTTCAATTTTCCCTTCAATTTTTCCTTCAATTTTTCCTTCGATTTTCCCTTCAATTTTCCCTTCAATTTTCCCTTCAATTTTCCCTTCGATTTTCCCTTCGAGCTGTACATCTGTAGCGTTATTGCTATTGTGATTCGTTACATTGTTTAAATTATTTATCTTGTCATCCAAAAAGGTAAGGAAATTTTGCACTTTATCATTAACAATTTCTAAACTGTGTAAAATTTTATATTTCAAATCTGATTCGTCATAATAAAATTTTTTTTTTTTTTTATTAAATTCTTTTATTTTTCGTACAATATCATTTTTCGTGTCATCTTCGTTTATTCTATATTTTCTCATTACATAATTTAATTTATATTTTTTTTCTTTTTTTCGATTTTTCAGATATTTACTTAAAATACGGTTATATAAACTTGCTTTATATTTCAAAACCATAATTTTAAATAGTTCTATGTTATATAAACAATTTACCAAAATAGATAAATTATCATTATCATTATATGATTCCACCACTGGTACAATGTAATTCGTTAGTGATAAAATATATTTCCTATTATCTACGGATAGATCCTCTTTCGTTGTTTTTTCATTTTGTTCTGTTTCCTCTGTTGTAAGATTTCTTAATTCATTTAAATTATTCTGTTTTACCAGATCTTCATAAACATGCATGTTATTATAAACTGATTTGATAAGACTCAAAGCGTTTTTGTTTTCTGCTTTTAACCTTTCTATTCTGTTGTCACTTCGATCATCCTCTTTTTCTCTTTCGTGTAATACATCATTACAACTATTTGGAAATTCCCCGTAATCATTTCGAATAATCTTCCTTACACTTTCGTAAAAGGAATTTTTCCATTTTTCTGAATTTTCTGAACTGTTAAGGTAATTTTTCACAAATTGTGGAGACCAAAAGAGGGAATAATTATATATATCAATTGCATGTCTGTTAAACATATAATTTTTGGCATGTGCTAACATTTCCCTTACAGCTTGGTTAGTGCATCTACTTTTTCCATCATTAAAATGGATATTTCCATGTGTACTATTATTTCCTAGAGTTATATTACTGTTACTCTCATCTCGATTGTTATTATTATTACTGCTTCTATTTCCATGACGACCACTTTTCTCACTCATATATTGACATTTCTTGAAATATGACTTTTGAAATAAAAATTGAAATAGCATATCATTATGTTCAAAACTTTCATATATTTTCTCAGGGATATAACTCCAAATATGCTTGGGCATATGATGAATACATTTTGACCACAGTTCTTTAAAAGATCTCTCTGCCTTTCCCTTAATTAATAATCCACCTGTTTCATCTAAAAATCCTGTGGATTTATTTATTTTTGAGTGATTTATCATTTTCTGCCATCCTCTTGATAAAGAATTGTTTGTAAAAGACCAATAAGCCCATGAAGAAATGGAATTTTTTTTCGATTTAAAATTATGAACAGTCAGCTGAAATCGCACATTTGGAAATACCCATTCAGCTGGATAAAAGTCTTGTTTAATCACTTCTAAATATACGGACAAATAATTATCGTCATTTGAATTTCCTCTAGGATGAACTAAAAGTTTGAAATAAAAATCATCAGAATTTCCTGTCGTAACAGACTTAATTTCGTTAACACTTTTTATACTTCTCCAGAAGTTTGGAATATACAGTTCGATCATTTCATTATTCTTCTTATGACTAATGTTCATTATTCCTTTGTTTGTATTCCCTTGTACATTTCCCTGATTGCTGTCAGGAAAATTTCCACAATCGTGGTTGCTATGATTGCTGCTACTCCTACTACTATGATCACTGTTGAAATATCTGCTAGTATATCCACAAGTATCATGTAGACCTCCTCTTCCCTCATCTGACATGTTCATACAGCATTTATTGCTTGTTCGAAAATCAGAAATGGCTTTTTTCATCATTAACAATTTATAATAATCAATATTCTCAATGTTGATAAAATCATTATTCCTTAATTCATGAAATAAATTTGTACATCGTTTATTTAATGGTACAATAAGTGGAGGAATAACTTTCTGCGTTATTATGCTTGGTAAACGAAGAACACATCTTAATTTTTTTTTCTTTACCCACTGATTTATTTTATTCTGATTGTGGCTACAATTTACATTTTTAATATCATTTATAAAATCTTCCAGAATATTTTCATTTGTTATATCTGAGAATTCATCACTTTCGATGTTGTGGTTTACTACCATGTTGTTCTTTTTCCTACTTTCATTTCGATTGCTCATGTGATCTTCTCGTGCTTGAAAATTCTTCAGTTCACTTTGGTCGTTACTTCTGCAGCCGTCCCTACCATGCTCTTCATACCTGTTTTCATTATCAACCTCTTCCTCTTTTCTCCCTTTCTCTTCCATCTCGTCCTCTTCTTCTATCTCTTCCACCTCTTCCTTCTCTTCTTCCTCCTCTTCTTCTTCCTCCTCCTCCTCCTCCTCTTCATCCTCTTCATCTTCCTCCTCATCATGGTCACTATTCTCATCATCCGTGCGATCATTTCCACCACTTTGCCTCATTGGAAATTTGCCTTTTCTATCATTATGATCGTTTCCATTGGGGATATTACCCTTTCTGTTATTTTTGTTAGATCCTTTATCTGACTTATTATTGTGATTACTATCTTTACCATTTTCTCTGGGTTCTTCCTGGGAGGCTTCTCGAGGCCCAGCGCAGGAAGAAGCAAAACATGTAGGGGGCTTCTCCGTATAGCTCTCCCATATGTTTTGCTTCTTTTCCAATCCTTCCATTTCTTGAGCGTCTTCCACTTGTTCACAGTTAAACTTCCTTTTGCTTCCTAGTATGCCATATAGACCATTTGCGTTAGTCTCCTTTTTACTTCCGTTCATCACATTTTTATGCATATGTGGTAACTTAGAGACACTTTTTTCACAACATTGACATATCTCAGTCTCCTGAAGTTTCTTATTTCTGCAAGTGGATTTTTTTTTGGCCCAATTGCTCACGATGTCACTTCTGGTATCACTTCTGATATCACTTTTGGTGTCACCTCTGGTATCCTTCATGATGTGCTTCACCTGTTTCCTTACGTTTTTTTTTTTCCTTCTTATGGTAAATTCTGTTTTTTTCCCCTTACACACAATTTTTGCTTTACGTTCATCGAAGTACTTGGGAGTCATTCCCAAAAGGAAATAAGAGTAATGGCATGCACCCACGTTTCGCAAAAGCTTACTAGAATGCTTTAATTTGTATATACACTTGATGACTTTTTTATATCTTGGGTTTAAAATCTGTTTACACTTTGTCAACAAGCATATGTCATTTTTTTCCCTTCCCTCATTATCATTTAAAAAAAAATTTTTTTTTTTTTTCCTCTTCTTTTTCTTCTCGTTTGTGATTTGTTTATGGTTCTTTATAAAGTTACAAAAATTTTGTACTTCTATTTTATATATATCATCAAATAAAATTAGGTTATCATTATTTGAAATATTTTTATTTTTTTCTTTGTCATTTTTACTCCTCTTGGTAAATTTTTCAAAATTATTTTTAAAAAATTTGCTAAAAAAACTTTTATCAGTCTTGTTATGATTATTTTTGTTCTCACGTTTGCTATCATTTATTCCGTCATTTATTCCACTATTTTTGTTCCTGTCATTATGTACAATCCCCTCGTTTGATTCGCCTCTTCTATCATCACTAAGAAAATGCGGACTGGGGGGAGGGTTAAAAATGCTTAAGAAAATTTTACACATATTTTTTTCTGACTTCCAAAAATGATGTTTTCCGATTTCGTCCATCATTTGTACAGCTTGCTCATCATTCATTTCAAATTTTTTTTTTGTTTCTTCTAGCTTGTCGAAAAAATTAGAAATACATAAATTTATTTTTTTTAAATCATTATTTCCCCTATTTTGGAGTTTGCACAAAATTTTTTCCATTTCTGACCTCGAGTTCATTTGTTTCATAAAACGCTCGTAGCAAAAAAATGAGAAAATTGATAATTCTATTTCCACTTTACTTTTTAAACAAATATTTACGCGGTTATTTTGCAAATAGAAGCCAAACAGTTTTTTCTGATTGTTCATAAAATTTTCCCTTATTTTATCCTTTATTCCGACTAATCTCGTGCTTTTTCTTTTTGAGCGCTCTAATATTATCTTCAGCAAAAATGTTTTGTCACAGTTGTTCATCCCATGGACATGACCACAGTTGTGTGTTATAACAGAAATATTATTTCTTCTTTTACTCATATTCAAATCTTTACTACTTTTTTCACTACGTGGTTCTGGTTTTTCATTATTCTCGTTTTTGTCAAACATGCATTTTGCTTCTCTTTTGGAACGGTGTTCCAAGGAGTTTTTTTCATTTTCTCTTTTCAGATCATCGTTTAGAAGATATAATTTTCTATCTTCCTGTTCTATAACTTGATATATTATCTGAATGTTCTGATCAGAATTAACACAAGAATCAGCCTCAACCAATTCATCAACTTTGCTGATACTCCATTTCAATAAGGAAATATTATATCGCTGAACATTGTGAAAATTTTCCATTTCTGATTTGTCATCATCTTTCAATATAACAAAACTGGTATCACACGTTGTGTCAATTTTTGGTACTTTTTTTTCCTCACTCTTAATCTTATCATTATCATCCTCATTAATTGAGATTTCTTTTTTTACAAAAATTTCCTGAAATTTTTTGTTCTTCAAATGTTGGGGATCACTATAAATATCCATCTTTTTATGATATTCTGGATTATATTCAGCTTTCTCCTTAGAGTTGGAACTCTCACTTGATTGTTCACATAGAAAAACATAGCTAACATTTGTTCTATTCATCATTGTTGATAAATTACATTTAATCATTCCGATTTTCTTCAGAGTCTCTGCTTCTCTAATCTTACAAAAATGCACATTAGTCATTTCTTTACTATTACTTAAGTCGTGATTCATGCGGACATTAGGCTCACATGGAATGGAATTTAGAAGTAAAGAAATTTCTGAATTTTCCTCCCTCTTTCCATTTTGGGCATTGTATTCTTGAGTTTCTCCTTTTTTACTCTTGTTCAACGACTTCGCATGAATAGTATCAGAAATTCCATTTACACTAATATTATAATGATTATCTGCATATGTAGAAGTGGAATCAATATCCTTTTCGCTATTTCTCAACATGTTTGCAATCGAATTTGGACACAACTCCTCAATTAATTCGTCCTCATTGTTGGGCAAATTATTATGAACAAAAAATGCCTCAGCAGTAGAAGCAGAAGAAATACAATCAGTAGAATCGGAAGTAACATCATCAGTAGAAACAGCAATATCCTCATCGGTAAAAGCAGTAGAGTCGGAAGTAACATTATCAGTAGAAACAGCAATGACATCATCAGTAGAAGCGATAGAAGCGGTAGAAGCAGTGGAAGCCGTAGAAACGATAGTGACGACAACATCGTCATACGTCACACTAGCGTCATCATTTTTCGATTCACTACAGGTACTGGAATTCACAAAATCATCCTCGTGGTTGGTATCTGGAGAAGGTATCATTCCTCTGTAACAATCATATTCACCACTATTGTAAATATTGTTTGCAATATTTCTAAAGTCATTATAATTTTCATTTTTTAAACTTTGGTATGTTTTGCATGAACCTTCATTTAAAGTATTCATCAAAACAATATCTTTATTCCTTATTTCCTCATTATTACTACTTATGAAATTTTCTTTAAACTTTCTGTTAACATTATTTATCAAATTGGAAGGGGAGCCAACTTCTGATATTTTCATTCCTTGGTTGTTTGTTTGACCTTTAATGTAACGATGCTTGCTATTCCAAGATACATTGATGTTCTTTGCATTTTTATTAACACCATTTCCCTGATTTATGATTTCTTTCTTTCCCTGTAAATGATCCTGGCAATCGTCATGAAAATTGTCATAATTACTGTCATAGGTATTATCATAATTATTGCCACAATCATTGTCATAATCATTGTCATAAAAATCGTCTTGAAAATTCCACCCTAAATTTCCGTGCGTGTTATTCTTTTTAACATTCCGGTCATCATCCTCCTTGTCGCAACCTTCATTATAATCATCATTATTCGAAGGTAAACTTGAGGACACGCATTCCTCATATAATGTGTTTCTATCAGAACATTTCCAGTTATCTGGAATGGTGCCTGTCTGTAGCAGTTTACTCCCATCAATCATGGTAGATGGTATACATTTCTCTTTTTTTTCCCTCCTTTCGTTAATACGTTTTGTAATTATAGGTTCATAAAATTTTGTCTTATTAGTTGTACTCTTGCCATTTTTAATATTGTGTACATTTAACATATTAATGAATTTTCTTTTCATATTCCTCGAACTGACAAGGACTATATCAGGTATCATATAATTATCCTTTTCCTTATAACAATAAAAATCTCTATTCCAACATGTACGAAGAGAACTATCGTTTCTGTTATATTTTATTCTTTCGTATGCGTTACGCATGTTTTTCGAATTTGTATTCCGAAATATGTTTGATTTATTATGAACATGTTCATATTCTAGGTCTAAATAATCATCATCACTAAGGGATGTATGGCTAACATAACACGATGTGTTCTGATCATCTTCTGAATAATTTCTCTCGATTATACTTTCTTTGTTCATTATATTCGGCTGCTTAATTGTAAATATGTCTTCTTTTAAAATATTGTGTTCCATTTTCTTTTTATTTCTTGTTTATCTTCAATTTTTTTTTTTTTTTTTTTTTTCTTTTTTGGCGAGTGGTGGAGGTGTACATATAAATATGTGCACAAATATTTACATTTATATATATGTAGATATGTATGTTCATATATATGTGCACATATACCTTATATATACATTAGTGTATAAGTGTATTTATTTATATTAGGATCTGCACATACTTTTTTTTCTTTTCTTCTTTTTATCCTTCATCTAAAGCGTAATATTTTTAAATACATGTGTAAATATTGAAATGTGCGTATAAATGCATGTATGTATACATATATATATATATATATATATATATATATATATATATATATATATATATATATATGTATACACATTTGTTGAAAAAAAAAAAAAAAAAAAAGCACATTTTTGAATATAAAATATACCACATAGTACAATTTACTGGCCACTTGAAGAATTTTCATAAAACAAAAAGAAATGTAAACTACGTCATTTATAAATACTTTTTTTTAAAAATGAGTTATTAAATTAATTTTAAAAATATAAAGAAAAATAACGGGAGAACAAAATGTAGTATTGTTTATATTCCTTCGCAATATAGGGGATGGATAAGGGGTGCAGAAATATAAAAAAAAGGGGGGGGGTACGCAGACAATCTGGACTAATGGCACATGTGGCTTGGTATGCATGCAGTAGTTACAATGTACCTGTGAACTGAAATGAATATATACATAGGCACGTAAACTTTTGTGCGCATGAAAGTGGTAAGATATGTTCATGAGTTCATATATATATGTCTGTATTTGTGTATGTGTGCGTGTATGTATATATATATATATATATATATGCAAGGATGGATGTATATATATATATATGTATGTATGAATGTACAATAATTGTTCATCAAAAGTTTCGCCAAGAATTATTTGCAGTTATGAATATTTCACTAAGATGATATGGAAAATTCGGCAAACGTAAGCATAAGTAAAAATTTGTAGTTCATGCAATAACTCCTTTTTTTTTTTTTTTTTTTTTTTTATCCTCCCCCCTTTGTTTTTATGTTCTATTTCAGTGTTAGTTCTAGTATTATTAAAGTTTATTGCTCTCTCCCCCCTTTTGTTCTTTCTTTTTTCTTTCTTTTTTTCTTTCTTTCTTAATTTTTTTATTTTTTTTTTTTTATTTCCTCAATCCTTTTCAGACTGACTGAAATACAATTAAGAAAAGGGGGGACTTAAAAGTATGGTGAAAATACGGGAAATGGGGCAAAAAAAAAAAAAAATGATATTATATATTATGCAACTTTTTTTTTTTTTTTTTTTTTCGTTTCCAGTATATTAAATGTTACGAAGATTTTTTCTTCTACCTTTGTAATCGCCTTTGTGTATATGTCTGTGAACAGACCATTGTATGTATGCTTAACTAACATGCACGTACATACATGCGAACGAGAATGTATGCAAACAGACAAACGCAAAAAAGAAGCGAAATATAATTGAAATAAAAGTGAAACAGAAAAGAAACTCACGCTCATATACGAACACAAGAAATATGTGGGATACATGTGCAAGCCTACATCACTCTTCACATACGGTTAAAAAATCAGGAGTATGAAAACGCATGTTACAGAAGCTAGTTCAAGCAAATATACAAGTAATAACACTAACATTTAATAAATAAGTGTGGTTTATGTATGTACCATTTGGTAATGTGTATATGCAAACCTAAACCCTCATAATGCACATGTAAAGGCATGTAACACATACCATTACTAACAAAGGGAATTTATGTATGCATGAATGTAAGTATATGTATATTAAGTTATACAACAAGCTATTGTTAATACTCTCATCTAAGCCAATTGATGGCATAACAACTTTTAAGAAGAAAGGCGATACATACGTAAATAAATGGTAGTTCTTTAAAATGACCATGCGTATTTGCACATTTATATGCATTCAGCACATGGTAAGAATAACGAATATACCATATTACTTATGTATGGCCTTTGCAAATTGTAATTATTTGTTATTTGGTTACAAAGTTAATAAAACAAGAAGTTGGTAAATTTAGATAAGGATGTTCGAAACAAAAATGTTTTTTTCAGATACGGTTAATTATATATGTATTATACTTATGGAGAAAATAACTATTTATAATCCATATATTTTCGTCGTCATGCATTTTTTGGTATACGTTTTATTTTATGTCATGCGTGTTTTTTGCCATTCTTATGCCATTTGTGTTCCTTTTCTTTTCTTTTTTTTTTTTTTTATATATATATATATAAATGTAAACTATTAAAATTAAAGATATAAGGTTGTTATAAAATATGACAAATTTTAAAAAAAAAATTCAGGATTATAATTTTTTATTTTCTATATCTTACAAAGTACATGCACCACCATTATTTGTTACTACTTGATATACATTTTTTCCCTCATCGGGCTACAATATTATACCCCCCGCACCATATATTACTCCTCATCCCATTCTTTGCTATATTAAACTATTGCGCCAAGTTATTGCATCAAATTATGGCATAAATTATGGCATCAAATTATGGCATCAAATTATGGCATCAAATTATGGCATCAAACTACTGCACCCATTTGAACTCACTAAAACTGTGCACCCCCAACTGTTATGCCCAAATCAAGCCTTTTTAAGGATATGTTTGAATTAGGGATTTTTTTAAAAGAAAATATAAAAAAAAACACAACACATTTTTGTGTGTTTTTCTTTTAAGAATTGTTATATATACGCTTCTGCAGTGTTTTCCCATCTACTATTCTTCACGTATTAATAGGCAATACACGTATATATATTTGCATATATATATATATATATTATATACAAATATATATAACTTTTTTTTCCGTTAATTACATTTTGGCGAAATACCATGATATATGTAAAAGCAGGTATAACTATGTTACACGATTGTGTAGTGTAGTGGTAATCCACTGTTTGAGATGATGCTCCCATTTTTTTTTTTTTTTTTTTTTATTCTCCCAATCCCTTTTTTTTTTTATGCATCCTTTTGTTCATTTTTCCTTTTTCTCCAACCTTCCCCTTTGTGCATCCTTGCATCCCAGTACGAATTTTTAAAATGATGAATTATTAACAAAAGCATTATCCATGGAGTTATAGCAATATGAGTTTCAAACAATGGATCAAGGAGAAACAAATGGGAATAATTTACTTAACTTTCATTTGAATAATAAAAATTGTAAATATTTAACTACCCACCTTAACCATATAATAACAATATTGTAATTATTATATATTCAGGTTTGTAAGCCTTTGAATGTGCTGTTAAATTTTTCCATATGTTTTAGAAAATATAATGTTGTGCTTAAACAAATGAGTGAAACCCCCATATTTACTTGGTTTTGACTTTTAATGTATAAAAACTCACCGCATACATATTTACAAACATAGTTCATCATTTGGGAGAGGAAAAGAATGTATCGTAAAATTTTTTCATCTTGAATATACTGTGTTTGCACACATTTCACACGATTCACGCGTGTGATGATAAAATCTTTTTTTTTTTCTTCTTTTCTGTTTTACACATTCTTGCATTTTTTACAAGTTCGAGACCTTTTTTTTTTTTTTTTCTTCTTTTTTTTCACTTATTATTAAACCTCCCCCCTCCCCCCCCCTAGCTTTTGGTGTAAACCATTTTTAAATGAAACATGGCTTCTTAAAAAATGTTCACTGTTACAAAACGAAAGGGAAAAAAAAAAAAAAAAAAAAAAAAGAAGAAGATATGACTTGATGTTCTTTTTTTATCTCTGCCCTATATGTGCTACTTTGAAGGGTAACACATAAAAAAACTTTTTTTTTTTTTTTTTTTTTCCTGTCATAAGTAAAACCAAAGTATGATGCTTTGCAAATTTGCCTGATGTTTTAAAAGTTGCACACGTCGTGCTAGATTTCCAAGGAGTTCAGAGTTTATTGGAACGTATTGCTGTAAGTGTAAACAATAATAACATATTCCTATGTGTAAACCCATTGATGCCTTTTTTTTTTTTTTTTTTTTTTTTCACTTAATTTTTTTTCCCATTTATGGATTCTCCTGGTCGTGTTATTAAACTTGTATTTATGAGGAAAAAAACCCATCTTTCAACTTTATCAGAAACTCGCACCGACTGTGAGGTGGGGAACTATTCTTTGAATTTGCTTATTACATTTTTTGTTATTACGCAAATGAATTTCTTTCGGAAAATATAGCTTAAAAAATTGGAAGAAAAAAAAAAAAAAAAAATAAATAAATAAATAAAATAAACTTCACCCATCTTAAGTACTAACAAAAAGTAGACATCACTGAAGGGAGTTATTTTGGGAACTCATTACGTGGCTCTGTTCTTTTTTTTTTTTTTTTTTTTTTTTTTTTTCGTTTTTCTTTTTTCAACAGAAGCATGTAAACCCTGTTTGCAACAGAATGGACACCAACGTCTGATTATTTTCTCTTCTCTTTTTCTGTTTCTCCCCCAAAGAGTCAAGACTCTTATATAAATATGGTTACCTCAATGGAAACACTACCTTTTACAACACTAAAAAGTATGACCCTATATTAATCCAGTAACATATGAGATGGAAAAAAAATATATTTAGATATATATCATGACCAACAATTTTAAGTTTTTTTCATTGCAATGCTTTTATCACTTTTGTGCAATTTTTTATTTGCTCTTTCAATTATGTAAAAAAGGTATATATTTTTTTTTTTTTTGGGGGTTGTTGTCGGGGTATAAGAAGTTTTAGAAGATATCAATTCACTTTCTTTTTTTGTTGGGATATTACATGGTTGTCTAGTTAATGATTTTTATATGACATTTTTGATAAGTAAAAAAATAAAGTAAATTAAGGAAAAATAACGCAAAATATAGCAAAATATAGCAAAATATGCAAAACAAAGCAAAATATAACAAAATATAACAAAATATAACAAAATAACGAAGCATACATGCATTCGCTGATGATAAGTAGGTGTAGGTAAAAAAGCATGCAGGTAAACCCATTGAAAGATAAAAAAAAAAAAAAAGAAAACAAGCAGTTGATGAAAATATGCTCATAAAATGAACAGTCAAATAAAACAAACGCAAAAATATCCCAAAAGTGTGTGCGTTTACAAGTGATCATGTTAGCATGGTGTGCCAACATCGAATGTAAAGACATTCGCTCATAGTTGCATAATCACAACAAAAAAAAAAAAAAAAAAAGAATATAATCTGAACATGTTGCACCTCTCAGACATGGTTACGCTCCGTATATGTATCATCAAGATATAATTCAGCGGACTTGGTATTAGAAATTGCCATTGTTTTATTGCTCTTTCTCTTTGCATTTAATTGTCTCTTAATTTTGTTTATTATATCATAATAATAAATTACAAAAATTAATAGCAGTATTATAACAGCTATTAAAATACCAATTGCGTACGTTGCTAATGTTCCGTCGAAATTTGCACGTCCATCTGAATCTTTGTTTTCGTCATCAGATTTCTCATTACCATCTAAATCTCCATCTTCATCATATTTGTTTTCATCATTTAAATTCTGTTCATCATTATTTTTTCCTTCATTTTCCATTTCATTTTCGCCATTGTATTGATCTCCTTCTTTCACCTCAAAGTTCTCGTATTGATATTCAACTAAAGCATTTTGATCATATACATTGACACTGTTCTTGTTCATTAATTTATTATATTCATCATCTGTTACTTTGACAACTGAATTAATTATCCTAAAATTCATAGGTAACGGATCATCAGACTCATCCTGTTTTATAGATGAAAAATTTAATGGACTATCTTTATAACGGCTAGTTCTAATATTTGTCTCAGATTTAAAGCTTGGCTCAAAAACGGATTCATTTGAATGTTTATAAATGGCTTTCTCTAAGTTATTTGTATAGGAGGTACCATCATACAAATTACCAAAATTAAGGGGTATTTTGTTACTCATAATTTTAAGGTGCAAGAAACTACTTTCATCATGTTTAGTAGGTGCACTTTTTTCACTTTTTCGTTCCTGAATTTGAATTGTAGATTCATCACGGTTTTTTCCTCCTACTCCTACTCCTCCTACATGAAGGGTTTTCTCCATAAAAATCAAATCATTGTTCTTTATTTTATTCCTCTTTTCCACGTGATCAATATTTTTATAAAGTTGTTCTTCTCCCCCTGTTTTGATATTTATAACTTTCTCATTGTATTCATTTGGAACATTTGCATTGTTTCTTTTCTGTTTCAATTGAATTTCAGTAACATTTTGGGAACTTCCCTCATCTTTCACGCCAAAAATGTCCTCTTCTCTTTTCACGTTTCCTGTTACTTGTATATAATTTAACTTGTTTGAACAATTCAGTTTTTTTATCCTTTTACCTTGCCTATTTTTTTCGTCCTCCACAACATCTGCTTCTATCCTTTTATTTATATCCCCTTCTTCCGCCTTCTCATTTTTTTTCATTTCCTCATTTATTAATTTATCTATTTTGTGATCTTCCGCTTCTTCTTCCTTCTTACTCATTTTTCGTTTTGCACCCGAATCACTTTCGACCCCATCGGCAGTGTCTAATTTACCATCCAATAGTTCACTTCCAGAACCGTACCTTTGCTCACTATTCATAAGGTAACCGTCTTCTCCTCCCTCATATTCTTCTCCTTCGTCTTCTCCTCCCTCATGTTCTTCTCCTTCATCTTCTCCTCCCTCATCTTCTCCTCCCTCATATTCTTCTCCTTCGTCTTCTCCCACCTTGTATTCCTCTTCTTCTTTTTCATAAAACACATTTTCGCTAAACAATTTTCCATCGTTCTCTCCACCTGTACGTTCTTCATTATCTCTAATATAATCATCATCGTTTTCATTATTTCCATTATCCCTTAATATTCTGCTGTTGCCAAAACCCTGAGGCATTCGATCCCAATTTGAGTCATAATAAACCTTTTCACTATTTAACACACATGATTCTAAATTACAATTATTCTCCTTGCTCCCATGAGATGGAATATAAGGAAGAAGGGCAGCACTGTTTTTGTAAAACTCTTTTTCGAAAAGAAAAAAAAATAAAATGAAGAAACAGCATCTGACATTAAAATTATTCATATCTTTTTCTTTTCCTTTTTTTTTCTGTTTTTTTTTTTTTTTTTTTTTTTTTTTTCAAATGGTAATAGTGGTGGAATTATTAATTACCGCCTATAAAGGTGAATTCATTCATATAAAAGAACCATATACACAAAAATTTTTACAAAAAAGGTAAACCTCTATTTTGTCTCCTAGTAAGACATCTAGAAAGGACAATTCTATATTCTGCTTAGAGGGATAGGGAAGGGAGGGAAAAAAATAAAATATATACATATACGTATTGTACATATGTCAATGTAAAGCTTTTTTTTTTTTTTTTTTTTGTTTTCTAAAAGGAGCAACTGCATGGTACATGTTTACGAACTTTTGTGTGAACCTCTGTTGAGATATGCGAGGAAGACGATTCTTTATTTTCATAGTATGTTATTTTTATATACCCCTTCTATTTTGTGTCTTTTATATTTTCTACTTCATCTTTTGGATTTTTTTTTTTTTTTTTTTTTTACCTTACTCCTTTCCTGAACCTACACACTGAGCCAGTTGTGATCCAGAGAACCCCCAGCTATTTAATATTCTAAAGGGAATCTAAAAAAAAAAAAATGAATCAAAGTTGAGAGAACATGTGGTCAAAGAATAGTGAAAAGAGTGAAAAATCGGGAAGAGTATTGAAATGAGGAACAATGGAGAAGCGAAAACGGGGGATGGGAGAAAAAAAAATCAGGTTCAAAATTAAAAAACAAAAATGGTTAGACAAAATTTGTATGTCTCTTCTTCAACAACTTATAATTAAGCTGGTGCAAAAAATGTCTACTAACTTGTCATTCACATAAACAGGCAACAGATGGAGAAAAATCTAATAACACGATTAAGCAAGGATAATTTACGAAAGTATTAGTAAAAAAAGAAATAAGAAATTTTCTATTTTTGTTCCTCCAAATGCGTAGAAGTACACACTTTGAAAATTGCTCTCACTTTCTCTCGTTTTTTCTCTTATTTTTTGCGCCAAATTTTCTCTCCTATTTAAGAATTTTGAGTTACATATACCCATGTGTTAAAAATGTGAAATACATATTTGTTGTATGGTGTTAATTGTTTGACAATACAAGGAAAGGAAATAAAACGAAAAAAATATGATTTAACAAAAATTGTAGGGGTTAACTTTTTAAAGAGCATGAAAAAAAAAAAAAAAAAATGAAGTTATATTTCACAAAAACGAAAAAAATCCGTTTTGCATTCATGCATAGACATTTTTCCAAAATGAGGAGTGTGTTACTATAATTAAGTGTAAAGAGTGTAACTTTAGTTAAATTGTATTTATGAAGAAGATTATTTTATGTGTGTATGAGATCTTCCTTCAGAGTTAAAGAGAATAGGCCAAAACAAGTATGAATGCATAAAAGGTCAATTCTTTTTTTTTTTTTTTTTTTTTTTTTTTTTACTTTTTTTGCGATTAATAAACCTGATCAGTCCATGATGTTGTTTTTTCATTACACATGCAACCCATTTATAGAAGCATCTGCATGCACGTGCATGTGTCTTAATGTATAAAAGAAAACAAGTGGATTTGAAAGTCCCTCCTTTTTCTTTTTTTGCTATCAATATATTCTGTGTTCTTTGCATGTGTTCATTTGACAAAAAAAAAAAAAAAAAAAAAGAGGGTTCTTATTTTCTGTGCCAGTACACTTTTTTTTTTTTTTTTTTTGTCTGATACTACAATTTTCAATTAAAGTTAAAATTTTTTTTTTTTTTTTTTTTTCTATTTGTTCTCCTTTATCAACTATCTGGATATATTCGTGTATGCACATTTTATGTACATTCATGGTTGAGAAGAAATGCATAAAAGTAAGATCTCAGCAAAATGTGAACAAGTGGCAAAAATATACCTACGAATTTCCAAAAAAAGAAGTAGACAAAAAATTTTGTAAAATATTCAAACGGCTTGTTTCTTCAATATTCATAGTAAACACTGTATGCATAATGTTGACTTATTTTTTGAATTTTTTTTTTTTTTTTTTCTCCGTATGTTACGATTAGTCACAGGTATAAAACTCAAACAGAATTGATTCGTTATATGACAACTTTTAAGAAAATAAATTCTACAAAAAAGAAATGGGTAAGTGCCTCTTGTTCAACAAAGTGAAAATTGGCATATAATGTTATCTGTCCCATAATGTGCTCATTCGCCTTGTCTTTTTTTTTTTTTTTTTTTTTTTCTCCTGAACAAGCAAGAAGATAACTTTACACGTAATAATGTCTCGGTTATCCCAATGGTGGTGATTCCCTTAAAAAAACAATTTTAATAATTTTTACAAAAGACAGGATATCAAGCAAAATTTCATTTGTTCCAAATATAAGGTGATGATTAATTCTGCTAATGAACTTGTTAACTCTTTAAATGGACGAAGTGGTTTTTTTTTTTTTTTTTTTTCTCTTGTAAACTGCAAATCCGTACATATATGTGAAAACGTATCAATGGGTATATATTACCTTTTTACAACAGTAAACCCTCCTTCTGACACCACATTGTTGAATTCAGTAGTGCGAATATGTATGCATATAATTGATACAGCGTAAGTATAGACATATATGCGAGTATTATGTGCAACGCCATGCTTGTATGTGCTTTCAAGTATATTCAGGCTTAAACGGAATTTTGCGAGAAAATGGGAAAATAATTCAAAAGAGTTAAAATTTAACAAAGGTGCGAATATAAAAAAAAAAAAAGAGGACATAAATATGAATTAATTTTTCATTAAATCTAGGAGTTATGTGTAGTAACAACAATTTTGAAAAAAGGCACTTGTGTTGAGAATGGAATGTGCTCCACATACAAAGCGCTTCTTTTTTCTTCTTATTTTTTGAAAAATTAATGGGACACTAATTCCTTTGCGTTGCGTCACATTCCGCTGAACTGAACTAAACAAAACTGGACGGAGTTATGTTTTCCTTTTTTTTTTTTTTTTTTTTTTTTTTGCAGTGCAAGAACAAATTGCCTTTTTTTGTGAATTCTCTTCGTTTGCTCTTTAAATGAAAAAATCGAATGACGAAAAAGCAACTTAATGTTATAAATGAAAACACACTGGATGAACAAATGTACAAACAAAATAAAAAAAAAAAAAAAGAGCAATTTTCCCATTTGTGCTAAAGGGCTATAAAAGGATCTCTCTCCCCCCTCTCCACATCCACACTGCTGCAAAAAAAAACACTTGCCATTCTAGTTGTTAGAAAAGTTTCCCCATTTTGGAGTTTCAAAAACTGTTCATTCCTTTTTGTATTTCCCTCGAGACCTTAAAAAAAAAATTTTTATTTCTTTTTTTGTTACTTTTAAAATTCTGTGTTTTATTTATAGATTAAAAATGAGTATTAAATGAGTAAATTTTTTTTTTTTTTTTTTTTTTTTTTTCAATTTTGATCTATGAAGAAATTCAAAGAAAGCTTACACATTTTCTCACCGAAAAATAAAAGGTCAGTTTTTCTTGCTCTGCACATTTGGACTTAAAATGAAAAATGTCATAATTTTTATTATTATCATGTTTATATGTTCTGTGATGATTTTAACACATGTGAAAATGTGCACAGATGCGAGCTGTTCATTTTATATGAACGGTGTTAGTCACCCGAATGAGCATTTCCAAACTTAAGCTCCATTGATGTATGTTTTTTTTTATGCATCATATAAGACATGGTGTACAAGTTTTTTTTTTTTTTTTTTTTACGTTGTGATGATTGTTGTAGCATACGTATTACTCTGTCTAGTTATGTGTATGTATCCCTATCACAATTTCCTTCTGTATAAACTTCTACCTTTTTTTTTTTTTATATTATTATTATTATTTTTTTTTTTTCTTTTCTTCTTTCCTCTCTTCCATGAACTCGAACACACAGATTCAGTGATGATAAGGTAAGCGAAAGCACAAAAAAAGCGATCTATGAACTTGGAAATGAAATAGAAGATAATTTTGACGAAGATGTAGAGAACATAAAATTCAATGCAGATGACATATCATCCTTTTTTGTGAAAAACAACGAATTAGAAAATGAAAAGGAAGTATCAGAAGATTCTAATAACAGAACCCATCAAGTAGGTAATATGGAGAGAAAAGCAGAATACGAAAAAATGGAAATTCTGTTCGATCCAATTACATGTGGACCATACATATGTTGCATGGTGATTTTATCAAAAAAGGAAAATGTAGAAATTGAATTTATTCACCCCAATATATTCGATTTTCATGAAAAGGAGTACTTAAGCCAAAGGGGAAAAAAAAAAAAAAAAGTGAAAATGATAACACCATTTAATGTGTGGAATCGATATAAAGGGGATTGGGTAGGGGATGTGAAATTATTGATCTTAGAAAGAATGTATTTATTTAAAGAAACCACTACGAGAAATATTCTTTGCGACTTTTATAATTATAAATCATGCAAAAATTATCATGAATATAATATTCTTTACTCTGTTAGTGGCAATAGGTATTACATGATATCATTCAATTATTTGCAAGACAACAGATATAAGGAAATCATTATTATTTCTCAGATCCCACATTTTGATTTCATATATGCAAAATTTTTCCCAGTTATGCAATCCTTTGTCGGAATGGATAAGAATGAGAACATATATGAAGAGACAAATATGAGAAAAAATTCAGAAGGTAATATACAAAATAAAGGGGAAACAAAAAACAACTATGAGAAATTAGTAATTTTCTTCGATAATTTGATAAGAAGCAAAGTATTTGAAGAAATGAGATTCATGGATTATTATGTCCATTTATCTAAAGACATAGAAAATATTAACAACATAAAAATGAAAAACATCTTGATATTTTTAAAAGCAGTATTATTGGAAAAAAAAATTGTTATTGTATGTTCAAATAAAGGAAATGGATGTAGGATGTTATTGTTATTTTTATCTTTCATTCCTGATATTATAAATTTTGGATTTAATGTAAAAAGTTATCAAGAAAAGTTTGAAGAGTGGACAAATTTAAGGTTACCTCTAATTTTATTTCATGAAAAATACGTTCTTCTTCTTCATATAAATAACCTTGAATTGTTTAACGAATATACGTATGAAAAAAGTTACTTAATATCAACTAACACTGATAGTGATGTATATAATTATGTGAAGAACAAACTAGATCTTTTATATGACCTTGATAAAGATGAATTAATTGTAAAAAGTGAAAATCTAGTTAATGCTTTAACTTTAACAAAATATGAAAATAATTACTTGAAAAGCATTCATTCGATTTTTCAATCTTTGATTAATTTTTCTTCCTTATTTTTTGAAATGACTAAGCAAAATGGTATCATAATAAGTGGGAATACAGGGACAAATTCTTCCAAAACTTCATCTATTCATAATTCCACAGGTATAGCAATTTCCAGTGTATATCCTAACTGTGATGATAAGTTGGAAAATAATTCTAACACAATCGATGATGTTATCCATTCACATGTGTGTGCATATAAAAATGGTGAGAAGAGGCACTTAGACAGCGTTGGTTATGTGACACATTGTGGTAAGACCAATTCATTTTGTATAAACAAGGAGGTAGAAATTAATATTCTCCAGCATGAAAATAATAAGAGAAATTTGGGCATCAAAAAGGAAAATATGCTAGAGGAAGAAATGACATACGATGAGAAAAACGTTCGTAACAGGAGTAATCAGAATGGTGAGAACAATAATTTCTGTCATGATGAAGGAGAGAGAAAGTGTCATTTGGAAAATGGAAAATTTGATTATCCCAGTGTTGAAGATACATACATAGATGATGAAGATGACATATGTATCATAGACTCAAAATCGATAAACTATAATAAAAAAATGGAACCATTGGATTGCATCGAAAATAATGAAAATATAGAAAGAAAAAAAATTAGTAGCTTGAAAGACAACAGAGAGAATGATAAAGTGCAAGAAAAGTACATTTCTGATTTGAGGAACCACTTTCACATTTATTTTAAGAATTTTTTTTTATTAAGCAAAGAACATTTTGAAGAAGGGAAAAAAGAATTGAGAGAAGAATATGAATTGAATTATAATAATTATTTTCTTGAAATTTGGCAAAAAACAAGAAATTATAATTATTTTATCGAAAAGGATTTTAAAATAAATAAATTTTTAAAAATAGCAGAAGAAAATAACGTCCTGTTTGATAAGGAAAAAATGGAAGATTATAAGTTTGTGGATGATTTATTAATAATTGAAAAAAGGGATCATGTAGAAAGTGAAAGAAATATAGAAAAGAATTTAAAAGATGTTTTATTAATATCATTAAAAGGTTACGTATATGAAGGGACTTTTTCAATTTTAAAAAATTGCAAAGAAGGGTTGGGGAAATTTGTGTATAATATGCACAACATAACGTTTCAAGGGGAGTGGGAAAATGATCAGATAAATGGATCAGGGCATCTGTTATATAATAACAAATTTAAATATTTTGGAAATTTTAAAAATAATTTATTTAGCGGAAATGGATTATTTGTTGATAATTTATTAAACCAGTATGAAGGAGAATTTTTAAATGGCTCATTTAATGGAAATGGAAAGCTTATATTTAATAAAAATACATATATAGGTATTTTTAAAAATAATAACTTAATAGGGAAAGGAAAAATATTACATAAAAATGGTCTTATTTATACAGGAGAAATTAAAAACTTTTTACCACATGGATATGGTTTCTTATCTTACAACAATAATACTGTATTTGAGGGATATTTTGTTCAAGGGAAAAAAAATGGAAATGGATTTTTAACAATAAATCAGAATTCAATGTCTAATGGTGTTTTCTGTATAGAAGGAAAATGGAGTAATGATCAACCTGTCTTAAGGAAAAAGTTTCATATACTTTTTCCAAACAAAGACAAGTATATAGGGAAAATCTATATCTTTTCCCATGCTTGGGAAAAGGTTAACAGCAAATGTCAAAATTTGTGGAATGATCAATATACCATATGTGAAAAGATAAATCAGCAGCTTTTCGAAATGAAAAGATTAATCGAAACTAAAATTGGTCTTATTAATCACTGTGGGAAGAAACCTCCTCCAGTACCAATTTTAGAGGACGTAGAAAAGGGATTTGCAAACATTAGCAATGAGAACAACACTGATCCAACTATGCATCAAAGGAATGTTCTTTTTACTTACTGTGAAAAAAACAATTCAGAAGGTCAAAATTTAGACACTCAAAGCGTAGGAAGTGCAAAGTTAAAATGTAGTGTCAGAAATACAATTTCAACTTCAGTAGAAAATGTAGACAACAAAGTGAAATATTTTTCCCAAGATGAAGATCCAAACCTTGACTTGACAGAACATGGGAAAAAAAAAATGTTAAATGAAAAGCTGGAAAATGCTTTAAAAGCAAAAGAAAGAAAAATATTACGAACTTATTTCGAAATATTAGACAAGTATTGGATATACAATATCGAAAAAAAGTTAGGAAAAAATAAAGATGTTGTTGAATATTTAATGGAAAAAAATATTCTTCTTATTCCACATAGAGAAGGATTAAGTATAATATGTGACAAGAACAAAACAAAAGAAAATTATGATGGAAATTTTTGTTTGGGTCTGAAACATGGATATGGTATATCTGTTTATGATAACATAAATAGATATGAAGGTTACTGGTATAGGGGAATGAAACACGGTCATGGTATTTTATATGAAGGAGATAATATATATTATGGCCACTTTAATTATGATAAATTAATTCAAAAGGAAGAAATTTTGCCTGAACAAGTAAGTAAATTTAAGCCCAAAAAGGAAGACACCTCCAATATGAAGAAGGGAAGAGGTCATTTTTTAATAAATCAGTCCTTCTTTGATTATCGAAGTTTTTTATCCTCCACCGTGTGTCATTACCTTTAGGAAGTAAAAGAAGCGAATGAAATTAATGTGAAGATTTAGTCCAAGTTGGCCTTTTACCCTATGCATGAATGTGTGTGTTCTTAATTCTATAAAGGAAAAAATGAGAAACACACATTATAAAATAGCAGAATGCAGTTAACACACACGAAGTAGTGCACACATCAAACAGTTAAAAAAAAAAAAAAAAAAAAAAAAACCTACTACTTAGCCTTTTTTTTTTTTTTTTTTTGAGTAATTTTTACACAATTACTTCTTTAAAAATGCAATATCTACACCATCATATGTTTATTACTATAACAATTAGTTTAAAAGGTGTTATTAACACATTACAGGGAGATAAGATAAAAATATTGAAAAATGGAAAAAGAAAAAAAAAGAGGTATGAAATGAAAAGGAAAAAAAATGAAGCATGAATAGAAATGGAAAAAAAAAAAAAAGAAGCATGAAATGAAAAAGTACGTAAAAAAAAATTTCCCACAAATCATAGACATTTATATATTATACATTAACATGATGATCTTCTCGTTCCGCGTTTTGTCCCTTAAAATGGTTTCATTATCAGGACAAAAAAAAAAAAAAAAAAAAAAAAAAAAAAAAAAAAAATACATCCCAATTTTGTGAGTATACACTTTTTTTTCTTTTTTTCGTGTCCTTTTTGATCATTTATTAATTCTATTTTTTATGTAGACTTAAATAGATAAAAATAAAATAATTCATTCTTCCATGAAAATTGTTCACACATTTTTTTATTTTTTTTTTAATTTGCAAATGTATGTTATAACTTGTAAAGAAAGGGGGGAGGGGAAAAAAAAAAAAATTGCTATAGATACATAGGTATAAAACTACTATACCCTCATATTACGCACAATATTTCAAACTATTTGTTAAGTCTACAAAATTCATTTGTAAAATTCGTTGCAAAGTCCATCCTTATAATTTTAGTCTTTCATTTGGTTTCATAAAAACTCCTTCAGAATTTCAACAATTTTATCATTGCGCAAGGAATGATATTGATCCAATGTTTTGTCAAACTGCTTATATATTTCCTTTGTTCGATAACTTGGAATTTTCGAATTGATGAATTCTACAACATGTGTATAGCATAAGTGATGGTGTATAAAATTTATGAAGAAAAAAATCATTTTATACAACCTTTTCTTACTCTGATAAATGGAATTATTTTTTTTCCACTCAAGTAAGAATTGGAAAGCTACATAATTTAAGACACTTATGTCGACGTCCTTCGCATTCATATCCACAGTAAAAAATGGAGGATTATTTAGCAAATAAATATAAATTAATAGCCATATGTTAAAAATTACATATGGTGCTATAAAGAATATTAAAAAGTAAAAATATCCAAATATGTAGATAGTTACTCCATATAATGCTAAAAATATGGTAAATATGAATGAATAAAAATCAAAATATATAGGTCCCTTTAAAACTTTCAGAAAATCTTCGTTCAATGATATCAACAAGGACTTTCTTAGTTTTTCTGATGTATATGGTAAAAGAATAAGGGACGAAATGATACTTCCAAAAAAATTATTTAAAAATGAATTTTTAAATAGTAATCCTCTTTTGCATTCATAAACCAAGGAGTACAGACTTGCAAACATGGTTCCCATAGGCAGAGAATATAATATAATGTGAAAAAATACAAATGATGCAATCGAAATTAGTTTATTGCTTTCTATTTCTATGGCTTCAAAATTTTTAGACATTTTTGAAAATAATGTTCCATTTCCATATTTGTTATAGCAATACCATATATGAATTAGAAAAATCGTAATAATTATTATAAAATCTCTTAATAAATACATAATATATCTAAACATCGAGATGTTTATATAATCATTACAAAGTGCTGTGATAGAATTCATTAAATCTATTATGTAGCTCGTGTCTTCTTTTTTCATTATTTCATTTTTAATATTTTCACTTAATAATTTATTTTTCTTCTCTAATTTTAGCGCTTCCTTTAGTCGAACTTCTTTGCAAATATTTTGTGCACATTTTAAATCCCATACTAATCCCAAGCGATAAAAAAATTGAATAACATATTTAGTTGGGTTTATACTAAGAATATAAAAATTTTCGTTCATAGCATAACAATATGGAAAAACATGATGATAATTGTGACATCCTTCTCCTAGTGCTACAATTGAGGTAAAAATGTTGTTTGATGCCTTTATATCATTGTTATAAGGTCTATGTCCAAATGAATGAGAAGCACTGTTAATCGACCATGTTGCATGTAATGTGATAATCCACCTTAATGCTCCTAAAATGAAAAATCCATCCCAAAAATTGTTGTACATAAAATACGAATATATTCCAGGTATAATAAAGCAAATGAATATGTTAAAATATGGATCCAATTTATGTTGTAACAGAAGAAGCGGGTTCTGTAATAAATCATCAATATATATTTCTTTCTCCTTTTCTTTCACATATTTTGTCTTCTGGTATAATAACCATCCAACATGACTATAAAAAAAACCGTATCTTATATTATGTGGGTCATACTTTGTATCACTATATTTATGGTGTAAACGGTGGTTTCGGGACCACGTTATTACACTGCCTTGATTTGCAAAGCTATTCAAAATTAGGAATAAAACTTGTACAAAGGTACTTGCTTTAAATGCTCGATGTGACCACAGGCGATGTGCACCGAATGTTATTCCAAATCCGTTTATCAAGTAAAATATTATACACTGCGAAAATTTGGGGGTGGTGGTGATGGCATGCAAAGGAATGAGAGAGGGAAATTGTCAATGAGGGAACTGAAGCGGAGTAAATGTAAACCATTGCTCTCGAAATGGATAAGGTGAATTGTATCATTTTGAAAAAGAAAATAAACTAATACGAAATGAAGGAAAAAAAAAAAAAAAAAAAAGTTGCACATGAATACGTAATAAGCTAACCTGAGCAAGCAAGGACCTCCCATACTGATGGTAATACAATTTAATCACGCCAATTATACCAAATATATGAAAAAACAAAATGAAAGAAAATAAAGAAGATCTGAACTGCTTATGATATGTATATATATAATTAACGAAAGCTATGTATGCATAATATACATGGAATATGATAGAAAAGACTGCAAATTTCTGAATTAATTTTGAGTTATTATCCGTGGAGTATAACAATTTTGTAAAAAATAGGCTTAACGAGATCATATGAACAATGCTAATTGCGTGGGTAATTCTTTTAAATAACTTTATATTTGAATTGTTTTGATAAAAATTGGTTGCTAACGAAATCAGGCTTTTACTCAACTGCAGTGTTAAATACATCTTTATGAACATAATGTTGTGATTAAACTTCCAGAAAAAAAAATAGAAGAATGTGTAAAATGTTTGTGAAAAAAAAGCATAAATCCAGGAGATGTTTAATTTGGATTTATCTTTTTTTTTCTGAGAATCAAGTGAAATTTTTTTTTTCATATATTCCTCTTCTTCTTTTTCTTTTTTCTGAATTTCGTCTATAGTTTCTTTTTCTTTTAATATTCCTTCATTTTCCTTTATACTTTCTTTGTTATTTAAAATTTTATTTGCCAATTTTCCCAAATGTTTCGATGTATCTCCTATTAATTCGTATTCATTTCTGTATTCTTTTTCATTTTCTTTGCTAATTTCATATCTGTGGACTATTTTGTTTTCTTCAATTTCAGACTTTTCATTTTGTTTGTCATTTTTTGCGTGAATGAATTCTAAAAAACTACACAGCTGTAAAATGTTGTACACATGAAGGAAATTAATTCCTAGTGATATATTTAGGTCTAAGTATTTCAAACTTAATAAGGATATCACAGTAACCAAAAGGTTTTTTAAAATTTTTATAAAGTGCAGGAATTTATCGGTGAAACATTTTCTCAAAAAATAACAGGAAACCAAAAAAACTACGTATGTTATATAAATGACTCCTACATGTTCAATATTCAAATGCCCTTCGCGAAATACCTCTAACATACTTTCTGCAATTTCAATAAAATTTGTTGTTTTGTTCTTCGTCGTGTAGCACATGGATTCCTTTCAATATATTTTTCAGCCTGGACAATTTTCACAATTTAAAAATATAATGTTACACTTAACTGTGTTGTGTACATTTATGTGTAAATGTGTACACTCGTTATTTTATTAAAGAGAAGTAATGCATAATTTTTTTTTTTTTTTTTTTTTTTGTTTATCCTTTTTGTAGTAAACGTTTATATATATCTATATATGAGTTAATTTATTTTTTGTGTGTTATATATTCATATATATATATATATATGTATAACATGTTATATATATGTTTTCTGAATTTTTTTACTTTGAGTGATGTTTGTTGTTAAAATGGAAGAATAGCCCTTCTTAGCAGTTACATGCATAAGTGTAGCATATATATGTGCGTTCCATAACCATATGTAAAATTATATTTGTTCCATTTTATGACATTACTTTTAATTTATAAAGTTACACTTTTTTTTTTCTTTTTTGTTATTAAATTTTGCGAACTACAATTGCTTTTTTTACTTAATTTTAAATAAAAAAATAAAATAAATAAATTACACTTTTTCGAGTAAACAAGGCTCTTAAATATTTTATATGTAAAGAAAATGTATAACATATAATTCTTACAAGTCATTTTTATATGTACATTTATATATATGTGTGTATATATATGTGGTTTCCTAAAGCATACTGTTGCATGCTGCACAATCCTATTAATGTTACAACGTATGATATGTGGATTATTTGGGATCGAACGGACCAAGGATTTTACAATTTTTATATTTTTTTAAATGTTTCGTGAAACTCGCTTAATTCCATTCATCGTGTTTCATAGGAATTTATGTTTATGTTTAAGCTTATGCTTATATTTATGTTTGCTTTTGTGTTTATTTTTGTTTTTTTTAGCCTTAATATTTTGTCAGTTACAAAAAAAAAAGTTGATTCCAGAGTTTATTTCAGTCTTCATAAATCAGTGTGTATATTCAATTTCGTTCGAGAACAGTGCTATGCATATATATATATATATATATATATATATATATATATATGTATTTATATGTATATATATATTTTTTTATACAACATTACACATGTGTATCTCACATTCATAAAGCTTTGCTAAATACAAGAAAAAGGAAAACACATGCACATATTCTCTTTTCACGAATTGTGGTTTTTACTTATTCACCATAACAAATAAGTCATGAACTCGACACGATACCACCAAAAAGACAAAAAATAAGAAAACGTAGATCCTCTTGCGCATTTGTTTTTTCATCACAAGTATATATGCACTTACAATAATGGTACAGTGTAACTCGAAAAGATAATTCTTGCATAAAAATGTGTTTTCTTTCAAAATACGTTTTCTACAAAAATATCGTAATAAAAAATGGAGATTTAATCTCTTTTGAAGAGGAAACAATTTTCTTTTTTATCCCACTTTAAGGGTTTGTGCATGCCTGATCCAATGGCATTTTTTTTTTTTTTTTTTTTTTTTTTTTACACGCTTATTTACAAACGTAAATATTTTTTTCGATATCTAACGAATAGGCGAAGACAAATGTTAACATCAATGAAATTAACTCATTTGCTTAAGTAGTGCCTCAAATTAAAAAGGAAAACACAAAAAATAAAGAAAAAAAAAAAAGAAAAAAGAAAAACTAAACAAAGGTAAACAAAGGAAATAAAAAGAAATTTGTCTTACAAAGCAACAGGCATAGCTATGGGTGAAATATAAAAGGAAATGTACTTATATAACAACAAAAAAAACAATTGTGCAATTTTAAGGAATAGCTTTCTCTTTTAATTCCTTTATTTCACTAATTAACTGATCTATGACCTTTTGTCTTAGATTCATTGTTTCTCGAAGTTCTTTCACAGTATTCGAATGTTCTTTATACATTAAAAATAAAGCATCATTTATTTTTTCATTTTCATTTAAAACAAAATTATTTAATTCATAACTTTTGTTCAAATCAACATGTAAGTTATATACTGAATTAGGCAAAGGGGTAATGTCTCCTAAAAAATCGCCCCCCAACGATATATTATTTTTTCCTTTTTTGCCTATAATTCGTTGAGAAAAAAAAAAAGAAAAACAAATAGTGTGAATCGTATGCACGCTTTTGTTTTGTTCTATTTTGTTTTGTTCTATTTTGTTTCGTTTTGTTTTGTTTCGTTTTGTTTTGCTTTGTTTCGTTTTTTCTTGTTTCGCTTTGCTTCGTTTTTTCTTGTTTCGCTTTGCTTCGTTTCTTTTCACAATGCAACTTGAAGTGGTCATATAGTAGCAAAAAATTTGCAATAAGGTGTTGCACGCGTAAAGGAGTAAAAGTGTGATGTGGACAATTAAAGATTATATATTTCTTATTTTACCTTTATTTTTCAATTTCGATTTTCCATAGCTTTTACAACTTAGTAAAGCTAAAAAGAGAGTTATGAAAAGAACTATTTTCATTTTGACTTCCTTATATACTAATAGATAAAAGAAGGAGAAAAAAAAAAAAAAAAAAAAAAAAAAGGAAATTATAATTATATATATTTGATATAAAAAAACAATTTGCAAATATTTATTTATTTTATAAGATATGTCACTACTATAATGTCTTCTCTTTCAAAAAGGTAAAAATGGTTAAAGAAATATTTTGTTTTTCATTTTTACGCTTCAAATGAGGATATGTATATATACGAATGTAATATTGGGGGATATAATATAGTGTTTATATTTAGTACAAAAATTAAGACTTTGCTGTATTAGTAAAATTCGTGTTCCACGTAATTAACACGTGTCCGTTTTGCGCCAAGAGGGTATGGGGTATTTTTTTCTGTAGGTTAATGTGTATATATTTTTTTTACTTGTGTTTTTTATACATGCACAATATATATAAGCACATTCCCATTTACTTACAATTACTAACATGCTAAAAATGACCTTTGAACTTTTATGAAGGAGAAACAATTTTTCCCTTATATTAAACACTTTCCTCTGAACAGAAAATTGTAGTCAATTGTCATATATGTGCATTGCATCAAGTTCTGTTGCTTATATACATTTATTTATCATAAAGAGGCAAAAATAACTTTGTGGTATGGCACATGGCGTAATTAATTTTGCTCATTCCCTGACACAGCAAAAATCATTAAATAAAATAACCCTTTAAGTTTTGTATGCATAATTGCAATCTTAGAACTTTAACCAATATAATATAGTGAAACAAAAAAATAAATTACATAAAAAAAAAAAAAACATATGCATAGTAAATAATATAATTTCATATATGTTAAGTCAGCCCAAGTATATATCCATGTTTGGTTGCTCAAATGAACTTTTGAAAAAAAAAAAAAAAAAAAAAATACATAATGTACGTAGTAGAAACAAATACAACTTAGCATCCTTTTTAATACCTCTTGTTCATATGTCAAACAAATTTTATGCGTCAATATATATATATATATATATATATATATATATATATATATATACATAAAAAAAAAAAAATTTCATTTTTGTCATTTATTATTTTTCTTCCATTTTTGGTATGAAACTTTTTTAAGCTAGTTTTCCTTTTATTTATTTTTGTTTTTTTACAGACCAAAATTGCATAGCATTAAATTTTAAAACATAAAAAAAAAACTATGTAAAAATAAAAATATAAAAAAAAAAAATAATAATAAAATAAAAGGAACAATTCTTAACGCAAAATTAAGATATTAAACTTGAGATTTTTTTGTAAATTTTGTCATATTTGTCTTCTTTTAAAAGAACATTGACCATATATATAAGATAAATATAAGTTTTACATTGTTATTAGCGCACATATATGTATTTATAAATATATACAATAAATATATATATATATATTCTTGCAATCGTCCCATCGTTATATGCTACCCGAAAATGAAAGTATATAAAGACGTTTTTACAAACGATGAAGTATGCTCAGATTCATACAATCAAGAACACCCATTTGGAAATGCAGATTTTGGTGAAATTGCTTTTGAAGTAAAATCAAATAAAAGAATAAAAGGGAATGATGATTATGGTATTGCTGACAATAGTGAAGAGGCAGTAGATGGAATGGGTGCTGATGTAGAACAAGTTATTGATATTGTTGACTCCTTTCAATTAACATCAACTTCTTTGAGTAAAAAAGAATATAGTGTTTATATAAAGAATTATATGCAAAAGATTCTTAAATATTTAGAAGAAAAAAAGGCTGATCGCGTAGAAATTTTTAAATCGAAAGCTCAACCACTAATTAAACATATTTTAACCAATTTTGATGACTTTGAATTTTACATGGGAGAATCTCTTGATATGGATGCCGGCTTGATTTATTCATATTATAAAGGTGAGGAAGTTACTCCACGTTTTGTTTATATCACAGATGGATTATACGAAGAAAAGTATTAAAAAAGTGTTATAACTCAGGGGAACATACTTATAAAAACGCATAAAAGAATAAACAGACATAAATATACATTTATATAGGTCTATAGAAATAAATGAATGGATATTTCTTCAATTTATAATTACAACATGTGAGACTTTTTGCAAGGAACATTTTTGGCACCCATTTGATTACTTTTTATTTTCAATGCTACATTTACTCATAATATACATCTGCATTAACATATGAAAATACATATAATTTTTCAATAAGAGAGTACTCTTTAAATTCATGCATGAACATATTGTAACCCGTACAACTGTTATGAAAAAAATGAAGGGAATTAGCATTTCACTTTTTACTTTTTTTTTTTTTTTTTTTTGCCATTTTTGAGAAAACATACGTGCTACAATGTCTTCAAACGAAAGTATAGAAGATTTTAGCCATACAACATTTTAAAAGAAATTTATAGTTACAAATTAGAAGTAAAAAAGATTATATAGAGAACTATATAAAATGTTGTACGCACCACGTTTTATACATGTTCTACATTTAATAATTAAATAATTTCTTTAAAATATATGTAGTAACACATACCCAACTTCGTTTTTCCATTAGTTTACTTTAAATTTATTATACAAATGTATTCACATATAATTCTAAAAATTAACGATTTTTGCGCAGTTCATAATGTTTCTTCGAAAAGGCGAATCAAGTGCATTTTAAAATGGACTATATCATTTTATCGTTCCATTTATACACGTTTATAAATGTGTTATATTGTTTAAATTCGTGTAACTATAGTATATAATGCATTTGTTTTCCTCTAAACGGTAAAAAAAAAAAAAATTAAAAAAAAAGTTTCTAATTCATGTGAATGACCATTTTCAATTAGCTTTGCATCAGCATCATATTTTTATTCTCCCTATGGCAAAAAATAACATAGACATATATATACTGCACACGGTTTTATACTAAATAAAACCCTAATATTATGCAAAAAAACTAGAATTTCAAAATATAATCATATTTAATTAAAATGTTTCTATACATTTGGTTCTTTTGATTATTAAGTGTTTTCCTGTTTTTTATATAAAAGGGTAAAATATTTTATACATGTTGTAAATTTTCAACCTTTGCCTCAATATCAACAAGTAGCAACTTACAGGTATGCTTAAAAAAATAGCCTAATATTTATTTCTGTTTTCACCGTGCCTCATAATGTAAATACCATCACCTAAGAAACGATTTTTGTTTTTGCTGTTTTGTTTAAACAGATAAAAAAAAAAAAAAAATCATCGTCTTTTTCTGGAAAACATAATATATTTTTTTAAATTATAATATATGTCTTTTCCTTTTTGCAGAACTTATTTTCATGTTTTTTTTCCCTTCATATGTAGTGTGGAACTATGCTTGCACATATATATACCAATGGGGAAGAACATATTTGGTTAATTGCCTTTTATTAATTTAGGTAAAAAGTGCTTAATGTGATTTTATATGTTTACAAAAAAGGCACCGGGGGAGTATATATAGTATGTGTATTTAAGAGATATATAACAGTGTAAAACATCAATTTTTTTTTTTTTTTTTTTTTTTTTTTTCATCTCTTTTCCTTTACAAATTGGTATGAAAACTCAATCGTATTATGGCGATATATATATTTTACCCTTTGTTTGGTTTCTTAAATCTTTCATTTGTAATTATATTTAAATCCGCATTTCATAAAATGATTTTCAAATAAAAGGCTCTGTTATCTGGCGTTTATCATCTAAAAATAAAATATTAAAAAAATAAAATTTTAGTAATATTTTATTTGTCAGATTTTAATTTTTACGCAAATTTTTTCTTCATTGCCTCAATAGCTATATATTAATGCTGCAGTCTTCGGTAAAGAAGACGTTATGAAAAAGAAAAAAAAAAGAAAGAAGAAAAAAAAAAAAAAAAAATTATATTTATTTTTGCCAAATAAAAAAGAAAAACAGGAGTGCGAAATAGCGGGACCAAAAAGTGTTTTTTTTTTTTTTTTTTTTTTTTTTTTTTCTTCTTTCTTTTTTTTTTTTAAATAAAAATATCAAACTAACCAAAAATTAAAAGTATATTGGTACAACGCATGAGGATCATCACGGATCTTACGCTGGGCGCATTTGCCTGTAAACTTATTATGCTTTTCGTAACATCGTATATATGTACATGTCATAAAGTAATTATGCAGGAAACATACAAAAACACAAGTAATACATATTTATGCGTATTAAGTATTTATATATATATGTATTGCATACGAACGAGAAAGCACACGAGTATATTTTATTCCTTTCATACATATAGGAATAATGAGGGTTATATAAGTATACACCATTTTATTTCTGCTTTGAAATGCTCGATGCACTCAGTTTAGGCGAGCATATCAAAATGAAATGAAAAATATATAAATAATATGAAAATACTTTGAACTCCTTCGTTTCAAAATGGCAAATGAGAAAAGCACTAAAAAATTAGCTTAATGTTTTTAAAATTAATCAGAGTTGAGGAGCTGATTTTTTTCCTATTGTTAGGAATGTCTTAGCTTGTGTCACATATATGTATATTATTACGTATGTAATATGTATGCATAGCACCCCCAACGTGCATATAAAATATACCCTTATTTTAATGATGAACGAATGAATGGTAGATACGGGTAGAAATCTTTTTATACGCTCGATTTTCTTCCTTCAAGCATAATAAATTAAACAAAGAAAAATGAACACACGGTTTACTCTAAGAGAAGACATTCAGCATATGTTTTGCTAAAATTTTATGTGAATTGTAACATTGCTGGGAAACCAAATTTTTCTTTGTACAATATTCCATTAAGTCTATTCATGTTTTTATTCCATTTTTACCGTAAAAAGCATATAATTAAGAAGATGCAAAACACAAGCTAAACATCCTTTGCTTTTTGATTCCATTAGTTAGGCCTTTTCCTAGGTACTCTGTTTTTAGATATACCCCCGTTTCACAGTTTTTTTACATATATATAGTTTGCTTAGTAAAAAAGTTGCACACGATTTTGTGAACTTTTATAAATATATATAAGCACACGCATTATAGTTGGTTTTACGTTCTTTACTAAATTTTCGAAATGTATTATTCATGTAAATATACAACACAGTATTAGGTACCATACATTAAAAAAAAAGACATTCTATCAATTTTTACGTTTATATATTTTTTAACTGCCGTACATCTAACCCCGATGAATATGCGTTAAAGATCACAATCGTCCTAATATGTTTTAGGATTTTCACTCTTTTTATTTATCATAAAATATAATTTAAATGAAGTTAAAAAAGTTCAGTATGCATAATTATTTAATATTTTTCATATGTAGAATGTTCAAAAGTTATCCTCTCCTTGTTCCCAAGTGCATATTCCGCCAGAAGAGAGGGAACAGAACAATTTGTTATTTTCTAATAAAACGTTCTACAAAAGAAAAAAGAATATCATAGAAAACAAACATAAAAAGTAATAATATATATAGAATTTTTCATTTGTTTTACTCCTTTTTTTTTTCTTTTTTCTTTCTTTTTTCTTTTTTTTTTTTTTCATTTCTCATTCTTTACCTTTATTGGGAATTCGTGCTTTAACGCTCGAATGAATTTCTTTTCTAAGACATTAAATCTAAGGAATTGTAAAAATAAAAATTGTAATGTTAAAGAAAACAAACCACATATTCTATGTTCTATAATGCATTGCTAAAAAGGCACAAAGATTAAATTTAAACTATTTTACATTTTTATTGTATGATCATCTGAGGCTATAAACAAGTGTTTATTCTGCTTATCCATTGGACATTTATTTGCACTTGATGGTCCTAATTGAAAATTTTATAAAAAAATAATTAAATGGGTAAAAAGTAAAATACAAAAAGAAAAGTGGGGTTAATCTTTAGTTAGCTTGCTATTAAACCTCAATGCACATAAAAAAAAAAAAAAAATGACATAAATAGATATACGAATGCAAAAATAAGAAAACAATTTTTTATCCAAACCTGCATCTATATTTATGAAGCAACTATTTGTTCGGATGTCCCAAATTTTAACAACGCCACCAGAATCACAAGAATATACCCAATATGCCTAAATATAAATATATACACATTTTAATTTTATGTATTTTTTTTTTTTTTTTTGTTCTTTTAATTTATTAAAAAATTTCTTCTTTTATTTTTTATTACATCTGCGTTGAAGTTAGAATAGTTGCATGGGAAATGATGTCCATAGAAAGTGTTCTCACACAGGCCACTTCGCATATCCCAAATTGATACCTATGTAAAAACAAATTTAAATAATTTACTCTTTTTTCTTCTTTTTTTTTTTTTTTTTCATCTTAAAAAAAACATTAAAAAAGGAGATATTTAGAAGAAAAAAAATTAATTACCGTTTTATCAACAGATGCACTAACGAGAATTCTAGACGTTGGATGAAAGTTAACAGAATTTACACTGTCAACGTGCCCCCTTAAAATTTGCCTTTGTCTTAAACTGTTTATATCGAATATTCTAATTGTCTGGTCCATAGATGCGGATGCAAAAAAATTTCCTGAAAGTTAAAGATAAAGAACCTGTCTTTAGTTAGAGCATACTCAAATGAATTAATATATATTTATATATGAACATTAGTTCATCCATGCGAATGTTCATGGATGCATATTCCCATTTGTTGAAACGTAAATGGTACTAAACGTATTGGAATGACAAAAAGTGTGTATTTACAGCCTCATATAGGTAGAGGTTTATATATATATGTATTATATATATATATTTTTTTTTTCTATAAATTTAAAACCTTCATAATGGAATGACAAACTCCACACAGGTCCTGTTGAATTTTTAAAAATGTGAACACATTTTTCCTTAATCATATCCCACATTTTTATTTTAGCATCTCCGCCACAAGTACATAAGATATTCCCATCTTTATTAAAGCAAATATCGCCTACCCATTTTTTGTGAGCTTGTGAAGCCATCACCAATTCATAATTAGTTACACTCCATGTTTTCCATTTTCCATCATCACCTCCAGTAGCTAATAAATGAACTTTATCGTTGTATGCAAGGCCCAACACTGCACTATCATGAGCATTAAAAGATTTTTCAATACTTAATGAAGAAATACATAAATTAGAATTTTCCCTATCTTCATTGTTATTAGGTTCATAAGGGGGACTTTCATTGCTAGGCCATGGGGAGTCTTCCTTTTTCTCGTTTATTTTTGCTAAATTATTTTTCTCTTGCTTTGATGCAGTATTTTGCCATGTATTTGTTCTCTTTGAGCTTATCGAGGAAATGGTAGTTATAGAACTATCTAATGTATTATTTCCTAACAAATCTTTTAGTTTTTCTATATATTTATTTAATCCTTCGATTTTTGTGTCCCTCTTTTCTTTTTCCAGAATAACTAACATTTTTTCTTTAACAGCAGACTTTTTAAAGGGAAAAAAGGTGATGCATTATGAATATTAAAGGTGTATACATTCACACATATATGTTGCATATTCACGCGTGCCAGTTCTATATATTTCAATTTATTTTTAATTAATTAAAACTTTAGGATAAACCCTTAACTTAAAAAAGACGCATTTATCATGTGTACATATTTACTTCGTATTTGGTTTTTATTTCATCTACAGAATTTTGAAATTTTTCTATTTCTTTTTTTTGTTTTTGTATTTCCTCTATTAAAAATAAAAATTTATAATTTAAAATTGTTGTTATGAATAAAAATAAAGGAAAGGATGTTTTCACTAATGCTCGAATATTTAAAGAGCTTAAGTAAATTGTTCTAGACAGTACTATTTAGAGTTTCCTTTTCCTGCAGAACTCGTTTATGGTGCATTAAATAATAATCTCTTTCTTTTATTGTCTTTTGAATTTTTTTACTGATATTAAAAAGAAAAAAGTATATTTTAACGTTTAAATAGATCAGAGTGATATAGCATAAAAATGTGTTCTAGATTTTTCTTTTTTTTTATTTTATTTGAAATCCTTACTTTGCAACTTCCAAAGATTGTTGAACTTCTTTTGTTAATTTTTCATGATTCATAAAATCATTTCTTAAAAGTTCATTTTGGGTAAATATGTTTTCATACTCCGTTTTTCTCAACTTGTTCATGTCTTCACCAAATTTTTTAATATATTCTCTCTAATATACAAAAATACAAATATATTTTTACATTCATGAAAAAGATTGTTCGTGCGTTATACATTAAAAATTTAACAAAACAAAAAGGCAAAAAAAATGATCGAAACCACGTAAAACATTTTTAAGAGCACACAAATGTGAAAAAACGTGCATATGCAAACCTCAAACACTTCAAGCGATTCTATGAATCCATATTCAAGCATGAAGTTGTATGTGAAAGATAGGGCCATAGGAAAATGCTTTTCATCAAGTGGGGAAGTTCTTGAGCTTCCTTCTCCTTAAAAAAAGTATAAAGAAATTTTAGACATAAAGGAAAATGTAAAAAATAGTATATTGCCTGCCTATTTTTAAATACGATAAATTGTCTTAAGCTAAGGAGATACATTTCTGAACACTTCTACACATTTATGCATATAATAATAATAATCAGTAGGAATAGTGCACAAGTGTAAGTTTTTAAGAAGTGATTTCCTCTTGCCTGAATTTGATTCATTTTTATTGAAACTTGAAATATTAACTACTTTAGCATTTTTTAGCAACTTTTCAAATTTTTCCGAGTTATCACTGTCAGATTCTAAACTTGAGTCATCTTCGTATGATTTTTTAATTTGTTCAGTTTGCACATTTTCGTTCTTATTTGTCTTTTTTTCCTTGTTATCTACTATGTTTTCTATTAATGATGTTGCATTGTATTCCTCCTTTTCCATTTTGTTTACTATTGTCCTTTTATTTTCTGAACTTCTCTCCTTTTTTGGGTTTAGCATTTGTATTTTATTAGACATCTAAATTTTATAATCACTTATTTACCATAAATATATTATTGATTTATAGAAGTATTTGTTTTTGCTTTTAATGTGATTATTTCAGTGAAAATATTATGAATTTTCTTAACTAGTATACTGCTTTATTTTTTTTTTCTTCGTAATGTATTTTGAGAAGCAATATGTGTTTGTGTTCATCCATTTTCCCATTTTACTTCGCACATAGTTTATTAAATGAATGCATTTTTAAATATATAGTAAGTTTTTTTAGCAATTTGTATATGAATTATATGCTAATTAATTTGATGATTTGTGTCCCTATGTTTTTATATTCCAAATTTATTATTTGGATATTTATAAAAAAAAAATATATTTTTATGTTTTCATAAAAAAAACAAAGATATATATCCTCTACAAGCAAAATAAATATTTTTTCTATGTGTAAAGAGGTGAAAGCAAATAAAATGTGTGCAAATTTCACTTATGAAAAAAAAAGACCTTTACTCTAAAAATAATTTATAAATGAAGAAATATAAGAGAAACAAAACACTTTAAATAGGACAAAATTTAAATAGTTTTAAAGTAATTAAAAGTTCTATATTATAAAATAAAGGATCCCATTTTAAAGCTTTATGTCTTATCACATGACGTTAGGAAGTGACAAGAAAAATTATTTAGTCTGAAAAAGCAAGTCCCTACATTTTTTTTCACCTTTTTTTTTTTTTTTCCATTAATTAAAGGGTTAAGGTCATCAAAAATGTCATTATATTGTCTTAAATCATTATTCTTTTCATTGTTCCATTTTATGTTTTCTGTCACTATTTTTTCCTGTTGAGCATCTATTATAGACGAAGGGTGTTTTTTCCTTAACTCACTTTCACAATTGAAAGGGTAATCACCTTTGTCTGATTTTGTAAATGATTTCATATCCTTTTTCGCATTATAATCATTATATATTTTTAATTTGTTCATTAAATAATCATTTTTTACCAGTGCACATTTAGTGTCTTGAGAATTTCTTCTGTTTTCATTCATCGTTTCTGAATTCACAACGTTTTTGCTAATCTGAACAAAAGTAAGAGCACGGTTGTCCACTATCTTCATTTGGTTGGAATATATGTTATTTATAACTGTGATATTACTTTGAGGTCCCAGAGTTTTGTGCAACTTAAAATTTTTCTTGTGCTTATTATTAATTACGTTACACATCAAGTAGTCAAAACGATCCAACTTTGTTTTTCTATTTCGTGTATTGGTATTTTGCAGATTTGAGCATGTGCTGCATATTTTTCCTTTAGAAAATGTGTTTCGCAAAAGATTCTCCTTAGCATGACTTTCAAAGTTAACTGAATTAAAGGATCCAGCGTTTGTCTCGAATATGTTTGCATCAACATTTTGGAGTTCAATGTATTTTCTATCTCCTTTTTTCTCGCACATGTCTTTTTTATTTTGAGATCTTTTTTTTTTGTTTCTCAAGAAGAAAACTTTGCTCGCATTTTTTGAGTTTATATTGAATATATCACCACGTCTAGCATATATAGGGAGTAAAATTTTTGAAAAGCTGTTGTTGATAGGGCACTTACTATAGCAAAAGGGGATTGCAATTCTCTTATTTTCTAAGGGAATTATACTTTCATAGTTTTCTTTAAATACAACATGTTCATTTATTGTCTTTTTCATTTTATTATCGGGTTTTTCATTTTTGTGCAAGAGTAAGTTCATTTTTGCGTATATAGGTTTTCAAGGTTATGTGTAACTTTTACTTTTATAATATATAGAAAAGGCATATTTTTAAATGTTCTACTTAATGAGACATGAAAAAATGAATATATTTTTCTTTGTAAAAAAAAAAAAATTTACAAAAAGCAATTAAAGTGGGATGCAGAAGTGAACAAAAGGCAACTTAACAAGAAAATCTGATACAGTTTTTATTTATAAATTCTCATGTTTTATTGATTTCGAAGGGAACAATCTGATAAACAGCTAAGCAGTCGAACAAAAAAAAATTATGCCATTGGATATATTTAATATTAAACATATGCACAGTATAAAAGAAAAATGTGAACTCTTTTTTGCACTGCTTTAATTTTTATTTGTTGGGCTAAAGCAGGAATTGTTTTGTGTTAAAGAATTTTGTACACAGTTTGAAAACTTCAATTTTTAGTTTCGTTTTCTTTTTTTTTTAATATTTTAAATGTGTCAGTAGCATTTATATATAATATTTCCTAGTAACCCTATCAAGAATGGTTAATTAGTAAGTATTCTCTATATTTAACAAAGCATAGACAAAATATATAGCGTCTTGTTGGTATGAAAGTAAAGTTTTGATACTTGTATTCAATTACAATAGCAACCTTCATGTAACTAAATATCATTTTTTTTCCTTTCATATTGAGGTATAATATGTTGCACAGTTCCTTTCCTCGTGGCATTTTAAACTTGTTATTATTAGACACGTACGAAAGTAAGCAATTATAAAAAAATTAGCGCTCAAATTGTTGACTTACGTGTAATTCTTGCACATGATTTTCTTGGGCATAATTTAAAAAAAAAAAAAATTCAGAGTTATCTAATTTCTACAAGCACGAAAGATCCCAAAACAAAATTTTTCTTATGGTCGTAAAAAAAATAATTTAGTGCGTGAAAAAAAAGGTATATATATAAAATATGAAGCCTATAAGTTTATAAATGAAATTATTACCTTGATTTTGTTATTCTTAAAATATTACTTCATTTTTCACACTTTAATAGAATGCTAACAGGTTGGAGCAATTATAGTTACATATTTTTTTTTGTATATAAAAGATTTTTTATTTAAAAAAATGTTGTTAAAGTTTTAGGTTCAGGATGAAGCCCACTAAAAGTCTTCGGTTTACACAATTTTTCATAGAAAAAATATAAATAAGTTGAAATAAAAACATTTTGCAGAAATGCTTTTTTTCTAATAGACTTGGCTATTAAAAAAAACAGTGCTGCCTATGTGGTTATTTTTATTTTCGAAAAGGGTTGTGTAAAAGCTGAAAATACAAAACTAAAATGATAACATTGTGTTTCTAAGCAATTAAAGATAATTATATAAAAAATGGACTTATTTTTGAAAGTTCATGTATTTATATGAAAGTTTGAAGGTATGTATTCATTTAGCATGAAGAATTTATAAAAAATTATAGTCACCATATTATAAAGTATGAAATAATTTTTTTATTAAAGTTTACAAAATAAAAATTCTATTAAAAATACACGTTTTTTACTTAACAATGTAAGTAGAAAATAAACATGTATTTTAAACTTTTAAAAAAAATATATTTTTTATATTAGCTGTGAAAAACATTTGTATATTAAAATTTATGTGTAGTATAATTTTATTATTAGTGATATAAATAATAAATTAATTTATTTATGATTAATTTTAAAAATTCATTTATTTAAAATGTTATAATAAGCATTTAATTAAATTTATTTTGTTATATTAATTAAATTTAATTATTTATATTCTTTTTATTTATATATGAAATTAAATTATTTAAAAATTAAAAAAAAATAATTTTTTTATAAAATATATATTTAATTATAATATACGTTTAATTTAAAATTAAAATTAATTAAAAAAATTAATTTAATTAATTATTAATATTTTATGTTTTCAATAAATAATTATAAAATAAATATTCTTTTATGTTAATAATATTAATTTATTATTTTATAAAAATATATAATGTATTAAAATTATGAATTAATTTTATAATTATTCTTATCTTATTTTATATATTGTAATTAAAAATAAACTTGTCTTTATATTTTCGTAAATCATTTAATTAAATAAAATAATTATTTTATTTTAATTAAGTATTTTAAATAATAAATATATTATGCACGCCTTTAAATTTAATTATATCATTATTTAAAATAAATAATTTATTTTTTTAATATCAATATTGCTTATTTAATAACAATTGTCATATACCAAAAATTATTTTATATTTTAATTAAAATTTAATCAATATTTCCCAATATATTAATAATTTATCGTATATATTTATTTGTAATTATTAATTATAATATAAAAGTAAATTTTAAATATAAATAATTTATTTATAACATTAATTATTATAATTAATTAATGCACATTTTTAATTTATTTATTTTTATTAAAAAATATATTAATTAATTTTAAAATACATTAAATATTAATATATATAATAATGTCTATTTTAATATAATATATTTAATTAATTAAATATATATATTTATTTATTTTTATTTTACAATATACATATATTAAAATACTTATTTTATACTTAATATTAATATAATAATTTATATTTAATAATATTAAATAACTAATTAATTTATATTTTAAAAAAAAAATTGTTAATACATTTAATTATAAAAAATAATATTTATTTAAATATATTTAATTTTTATTAATTTATCTTATTTTATAAAAAAAAATAACACAATAAAATAATTATTTTTTAAGTTATTATTTATATAATATAATTTAATTTATAAGTCTTTTAAGGATTTCATTAATTACACAAATATATATATATATTATTTAATGTATTTTATTTATTATTAATTAATTTAAAATTAATATATTTTATTTACTATGTAATTAATTTAATAACATATTATATGCTTATAATAATTTTAAATCAACTATTTTAATTTATAAAAACTTTAAATTAAATTTATTTTCTATATATTATATTTTTATAACTTTTTTTTATATATTTAACTAATTTATTTTTAACAACTAACTTTAATTATATTATTTAATTAAATTATTTTATTTTATTATTTTTATTATTAAATAAAATAATTATATTATTATATATTTTTCTATTTATTTATATAATCAAATATTATTATATTATTCTGTTTATTATTTAATTTTATTTAATAATTTATTAATATATTACTTATTAAATTTAACTAATTATATATAATATAATTTAAAAAAATCAATTTTTATATTTATTTGTTTTTATTATTTCATTTATTAATATACATTATTTTTATAATTCCATGTATTTTATTAAATAATATATATATATATATATATATATATATATATAATATTTTGTTTTTATTAATTAAATATTAATATATTAATAATTTATTTAATAAATAATTTTTCATATAAATATATTTACTTTTAATTATTTATTAATATATAATATGTATTTTTTTATCACATTATATATTTTGTTTTTTTATTTGACTATTAACTTTTTATTTAATTATATAAATATTATTTTAATATAATTATGATATTTGTTTATTTTTATGGCCTTTTTATTATATATAATATTGCTATTTTTTTGGAATAATTAGTACTTTAGCGTAAATTTATGCTCCATATAAAAACCACTATTATATAGGAAAGTGTAAAGTCATTGTTGTTTTTATTGACTTAAATTGAACATTACAAATGATTCACGTTTTTCTTTGAGTATTATTCTTACTTTTGGCGTTCCATAGTTTGTAAAATGTCTATTAAATTGCTTACATCTTTATTAATCTTATTTATTTTGGAAGCATAGAACATAAAAAAAAATTTTTTATCTTTAATTAAACTTGAATTTTTTTTAGAATTATATATATTTTAAAGTCATCTAGACATAATTTTTATGTAATTTCCTTTTTCTAAGATTGCGACTATGGTAATTTAATGCCCTTCATAGATGTATATATATTTTTTAACTATTGTTACATTAATGGCAACACGAAGAAATTATTTCTAGTTTTTAATTTCGTTAAAAAAAAGGATGAAATGGATAATAGAAATATTCATCATACAATAAAAAGCATGATTTTGCTAAAAGGGGATTCTAGTATTATATTTGTTAAAACATAAACATAACTTGTGAAGTTTCTAACTTCAAAATATAGGGTACATCACAACACTTTCGCAGAATTTAAGTAAAATAAGGAGTAATGTGTATATTTGTATTTTCGTAATGAATATTTCGAACTTAGCTATTTTTAATACCCATAGGAGCCATATAATAATTATGTGTAAAAAAATATACAAACATCCAAAAGTGAAAACTACTTTTTTTAGGATTTGAAGTTTTTCTCTTTAAGATCACCAAATGAATCTTAGTTCATTATGAAAAAATATAACATAAAAATATATACTTTGTTAAAGTTTTGTAGTTTCTGTTACCCCTTAGTATAGACATTAAGAAACTTTTGATATAGAGATTTTTAAAATCATACTTAAAAAGTTTCTATAATAATGCATCTAAACTTTTCACGCATGTTTATCTACAACTTGAAATGTTTTTATAATATAGTATATAATAAATGATGCTTGCAGTAATAGGGTGATAATTGAAGACCTAAAGAAACATTATGTGACATTAATGAAAAAAAAGAAATGGTGCAGTAATAAAAAAATTAGCCAACATTAAGAACTATCATAAATGCGTTAGCACGAAAAACAGAAAAAAAAAACTAATTTTTTAATACTTTTACATTTTGCGTACTTATTTCACAAATTTCATTTATTGTCTTATGGTAATTTTTTTGAAATAAGATATTTTCACTTTGGATCACGGTGTTAGAATGAATTGTAAATTTTGCACAATTAATAGCATATGGAGGCTTTTTACGAATTTGTCCGTTTTAGTAACACGTCAACTCAGTGCTCATATTCATCCTTCTCGACATATGTGTATATATTAATTCAGCATATTCATGTACTTTGGAAA